CATTTACCTTAAGATCGTTGCGCGAGAGATTCAGGGAAACCAAACCAGCGATTTTGCCTAAAGCTTCAGGAAGAAGCTTAAGCTGACGATCAGAGAGATCGATCCTCTCAACGACGCCACCATCTTCTGCTTCCTTGAGGATTTCATTAACCTCCTCGTTCACTTCATCGCTACCGTTTAGTGAATCAACCGCCGAAGCATAAACCTTAGCGAGCTCATCGTCCAATTCCCTCAGCTGCTTCTCGTAACCATCGTGAACTTCCTCTAACCGAATAACCGTAGCGTAAACCTGCTCTTCCTTGGCCGCATCCTCCGGCGACAAAGAATCCGTCTCGCGGATCTGAGCGATCTTAGACCGAGCAGAAGAGACAGATAAAGGATCGGGTCGGGGCCCAAGAGAGCCGAAGACGGAAAGCGTCTGCGTGATTGTACTGGGAATCGATTCAATCAGCGAGGAGATGACATGCGGGTTGGTGAGAAGGGGATAACGATTCGCTAGGGATTGCTGAATCGGCAGAGACGGTGGCGCGTGAGAAGCGGGATCGGAATGGTGAATAACGTAGGAGAGCAACGGGAAAATCTCGAGATCATGATCCATTTTCTTGGAAAGATCGAAGAAGGAAAATAGTTTTGATTGTATTTTTGATTCACAAAGTAGATAGTGTTTTTATACAAGAACTGTAAAACCTTAACCAAACAAAGATAAAGCTAAATCAAGATAGATTAGATTAAAGAACCCACTGATTTGTTTTAGATTTGGGCTTTCTTAAGACCCAATAAAAAGAAACTGGGCTTTAAGCCCATTATTACTTACCGCGTAAAAACCCTTTATAAGGTATATAATAGGGAGGTTTTGGGTAAAGGTTTCTTGCCTGAGAATCAACCTGTTGTCGTCAAGCCTAAGCTGTTGTCCTCACTGCTTAAGTTTTTTGTTTATTTGAAATTTTGAATCGCATCTTATGTTAAACTAGACGGGATTTAGTGATGAGTTTACAGTTGTCATCCCTTAATTAGGTTTTGTCAACAAGTTAAAATGTTTGTAGATAAAGAAAAAAAGATTCTTACGATATTGTCAATGTTTAGTGACATAATAATTAACAAGTTAAAAAAGCTTTTGAAAAATAAGAGAGAATCAAAACTCCTTTTGGTTCGGAGACAAAAATGTGATTTGCAGATCTTCTTAATTAAAAAAAACTCTTATTAGTTCAAAAGATTCTCTTTCTCAGCTGTTCCTCCCCATTCTCTTATCCTCTCTTCGGCCATTGCAGCCTGCAAATATATCATCAGTCAATGTACACATTAGAATAACAACTCTCGGTCAGTGAGTTGTTTGTTTATTAAGTAGGTACGGTTAATGTTTTGGTTCCTTTACCTCTTTGTCCCAATTGGTTTTGCAGATCATCCATGTCAGGACTATCGATTGAACAAATGTTCCCGTCATCATCCCCCACCAGATTCCCTGATCAATATATAAGTTTCCATAACATCAAAAACTCCGGTCTTGATAAGGGTTTTAGATTTTTTTTTTTTTTAAAAAAAGACTTAAAATTTTCATTACCATTACTCCATATTCAAGCTTGAATCCTAACAATAGACCAAAAGGGACTCCGAATAAGTAATAACAAGCTATGTTCACATACGCAACAACCGCTTGCCATCCTGCTCCCACGGCCACTCCTGCATAACCATATTGCCACATCCAATAAAACTCCATGCACCAAGAGCTCAGTAAAAAAATGTGTATAGCCTATCTATAGAAAAAATGTGACTAGGGCTTTTTTTAAGAGAGAGATACCGGACAAAACTGGTTGAACATTGTTGATGACAATGCAAAAGGCAAGCATTGGTGTGAGTTCTCTAACCACGTTCCTAACTACTTCATCTTCCACAAACAAGATCGGGTACTCGTTTCGGAAGAGGAGTAGGATGGCCGCTATAACCATCCCTATCGCTGTCGATAATATCACAGCCACGACTAGAGAGAACTTGGCCGTTCTTGGGTGGCTAGCTCCTAGCTCGTTTGACACTCTCACACTGCCAAAACATAACAAAAACCGTATTATCATTTATTAGCTTGGCACGTGTGATATGTGTTGAATTTAGAAAGAGTTGATATTTTCGAACGTGTTGGTGTGGCTTGAACGTGAGAATTTACCTTACTGCTGCGTTTATCCCAAATGAAACCATAGCTGCCCATCCCAAAATGTTCATGCTTCATTTTACACACCGTTAAGGTAAACAAATAATTAGAGAAAAAAAAATGTAGTGAAGAGACTGAAAATTTGAATTCTCTTATTCATTATTTTTATATATCCTAATGAATATACATGTATGCAATCCAGCAAAAGTAGATTTAACAAATGTGTGAAATATTTAAATAGAGTATTAGACTAGGCCACAAAAGACGGAACAAAGAGACTACTACGCACGTTGGCTCTACTCTTTTTTTTTTTTTTAATAGAATCTCTATGATAATTTAATTAAATATTTAGAATAACAAATCATGTGAAGAAGTGTTATTTTGTAGAAATGTAAGTAATTTTTTTACCATATGGAGAGTGCAGCTACGGAGACTTCAGCATTCTTCAAATATCCAGCAAATAATACGAGTGCCATGAAATACCAAACCTCCAAACTACAAAAGTTAATAAATCATGAGTATCGTTTTAAAAGTATGAACTAATGGGTAGTAATCAAGTCGGAGAAAAATATAAACTCACCAAATCATGACAGCAGAAGCCAAAGACAATTTGACAAAACCCCACAAATTGTGAAAAGCTTCCCACGTGAATCCAGACCAAGCTTCTCCACACGAACCACCAAAAATATATAGGAGTTGTGCCACAACGATGAACAACCACGACGTGTTAAGCACGAAAGCTAAACCGGGAAGCCCCCAATGGAACCTGGACATGACTAGCCACGTGAGTAACGTGTGGATCACAAGAGCCACACCAGAGATTGCTGCCATGGCCATGATCTTGCTTTGCGACTGCAAAAACTTTGCGGTCGGAAAATTGATGGCGTAGGCGAAGATTTGTGGGATCATGTAGATGGAGAAAGTCCCGGCCATGGCCGATATTGCAGCGGTTTGGCCTATGAAGGTTAGGATTGGAGCCGCGAAAATATAGAGTAGAGAAAGGAAGAGAGCGGTTGCGCTTAGAATCACCCACGAGCGTTGTAAGTAAACGCCGAGCAGTGATACTTTTCCAGCTCCAAACGCTTGCCCGCATAACGTTTCCAACGCACTCCCCATTCCAAGCTAATCGTTCGCATTCCCACCATACATAATGTTAATAGCCGTAATTAATTTTTTTTTATATATTTTTGATTACAAACTACTAATATAGTCAATACGTAATGTAACAAAATAAACTTGTTTTATTTTGATCCACACGTTTGTCATCGTAAATTTGTAAGATTGTGTAGTTTTTTAATATTTATATTTTGTTTTTGAATATGCAAAAGATTTACATGCATACCATGATACCGAAGGAGAAACCGGCGATGACGGAGTTCTCGATGGATACGGCGGCGAGAGCGATGGTGCTAATATGTCCGGCGAAAACCTGCGTGACGGCTCCGAGAGAGAATTGGGCCATCGAAGTGAAAATGGCCGGGCCGGCTAGTTTCCATAGCTTCTTAGACTCGATTCTAAACTCTCTGACGAAGTCTCCGACGCCGGAGATTGGTGGGATATCTACGGCGGTAGAGGAGAAAGAGACAAGAGAAGATGCTCTGCTTCCCACTCCAAGATAATCCATCAATGCTTTTTGGGTCGTCGGGTCGAGTTCCTCCGTCGACGAGAGAAACGGATCCATGAAGTCATTATCTTTCTCCATTATTCGTCCAAGAGATAGATAGAGAGAGTGCTTAGAGGTAAGGCGAAGATCGAGGATCTTTTGAACTTAAGGTATCAATAATTCATGAATTTAGATTCTTTTCTGTTTTTCTATGGGTCTACTTTTTTTTTTTGGTGTTGTGGCATCTATCATCTATGGGGGTCTATTAATATAGAACTAAACTTTGTATGTAGGCATTTTTGGAAGAGGAGTAAAAGACAGCTTCATACTTAAGTATTTTTTTTATCAGACAGCTTACACCAGTTAATACTTTGACTTAGTGTTCCACAGTGGAGATTTCATATATGTTATGTGTGATGTGTCTGTCATACAAATTCAAAGTTTAATGATTGTGATATTTCATCGCACGACTATGCTAAACAAATAAAATAAACACAAAATGCGAAAAGCAAAACGCAATTATAATTCATAAATGGTTATAAAAATATATTCAAAAAAATGTTGTTTTGTTTATATGAACTGATTGACCATTAAGATCTTTGTTTCGTGGACTCCATATGCCTTCTTGCTACGTGCATAGCAATCAATGTGGTAGATTTTGTTTGATATCTAGAAATTGGGAAACAGTCATATACGGATATCAAGATTTTTGGCTAATTAGAGAGACACAATGAAAATGGTAGTATAGACTAACAAGAGAAACAATGAATAGTGTATATATGCCCATATAAATTTATAATGGGCGTTTTAGTCCAATAGAGGAAAGGGAAACTTGCGAAAAAAAAAAATTCTTCTTTGTCACTCACTCATTCAACATTCCAAGGTTTCGTGATGAATTTTTGTTATTGGTGCTGTGTTAGTAAAAGGCCAACGTAATTATAATTGTTCATGGGTAACAAGATGAAATTAATTATGATTATGCTTATGGAAGACAATTTCATGCTCACGATAGGTTGATTATCAGCTGCTCTAAACTTATATTCCATTAGGCGAGCATAAGTCATTTGGGCAAAAAAGATAACAGAGTTTCTGATGTGAAAGGGCATATTAGTATCTCTCTACACTTCCAGCCAAAATTTACAATGATACATGTGTATGAACAATCGACTTTTTCTCAATACAAATTAAATTTTGTAACTGATAGTTTGTATTTTGTGGGACTGATTAACGAAAATAAATGTATAAGAGAAAAAAAATATGGATATCAAATGAAAAAACGTTGGTTCGTTTTCATGATGAACAAACTTTTACAATTGTACCTCATACAGAGAAAGCAGTAACCGGTAGGCTTTACATTACATACAAATGAACTTAACAACTTATCACACTATTATAAGGAAAATAAAGAAATAGAGTTCCTGAAAACTCTTTAAGTAAAAAGCAAAAAAGAAGAAGACAAAAAGCATAATCAATAGTCAATACACACAACAACAACAACATAAAGCCATGAACTCATCAAGTTTGGGGGTGAGTTGTGGCTCGGCCTCTTTCGCTCTTGCTATTTTCTGCAAATTTTTTGCTTGCAAGATGTAAGTTTTTAGCTTTCTCTTTAGAGTTCCACTCAGAGAGATAATAATCTTCTTCGGTTACATTCTTGGAGGAAGGTCCACAAAACATACCTCCCCATTGCGGAAAGTATATGAAGCATATTGGTAAGGAACACGCGATTGACATTATCCCCATTAGAGTTATACCAGTCTCTCTCGAGTACGTTGACCCTTTGAAGAATATCAATTGTGTTAAGACCGCACCTACATTGCCTCCAGCACCAGTCATTCCCGAAATCACCCCAAGAGATCTGCATAACCAAAACATTTGTTAGCAAAAACATTGGTTAAAGTGGTTGAGATTATCAAAAACTAAACTTTACCTTCTAGAGATAAAGGGAACAACGCCAAAGGTAAGCCCACAAGAGGCTTGGACGAATACAGAGAAGATGAGCATAACAACTATAGACAATGTCAAGGAAGAGATTTGGCCAAGAACTGCGCACAACACACCTCCTAGTGTTTGTATGATCCACCAAGACCACAACCTTCCTCTCATCCCAAACCGTCTGGCCATTAGATCGGAGAGGATTCCTCCTCCGGGTCTAGCGAAAAAGTTGGCCAGACCAAAACTCGCCGCTATAATCCCGGCTGTGTTGAGATTCAAGTGAAATCTGTCGAAGAAATATTCTGCGATGATGTTGTCTATAGTGAGCTCTACACCAAAACAGTAGCCATATGCTAATGCTGTTATCCATCCCCTATAGTTGGTGATGCCATGAGTGATCACTTTCCCCACCTCATCTTTCTCCTTCTCTCCGGATTTGTGCATTGCCCAATAATCTCCATCAGGAAGATCCTTTAATTTTTTTATAAAATATAAAACACAAAACATGAGTTACTCAAAATGCACAACCTGCATGCTTGTTAACAACACACTATTAAAATTTGATTTACTTAGGATTCATCATTCGTTTCGGTTTTTTGGTTCAGTTTATCTTTTTTTGGTTTGGATAAGAATTATTATGGTTTTGAACAAAAAAAGTTTAACAAAATGAAAGAGAAATTAATTTAAATATTTTAAAGTTTATATAAATATATATAGGAGTGTTCAACCAAATATTAAATTTTATTGAATTTTAGTTAATACGATTTAATTAAATTTAGTAATAATTTTCATACTATTCGACCTTATTATAAATTTTGGTCTCGGATTGGATTGATGATTTTCGGTTTAAATAGGGTCGGTTCGATCTAGTTTGGTTTATATTAGAAAGTAACGTTGATGTCTTCTTTATTTTTGAAGTGTATATATAACGGAAACCGATAAGAAATTCTCAAAACCGGACATAATGAATAAACCGGTACCTGGCCGAACAAGAGGACAGCGAAAGCAGAGAAAGTCTGAAAGAGGCCAGGGATGAAGAAAGCGATCCTCCACGCCGTGAATTTGGTGGCTCCCATTTGCCGGATCAGCGAGAACACGAGCGGCATGATCAGCTGCGTCGCGCCTCCTCCGAGGTTTCCCCAACCGGCGGCGATTCCGTTGGCCGATCCCACGACAGGTCCGGAGAACATAGAGCTCATCCAGAACTGCGTCGATACGAAAGTGGCGAGCGAGAACCCGGCGAAGAATCGTACGAGGATGAACCCTATCGGCGACTTGATCCCGGAGGTGAAATAGACGGCGGGAGCGGTGGAGAGGGTTAACGCGGCCGAGGCTAAACGTGGGCCGAAAAGGTCGCAGGCAGTGCCCATGACGAGACGAGCGAAGACGGAGCCGGAGACAGAAGCGATTCCAGCGTTTCCGATGTCAGTGGCGGTGAGATTGAGATTTTCTCGGATGACTGGAAGGAGGGGAGGAGCTGCAAAAGTGGAGACAAAACAGCAAAAGAATTGAAACCATGAGAGATGGAAAGCTCTCATGTGAGGTTTAGCTATGGAGAATAGCCGGAAAGTTATCGATTTATTCTCCGTATCTACGGGAAGTGCAAATTTCCGAGTTGTGGTAGTTCCGGTTTCTCCTCCTTTGCCTTCGACCTCCATTTTTGTGAATTTGGAGAGTTTAGGGTTGGTGGGTTTTAGTAGGGTTTAAGGAATGAGAAGATTTATGAGGAATCTAAGGTTTGAGGTTATGAGTATATATAATAGAGAAGGCTCTGACATTTTCATGGATGTTCTTGTGAAGCGTGATGTAATCATTTTTATGTTTTCATATTTAAGTTAAGGTTTTTATTTTAATTCTGGTTTTGATTGGATTAGTTCGGTTTAGGAAGAGTAATGATCAAAACAAAAAAAAGAACCAAACATTGTTCGGTTTTAAACAGCTTATTTTTCGATTTTGAAATCATTTTTAACATCTGATCCAGTGAAATAAAGATTTGGTTGATGTGTGAGAAATATAAGAACAATTTTAACTAAAGTAAGATTTAATGCTGACATTTATTTGCTCTATGTATATCAAACACTCTAAAAAGATTTCTAAAATGAAAATAATAAAGTTTGAAATTTTGATTTCCCTTTAAAATCCAAGTGGTGGTTTAACACGTTTAGTTTTTCTACAATTTGTATGAGTTTCTATTCCAAAATAATGTAGTTTGAAATTAAGTTTAGTATGCAATGTTTTTGTAGGGATGCGATTCCAAGATGATGTAGATAATAAATCGTATGTTGTCTTATGTGTTACATACAAAATTATCCGATGTAAGTAAAACAACTCATCGTTATGTGTCTTGCATAAATTGATGTATATCTTGAAATCGTCAATAAATCCATTGATCATGATCAAATGTATGCTGCAAATAGTTAGTTCTATGATCAGATGTAAATGACATATCAGCATTTATAAAATCCCAATAAATGAGATAAAAGACGACAAAACATTTGAAATAAACTGTTGTCATATAATTTATATTTTGGGATGTGTATGAATACAAAACTTGTATAGATCATAAATTTACAATCGGTTATTCCGATTTGTAGATATGTAACAACGTAAATCGTATTTCATCTATTTTGATATGAATATCGTTTTGACATTTTAACGTAAAAATTTGATATGATTTCAATGTACTACTAATAAACTTATACTACAAAACAATTGACTTTTGAACTTATGTAATCTATACAAATCAATAAATGTCTGGAGTCAAATACTTGAGAGTTGAGACTCGGGGAATAGTAGCTTTTTTTGGGCTCTTTAACCATGGGAAAGGTAAAGTCTTCGACGCGTTAACTTTGGCAAAGTCTTAACTACAACCAAGTGTTACAAAACTTCTCAACTTGTTTCTTTCTTAAATTCTTTGTCTACATCTCTCGTTTGTAAATTGTACTGTAATGTTTTTTTTTTCATCCTAACAAATCTGATTTAAGAGGTTTGTTAAACAATCTCAGTATGAAGAAAATTTTGTGTATATATAGAAAGAGGGACTAGTTTGAAGATTTGAAAGTTGGAAATATGCAAAACAAAGTATCTTTTTTTTTCGAGATTATCTTTTCCGCCGAGCTCGATAACTTTTCAACTTAAATGTTATGTCTTTATCTACTACACAATGACATTTGCAAAGAAAAAAAATACAAAACCTATGCGATCATTAAAAAAAAAATGGTTGTATATTAAATATTTAGTAAAAATAAAATCTGTAGATATTTTTGTTAAAAACTTTTGTTCTTATTTAATTTTCAACTATTTTACTATTTTAAAATTTTGCTACGAATTATGTACTGTGTTTATTTTTCCTTACAATAAATTATTCATAATGATTGAAAAATGATTATAGTGTTAATACATTTCGCCTTGATTTGCTATCATTTAAAGGGCCTACCACCCAATCTCTATGGAAATTTGTGTGTATTGATGTTTGATAAGCATAAGCTAACTATAAATTTTTAATTTTTAGCTTAGAAAATAGCTGATAGGATTAAAGAAGAAAACAGATGATATTATTTACAAAAAAAAAAAAGCAAAGTTAATATACTTACTTGAAATGTATCTTACTTTTTAGAGATCTTAACATATTAATGGTTTTATTTGCTTGTGTGTAAACTTATTCATAAGGTTCATGGCCACAATGTCTTCGAAGATAACCTAACCATCTGAATGTATTTATTTTACAAAGCAAGCCGTTTAATTGGACTAGTTATACAAAAATCAAACTGGAATCGTTACTAATTGGATAATTTGTGAATATTCTGTGGGTCCCAAAAATTGTGGACTTTTAAATGTTTGGAATCTTGGGAGCGAAGACTCGGCATCTCCTTCACCTCTGGACCTCGTTTGAATCCTATGAACTTAAATCTACTCTCTTTTCTTTTGACATTTCAACTTATTTAAAGACCAATTTACCCTTGCATGATAATTCTGACATCAGAGAAACCTCAGCAAAATGATGATGAACCTCGATTTTTTCTTCTTATTAACACTTGAGAGAATAGACAGTAAATTTTAATGATCTAAACGTACTTCTGATCTCAACTGTTCTGCTGTCAAGAAAAATATTTTCAGATAGTGCAGTATTTATTTGGGATGAAAGAACTTTTTTTTTTTTTACTATCGAGGATACCAACCCGAACAACATACTAATCTTTTGGAATGTGTAATAGACTGAGTATTATTATCGCCATCTAAAAAATCTCGACAGTGGTTGCTTGAATTTAAAATCAAGGTAAGTAGGAGTATTTTTTTCAAACATTACACTTACAAAAATTATTGGTTTCTTTATAAATTAGCTCCGTACCTAAATGTTACGGCACTTTTCAGTGGGGCTGGGGATGTTGAAAAGAGTTTACTCTTTTTTTTAAAAAGTTTTAATATGATTTAAGTATTACATCTTGCATGATTAATGATGCTTGGAATCAATTATATTATTATAAGTTACAAAAAAAAATTATATTATTATTCCAAAAGTCGTCTAAATTAATTTTCATATCGACCATCTGAATCTCTCTAAAGTGGACTACAAACAAGTTATCCAAAAAATATATATTGAATGTTATTAAAGTCAAAAACAAAAACCTGGCTGCACGATAGATCCAAGGTGATGAATAAAAGTTTCTTATAAAAAAATCTGTAATCTCGTATTACAATTAGATTGACAGTGAAGTGACAGAGACACAAATCAAACCATGGAATCCTATTGGTCAAATAAAAAGCTTGACTAATTCTTATTCGACATGGACTGGTCCTTTACCAGGTTACCACTGGTTTTAGATACTTTCTTCAAGACATGTTCTCACACAATGAGTAATAATATGGATGGAGCCCGCAAGGCCGGTTTAGTTGTGCATTGAGGAATTTTAAAACCGACTTTCTTTGGTTATAAAATTATTGCACGTTATATATCATACAGCAAACAGCGATCTAGACATACCATTATACCAACTATACATAAACTGGAAAACTACATCTGGTCACTCACTCATCTCTTAGCTTTGTGAAATATTTTCTATAGCCTACTACTAATTCATCTTAACGTTTCAGTTCACATTAGATTTTTTGCATTACATGAAATTTACGAAGTAGACAATTTGAAATGTTAGCAAAAAAAAAAGAAGACAATTTGAATTATATAGAGTTAAATATAAACTTAGGTTAGCAGTGTAAATGTTTAATTAAAACTTGAAAAGGTTGATGGTGACAATAAAGTTTTCGTTGAAACAAATACGGTAAGAATGCATGTTAGTATTTCATTTGAATAATGTGTTACGTAGCAAGAGATTTGCATATATTTCATGATAGTGTTGGTTTCAAATTATATATAAAAATTCGGTATATTGGGTTTTCAAATTATATATTGGGCTATAAGGGCCCAAATTTTGATACAGAAAGTTGACAATTCGTGGAAAATCAAATACCAATCTGCATCCCATATTGTAATTTGTAACCATACTGAAACAATAAAATTGTTGCTAAAGTCACAAGAATCTCTAACTTAATGATGTTTTGATGACAACACATTTTTAAAGCATTATACGTGAGAAATATTTTACTCTCATACAATTTTGTATTGGCACAATAGCCATTTAACCTTTCAGTTTACTTTGAGTTTGAAACATAGACCAAAGGTTACACCTCTTTGGGTTTTCAGATGTGGGCACTTCGGAGCAAGTATCCGAAGCAAGGAGAAGCAAAGAACATAGTCAGAATTTACAGTTGACAAAAAAAAGAAAAGGTTCAAGTGCTTAAGATATTTTATAGTAGATTAAACTACATACTTATTTAACTTTGGCTGCAACTGGTAATAAGAAATTAAAATATAAAGAATAAATTTATATAGAATAAGAAAATATGGAATGAAATGATTTCCATTCATTCTTTAGCATTATCGAAGTGAATTTTTTCAGTCAAAACGGAATGGTTTGTTTTGCATTTTTTCAATCAAAAAGTTATAAATATGAAACATGTAGTTGAGGGAAAGAAACTGATCAATTTCTTACCATTTTGACAATCACCATGATCTGAAAAATGAAATGATTTCCAAACTTAGCTAACCCATGCTCAATATATAGAGCATGAGGCGATTCATAAAAGAGAAAATGTACAATAACTATACAATAGTTTATTGCGGTAAATAAATAGAGCATGAGGCAGTCTATATTGAGATAAATATACTAAACTAAGCCGCCTCATGCTCAATATATTTGTAATCATCGTTGCTACTTATGAAGCTAATCACTATCGGAGTGGTAGAACTTAATAAGCAAAGAGTAATCTTTTCCTTGAGCTTATCATCGCTGGCTTGAAATCCAACATGGTTTGCTAGAATGAATTTAATCCCACATTCAGCAAGATGCTCAATCATCAGGTGATTATTAGAACGTTCATTCACTCCTACCATCTCTATTTGCCATCTGTATGAGAGATGTTTAATTGTGTGTGCAAACTATTTCCATGTTGGCGTGTTCAAAAACTATCACCACTGTACTTTTTCTTTTACTCATCTCCTAATCTTATTTGTAGGGAAAGCTGGAGAATGCTTTAGCTTTGTATAAGAGAACTTTTGCTCCAGCTCACGAGCTAACCAAAATTCATACCGACAATAACTTGAACACTTTTTTTTTACTAAGAGGCTTTTCATGTTCTTGGTATATACTGGCCAAATAATCACGCGCCCGTTTGCAGCAACCTACTCATTTCTAAATAAACTTATAAGTTTTCCAATACTAAACCAAGCAGCACTTATACAATGGAGAAAGAAAATTGGGTAATTAAATATTTTTTTGGGTAATTGATTTAAATCAGATATAACGCCCGGTTTAACATTCGGTTTAATGATTCTCTACCCGAAAAGATTAGCTTTTTGTCGATAAAAGAAACAAAATAAAAATGTATTGAAAAGGACGCTATTGAAAAGAAAGCCTCTCTCACATTCATCAAGTCGAAAAGGTTTAAGATCATAAACCGGGTTTCTCATGACCGATATTGTGCCGGTCAGGTGATACTATATATAGCTATAAATCACACAATCGCGTTATATCTTCTTAACGAAGATCTGCTGCATGATTCAGGCTCAGCTTTTTTTTCCCCCAAATATCGCTTCGTCGAGATTGCTAGGGTTTCTTATGAAGCATGATGTAATCATCTTTATGTTTTCAAATGGATGTAACTTGTAAGAGATATTTAAGTTAAGGTTGTTATTTAAGTTTGGTTTAGGAAGAGTAATGATCAAAACAAAAAAGAATCTAATACAGTATTGTTCGGGTTTAAAAGTTTTGAAATGACTAGTTTTTATAACATCTGATCTAGTGAAATACAGATTTGGATGATTTCATTTTAACTAGAGTAAGATTTCATTTAATTCTAAGACCGAGTGTTTTCGATTCAGTTCGGACCAAACCGGTTTGGATGACATTTACTTGCTCTATGTACAATATCAAACACTCTAAAAAGATTCCTAAAATGAAAATAATAAAGTCTGGCATTTTAAAATCCATGTTTAGTTTTTTTCTACATTTTGTATGAGTTTCTATTCCATAATAATGTAGTTTTAAAAAAAAAATTAAGTTCAGTATGCAATCTTTTGTAGGGATGTAAGTTTATCAAAGATTCCAACATGATATATATGATAAATCGTATGTTGTCTTATGTGTTACATACACAATTATCCGATGTAAGTATGGTAATGATAAAACAACTCATTTTTATGTTTATGTTGTAGTCTGTAGATGATAAATCGTATCTTGTCTTATGTGTTACTAAATTTTGATACAGAAAGGTCAATTCGTGGAAAACCAAATACCAATCTGCATTCCATGCATATTATAATTTGTAACCATGCTAAATCAATTAAACTGTAGTCGAAGTCTTTGGAATCTCTAACTTAAATGATGTATCTGTGTTTCACATGAACTTTGATTCTTATTTATAAGTGATGACAACACATTTTCAAATATTATACTTGAGTTATAAATAAAAATACTCTAGTTGCATCCAATTTTGTATTGGCACAACGGCCATTGTACCTATCAGTGCTCTAAAAGAGACCCGAGTTCGAAGATTGATATTTTAATATCTTTTTTAAGCTCTAGTCTTTTTTGCATTCATATTTTTCCCTTTCTATTAGTGATATCGAATCGAATCCAATCCGGGGAGAAAAAGAGCAGAAACTGATTGGATTCTCGAAAAAATATTGAATTAAAATTGTTTTATTTTTGTCTCTCAAAGCATTTTCTTTTTAAAAAACGTCGAAGAAGAAGAAAGTAGGAACAGAGTGGAAGAAGAGGGAAGAGGAGGAGAGTGGAATGCAATTTGAGTGAATGGAGTTGCAGAGGAAAGTAGCAGAAGCAATCCATGTCTTGAATCACGATCCTGAATCTTCCAACAGAGTTGCCGCCAATCAATGGCTTGTTCAATTCCAGCAGACTCCGGCCGCTTGGGACGTCTCTACTTCTCTCCTCACTTCTCCGATTGTCTCTCTATTCGACCTCCAATTCTTCGCCGCCCAGATTCTCCGTCGAAAGGTCTCTCCTTTCACCTCTCTATCTTTCGTGATTCTCGATTTCGACCATCCCAGAAACCCTTTTTACCCCCTTTTGGTGTTGGTTTCAGATTCAGAACGAAGCCTCGAATCTCCAGTCAACAGCTAAAGACGCTCTTCTCAACGCCCTTCTTCTCGCCGCCAAGAGATACAGCTCCGGTGTTCCTCAGGTATGGTACCCTTTTTTTGTTTTTCCGGCGAGATGAATGATTTTGGGTTGTGTTTGTGATGGAAATCGGGAATTGCAGCTCTTGACGCAGATATGCCTTGCTCTCTCGGCGCTTCTTCTCCACGCGGATCCTTATTCAAAGCCTTTTGACAAGCTCATGTTCGCACTCCAGAATCTCCAGGCCCACGATGATGGCAATGTCGTCTTGCTCGAGCTTCTCACTGTTCTTCCTGAAGAAATATCTGACACTCGCCATTCTTCTCATCACTCTGATCTTCGTCAAGAGGTTTCTCCTTCTCTTTCCCCCCTTTCTCATTTCCTTTTAAAGTTTGTGTTTTTCTTTTTCTTTGTTCCTCACTGCTTACCTCGTTTTGTAGCAGCTGCTCTCGCATACTTCCATGGTTCTTGATTTCTTACTCCAGCAGTCTGAGAAGCAATTCGCCTCCCCTCTCTATCCGCATGACAACAACCGCAAAATACTCCGTTGCTTACTGAGTTGGGTATGTTGCTTTGTATTTCATGTAGAATTGTATTGTAGTGGCCTTTTAATCGGATTTTCATTTTGATGTCTTTCCTCATAATCATTAGGTCCGTGCTGGATGTTTCTCTGAGATTCCACAAGGCGCAGTGCCTTCACATCCCCTTCTTAGCTATGTATTTAATGCTCTGCAGGTGATTTTCCTTAGTGCTGTGGTTTAATCTACTGCCTTTTCTTTTACAAGGTGCTTTTCGATTTCTTTCTTAGGTTTCAATTTCTTTGCGTTCCATAGGGTACTACTTTTGATCTCGCCATTGAGGTGCTTGTTGAACTTGTGACTCGACATGAGGTATGTTTGAACTACATTGTATTGGCATCTTTTTCTTTGTATACTTTTCTCTAACTGGTTCATACGTAATGGCGATCTCGTTATATCATCCTATTGTGTTATAGCCATGCTTCTGGATTTCAGTCGCTTTGACTTGTTTTCTTCTTCCAGGATCTTCCTCAGGTTTTATTGTACAAAGTACAGTTGCTCAGAGATACACTTCTAAAACCAGCTCTTATAAATGCTGATCCAAAAGTTGTCTCTGGCCTGGCATGCTTGATGTCTGAGATCGGACAGGCTGTGAGTACTAATTCCAATTTTTCTCTCTCATGACTGTGCAACCAATGTTGTTACGTTATTACTCTTCACTCTACTTTATTTCTTGCTTTCTGTGAGGCTCATGTCGGTTTGCAATATGTTCCAGGCACCATGCTTGATTGTTGAAGCAAGTTCCGAAGCACTTATTCTGACTGATGCCCTTCTGAGGTGAATAGTAAGCCGTGATTGTTTGCGTTTACTTTTCAATCTAGTCTGTATTTTTCCAGTAACCTCACAACCTTTAGCATTTTAATCAAAATTCCTTTGTTAGTTGCAAACACCAAACTAAAATGGGAGATTCTTTTTCGGTTTGCGCTTGCTCTTTGTAATAATATTTTATGAAAAACTGAATGATTTATTGTTTTTTCAAGTTTTTTATTTTGTTTCACATGAAGACACAAACGCCAACGCAAAAACTGACTTTAAATCAATCCAGGCCTTAATTGTTTCACAATCTAAATATTCACACAGTTGGTGCAACTTTAAGCTGATTTACTCTTGTTATTTTGGTTGGTATGAATATCTAACATGTTACTCTTGTTCACTGTCCATCAATTACCTTTCCAGCTGTGTGGCATTTCCAAGTGATGACTGGGAGATTGCGGACTCGACTGTACAGTTTTGGTATTAATTTTTTCCATCTTCATTATGTTCCTCAACCATATCGACTTAAACTTTCTTCTTTCAGAAAGATTTCTGCTGGCTATTCTTTGAGCTCAGTCTTGTTTTTTTTTTCCCTTTCTTATCTTAGGTCATCTTTTGCGACATATATACTTAGCCTAGGTGGAAGTAGACAGAATGACAGAAATCGTGTGAAAGATATATTTCTACCAGTTTTGTCAGCTTTAGTTGATGCTCTTGTGCTGCGCGCTCAGGTTACATCTTGGAAGCTTTCGTATATTTAATGTCTCTTTCAGTTTATATATATAGAAGCTGTCATATCAGTTGCACCACCAGCAATTCCTTTGAAAAAATTCTGTTAACCTTGGAGATCTCTCCTTCATATTGATATAGTACTTATTTTAAGGATTGGTCAGTTATTCCATTGCATATTCTTGAATTTCTTAGGCTTGTCATTCACAGTTTCTTGCATCTTAGTCTAACCTTTCTTCTTTTATCACATTCCACCATGTATCGACACAATATTGGATGTTTAGTTTGTCATTTCCTGAATATTCATAAGCCCATATTGAACAGCTGTTTCATTTATTGTACCAATCAATGGTGTTTTTTTTTGTGCTTCTAAAATTCCTTAGAAATTTATCTTCAGGTTGATGAGTTTACCTCCAGTGATGACAGTCCAGGGCTTGACCTTCCTGATGGTCTGTTGCATTTTAGAAATAATCTTCTTGAGCTCTTGGTAGATATTTGCCAGCTACTTCATCCTACAACATTTGTGAGTAAGGTGTGCCCTCACTTTATACTAAAAAAACATTAATCGAATCAGTCTTTGTGGTACAACTAATTTTTATCATGAATCAGGCAAGATTTCCCTAAATATAACACTTTCTGAACTGTGTCATGTTGAAAACAGCTTCTTCGTTATTTTTCCGTATCTAGTTAGATCTCATGAGATCGTTTCACTTTCTTAGTGAGACATGCTCTGTATAACGTTGAGTCTTTTAGATTATTACTTTAATTGGCTCAAACAGAACAACATTGCTCTGGTGTCTTGGATTACTTTAGTTAGATGGTTGCTTGATAAGTAGTTTTTGCTCTTTCATGTTCTGTGACAAAGTCTTCAGTTTTGTTTGTTATGTTATTTTAAACTTTGTCTTGCTGATATACCTGTAGTTATTTTTTGGTGGCCTGCCTTCTTCAAATGTTTCGATGCCCTTGAGGGAGATCGAGGCGAAGTTGTTTGCTCTTAATGCGGTGAGCACACTTGACCTCTTTACTTCCAGTCAAGTTGCTTCATTTTAAGTGCTTCAGAACAACCCCGAGAGGGGTAGGATCACATTGTACGGATTCTCTACTGTCAGTAGTTTTTGTCTCTATTACTTATCCATCCGTCGTCAAGTTCTGTTATCTTTAAGCTTGGCAGTTTTCATAAGTTGCAATTTCTCTTGTTTATCCCTGTTTTTACTAAAGGATTCAACCGTGTCAGGTTTCTGAAATTATCTTGCAAGAGGGAGAGGCTTTTGATTTTTCATTGATCATGCAATTGGTTTCTGCATTCTCCGTTAGGCCATCCAGCGAGCTCAAGGGGTTTATATGTGTTGTATGTCAGTTCATACCTTTGCCTTGTCTTCTGGCTTACCATTAATTTCTTGTACTGTAAATGCAATCAACATTTAACAGTAATCAACTTTTAGGTATACAGATCACTGGCAGATGTTGTTGGCTCCTATTCAAGATGGATCTCTGTTTTTCCAAGCAATGCCAGACCGTTGCTGTGAGTCTACTTTCTTCAGTGACCGTACACCATAATATAGCACAATTTTAACAAGGATTGGTATTTTTCATTTGGTCTGATAATCTAGATGGTGCATGGTTTTTCTGCTTTCAGGTTATTTCTTGCAGGAGGGATTTCTGAACCTATTTGCTCACATGCTTGTGCCTCTGCTCTGCGTAAAATTTGTGAAGATGCTCCAGCTGTAATCCAGGAATCATCAAATTTAGACATCTTAATGTGGATAGGAGAGGTATCAGCTTCATGCTCCCCTTTTGTTAACTGTTAAAACAAGCTTCAAGGTACACTGATACATTCAGTTTGACTCCTGAATCAATGTTCTTTTACCATTCGTAGTGTTTGGAGCAGTGGAATTTGGCGTTGGAAGATGAAGAAGAAGTCATTAGCGCTATCACTGTGATCCTTGGCTCTGTTGCTAACAAAGAGCTACAAAATAAATTATTAACTCAATTGCTTTCGGCAAGTTACGGAGTTCTCTCAAAACTTGTAAGTATTTATATTGCTCAGTTATAAAGAATTAATCTTCAGGGTTCTTCATCATCCTTTTTCCTGTACAAATAACTGTTTGTTCGTTCTCTGCATTAATGGGAAAAGAATCAGCTATTCGTCCACAGACGATGCCCTCTGAGATGGAATTTGGACTAATAACTTTTATGGTTTTAGGTAGATGATGACGCTGAGTCTTCTGGTAGACAGAGTCCAGCCACTTACACACGAATGTTGAGCTCTGTTACAAGAGGTCTTTACAGGTCTGCTTCTGTGACTGCTGTATCTACTATTTTGCTTAATCGCGTTTTAACCTAGGAGCTTTTCCTGAATTGGTCGACGGCGTTGAGACTTCAATTCATCTATGAAAACATTGCCATAATCCATTACATATATATTTTTATTCTGATAACCTGCAGTTAAATAGATTAGATAACTGCGAACCATAATCTTAAGTAGCTTGCACTCTCTGGTAGTTTTCTTACAAGGTGAACAAAACTTGTTATCATATTGATGACTTTGCCCTTCACTTGTTCCATGATTCAGGATTGGAACTGTATTCAGTCACCTTGCAACATCTCTGTCATCTGCATCCGTGGCAGATGGTCCAATCCTATCTTTGTTGACTGTTTTCTGGCCCATTTTGGAGAAGCTATTTAGGTCTGAACACATGGAGAGTGGCAGTTTAGCTGCAGCAGCATGCCGTGCTCTTTCAGAGGCAGTTCGGTCGTCAGGTTTCAAACTTCATATCTCCGTATTCTATTCAGCTGCACTCGTCTTGTTATGCTTTTAAGAGTCTGGAACATTTCTCTACGCCTAAGCATCCTTTTACACTGATAGATGATTTCTCAGAGTATCTACCAATTATATCTTGCTTTCGTACCATACTGACTATGGCATATATGATTTTGGACTGTTATGGATAGTAGGATTTTCTGACATTTGCCTTCTTATAGGTGAGCACTTTATGCTGCTACTACCCAGTGTACTGGAGTGTCTATCGAGAAATTTTCTGTCATTTCAGAGCCAAGAATGTTACATTAGAACAGGTGAGATTTCTTAATTTCAGGTACAGGCTCCACTGCTGGAGAAAAATCTCTTGAGATAATTCATTAGCCACGATTTTTATTGCCTAGCCTAAATATACTCAGTTCTCTGAAAGATTGACTTTCCACACGCTTGTTATCACAGCCTGTGTAATCGCTGAAGAATTTTGTCACAAGGAGGAATACGGGTCCTTGTTTATCACTACGTTTGAGAGATTTACTCAAGCATCGTCTCTGATGGGAATAAATTCGTCGTACATTTGCGACCAAGAACCCGATTTAGTGGAAGCATATGTGAATTTCGCATCAGCATTAATCCGCGGTTGTCATAAGGTTTTGTAACCACCACTCCTTTGCTCGTTAAAGTATAACTTTCTATTCATCTTGTGGTGAAGGTTTGGTTGTGTTTTCTTTTGATGAAACAGGAATTGTTGGGTACTTCTGGAACGCTTCTTGAAATTTCTTTCCACAAAGCGGCTATTTGTTGTACAGCTATGCACCGAGGTGCTGCTTTAGCTGCAATGTCATACTTGTCAGGTACGTGTGCAAGTGGTTTACTGTCGCAAAACATGGCCTCAATGCATACAAGATTCATTACACAAGGTTTATGACATGCACAGGTTTCTTGGAGGTTTCGCTTTCTTCCATGATCGAAACGGTGAACTGCATATCAGAAGGATCATTCAGTGTGGTCTCCGTCCAGGTTGTATCTCACTGTGGAGAGGGACTTTTGTCTAATCTAATCTACGCTCTACTTGGAGTTGCAGCTATGTCAAGGGTAAAAGAATTCTAGTAAAATCTCTCAGAAAGTAGTTGTGGATTGGGATCTCTGATTCACCTATTCGGTTCTGTATTTTGATTTAGGTCCATAAGTGTTCCACAATACTTCAGCAGTTAGCTGCGATCTGCAGTTTATGTGAGAGGACTTCATGGAAAGGAATGTTGTGTTGGGAATCTCTCCAAGGATGGCTAAACTCAGCGGTTACTCTCTTCGTGATCACATTATAGCCGAGCTCCTCCTCTGTTTTTGGCTCGTTCTAATGGCTTTTTCTTGTTTTGGGTTTTCAGGTGTGGGCACTTCCAAGCGAGTATCTGAAGCAAGGAGAAGCAGAGAGCATAGTGAGGGAATGGTCAGAAGCTCTGGGAGGTGCAGGGATCGATTACCTTGAGAACAAAAGCTGCAATTTTGGAAACGATAACACTTCAGTAGGAGGAGGAGGAGGAGGAGGAGGAGGAGGAGGAGGACATATGCAAGGGAGACACGGTCGAGCACTGAAGCGATTAGTGAGAGATTTTGCTGATTCTCATCGAAACGATCCCAATCTAAATATCAAGTTGATTTAGAATAAAACATTGAAAACCTATTTTGTAAGTTGCGAAATATGAGAGATGAAAAGTTTATTTTTCCAAGCTTAAAATAATGTTTGAAAATGATTTAGATTACTTTTTCTTAAAACATTTAATTGCATAAATTTAAAGGAAGCAAAAGTGCCTATTGTAATCTTAAAGAACCTGAAATGAATCAATAAGAATTACAGCCGAACATAAAAATCTCCATGTTTTGAGACTGAGAAGCAAGAGAGAAAGAATCTTCTCTTGATAAAAAAAGTCGATAAAGTCAACCGAAGAAACTCCGATCTTGTCCTTGTTCAGTTTCAACAGAGTCAATTCCGCAAAACGGCAATCAGTAGGCCGAGTTTGGTTATTGGGCCTTTTTAGTCAAGATAATGTTATTTACGTATTTTGCCGGTTTTCTGGGAAATAAATAAAGTCTCGCACGTTAAAAGAACGAAATTAATTCGGTTGCTTGGTTTTGTGGTAGGAATTTTGGAAAACCCTAGCCGAATCACTTCTGGGAAGAGACGCCGCCGGAGTCGCTGATAGAGAGAGAGAGAGAGAGAGAGAGAGAAAAGGTACGTTTGCGTGATTTCAATTTCTCTCCACGCCGAATAATTCTGTTCATCGTGTAAACTTTTGATGAAATTTATTGAAAAGCTTCGATCTTCACTTCAGTAGAATCCCCTTTTCTTTTTCTTTTTCATCTCAATTCGATTTCGTCGTGTTGTATCCGAATTTCACGCTGTTCAAAGACGACGAGAAGCTTAAAACTTTAATTCTCAGTATTTCAAACTCCGACTGACTTTGCTGTTTTTTGTGTCCTTAGGTCGGTTTTGATCTCCTGTTCTCCATCTTCGACCCCGAGAGACGAAAATGGCGGATCAGGAGTCAGATACGAACATCGAGATTTGGAAGATTAAGAAACTGATCAAGGGTCTCGAATCCGCAAGAGGTAATGGAACGAGTATGATCTCTCTTATCATGCCTCCTCGTGATCAGGTCTCTCGTGTCACCAAGATGCTTGGTGATGAATACGGAACCGCTTCGAACATCAAGAGTCGAGTCAATCGTCAGTCCGTCTTGTCTGCCATCACTTCCGCTCAACAGAGGCTGAAGCTCTACAACAAGGTCCCTACCAATGGGCTTGTTCTCTACACCGGCACAATCGTTAATGATGATGGCAAGGAGAAGAAAGTCACGTTTGATTTCGAGCCCTTTAGGCCGATCAACGCTTCCTTGTACCTCTGTGACAACAAGTTCCACACGGAGGCACTGAACGAGCTTCTAGAGTCTGATGACAAGTTTGGTTTCATCGTCATGGATGGAAACGGGACGCTGTTTGGAACTCTGAGTGGGAACACCAGAGAGGTTCTTCACAAGTTCACCGTTGATCTCCCCAAGAAGCACGGAAGAGGAGGACAATCTGCGCTTCGTTTTGCTCGTCTTAGGATGGAGAAGAGACACAACTACGTCAGGAAAACCGCAGAGCTTGCTACACAGTTTTACATCAATCCAGCCACAAGTCAGCCTAATGTCGCTGGTCTGATCCTCGCTGGTTCAGCTGATTTCAAGACCGAGCTGAGCCAGTCTGAGTTGTTTGATCCTCGTCTTCAAGCCAAGATATTGAACGTGGTGGATGTCTCTTACGGAGGTGAAAACGGTTTCAACCAGGCGATTGAGCTGTCTGCTGAGATTCTGTCTAACGTCAAGTTCATACAGGAGAAGAAACTGATTGGGAAGTACTTTGAGGAGATAAGTCAAGATACTGGGAAGTATGTTTTCGGTGTGGAAGATACTCTAAAGGCTCTAGAGATGGGTGCTATCGAGACCCTGATTGTGTGGGAGAATCTGGATATAAACAGGTACGAGCTGAAGAACAGCACGAGCGGAGAAATGGTGGTGAAACACTTTGGGAAAGATCAAGAGACTGATCAAAGCAACTTCCATGACGTAGAGACTAACGCGGAGCTAGAAGTCCAGGAGAAGATGCCTCTGCTCGAGTGGTTTGCGAATGAGTACAAACGTTTTGGCTGTACTCTCGAATTTGTGACTAACAAGTCCCAAGAAGGGTCACAGTTTTGCAGAGGTTTTGGTGGGATTGGTGGTATGCTTCGTTACCAGCTTGACATGAGGACATTTGATGAGTTATCGGATGGTGAACTCTATGAGGATTCTGATTAAAGTGGAAAACTTTTGGTGCTGCTTTCAGATCGATACAGCGAGGGAAATGTGGCATAAGATGGATCTTTTATCAAGAAAGGGTTTGAAGTTTTGAGAAAAAGAACCGAGAAATTTAAGTTTTTTTGTTTCCTATAGAACATTGAAAAGCTTGTCTCTTTCTTCTCCAACATTTTTTCCTGTGTTTTTGCTAGACAATTTTTGTTGTAATTGGTCCCGTTTTGAGGATTCTGAACATCTTTTTTGTTGCTCTAGTTTCTAATTCTGAAAATCGATGGTGAAGAACACGGAGATGTCGATTTCTGCGAACCTAAACGGCACCGTTGGGCATTTTTGATTTATAATATAATCTGAATTAAATAATAATTTAAGAAATTAGGATTATCCATCTTCGTTCACTCTGCGAGTGATAGAAGCCGAATGTAGGGGAGTCGCTTCTCTAGGGCTTCTTCTGATCGGAATCGATGAGATTTTGAAGCACGATGGGTACGAGCAGCGACCCGGTCCAAGACGGTTCCGATGAGCAGCAGAAGCGATCGGAGATCTACACATACGAAGCGCCATGGCACATCTACGCAATGAACTGGAGCGTTCGTCGCGATAAGAAGTACAGGCTCGCCATCACCAGCCTCCTCGAGCAGTACCCGAACCGTGTCGAGATTGTGCAGCTCGATGAATCCAATGGCGAGATCCGATCCGATCCTAATCTCTCCTTCGAGCATCCTTACCCACCCACGAAGACCATTTTCATCCCGGATAAGGAGTGCCAGCGACCCGATCTTCTCGCTACCTCAAGCGACTTCCTCCGTCTATGGCGTATCGCCGACGATCACTCCCGCGTAGAGCTCAAATCGTGTCTCAACAGCAACAAGAACAGCGAGTTCTGTGGCCCTCTCACTTCCTTCGACTGGAACGAAGCTGAGCCACGCCGGATCGGAACATCAAGCACCGATACGACTTGCACAATCTGGGACATCGAGCGTGAAGTTGTTGATACTCAGCTTATTGCGCACGACAAGGAAGTCTTCGACATTGCTTGGGGTGGAGTCGGCGTCTTCGCTTCCGTCTCAGCTGATGGATCAGTGAGAGTCTTCGATCTCCGTGACAAGGAACATTCCACGATTATCTACGAGAGCTCTGAGCCAGACACTCCTTTGGTGCGTCTCGGGTGGAACAAGCAGGATCCAAGGTATATGGCCACCATTATCATGGACAGTGCTAAAGTCGTGGTGCTCGACATTCGTTTTCCAGCTCTTCCTGTGGTGGAGCTTCAGCGACATCAGTCTAGCGTCAATGCCATAGCTTGGGCTCCTCATAGCTCTTGCCACATCTGTACCGCGGGAGACGATTCACAAGCTTTGATTTGGGATATTTCATCCATGGGACAGCACGTCGAAGGTGGTCTTGACCCCATTCTCGCTTACACAGCTGGTGCTGAGATTGAGCAGCTGCAATGGTCTTCTTCTCAGCCTGATTGGGTCGCTATTGCATTCTCCACGAAGCTGCAAATCCTCAGGGTTTGATCCTTTTTTTCTTCATTTAGCTTCTGATCTCTTGTGACAACAGGGTACCTCGTTTTCAATCGTGTTAAAGAGGTCTGCTTTCTCTTGTTACTATCCTCAAGATGTAAAGCTAAAAGTTTCCACTGACTGTTCTTCAACGTATTAATGAATCTGCTTGATCTCGTTAGTCGTTACTATCCTCAATACGCAAAGCTTGCACTCACTCTTATTGATGTGTGATTGATAAGAAAGGATGATCCTTTGCTTCATCACTTCTTCTCTCTTGGCACAATCTTTTCAGTCTGATCCATGGTTTAGTTAAAGTTCTCCTGCATGTCTTGGAATGTGTTTCTTATGAGGTCAATACCCAAAAAATTCACAGAAAACAAATCTCACATTAGCCCTGCAAGTAGGCTCTTATCAAAACCTTAACCCAAAGTGTTTAAATTTCACCGTTTTGATTTCCGCGGCTTAAACTGAGTTTATGTTATGGGATAAATCATCATCGCCTTGGCCAAAGGCTTAGTAAAGTTGGTACTTTGTGATATTATATGTAAAATTATAAATTGCTTCAGATTATATGAAAGGTATCTGAGATTTTATCTGCAGCAAAGAGTGTCAGAGAAAGGAAATGTCGTTTTCAGTGGTCCTTAAGAACGTATGTCGCAAGATGAGTAGAAGCCATCTGCTGTGCAAATGTGACCACATGATGGGGAAGCCCACTTGTGAAGCCCAAGTGAGAAGAAAAGATCAGTGAATCATACAAAACGTGAAGAGGGAAGAGAGTGAGAAACCACAACCATACAAACCAATGACAAAGCTATCCAGAATCTCATCTTCTTGCCTCCAACTCAGCAATTCTATTATCCTATATTACCACATTCTGCTTCAACATTGCTTTCTGTCCTCTTTTTCTTCTGCTGCTACAATATACACAGATTCTCTCTGGTAGCCATGGCTTCGGCTACCTTCTCTGTGACCAAACCATCTCTTCAGGTTTTTGTTTCATCTCGCCTTCCTCATTATCTTTACTGCCCTTTCAAAAGTGTTTATCATCATCATCTAAACACTCTAATGTCTTTGCTTTTCAGGGTTTCTCTGAGTTCTCAGGACTTCGAAACTCCTCTGCTCTTCCCTTCGCCAGGAAATCTTCTTCCGATGAGTTTGTTTCCTTCGTCACTTTCCAGACTTCTGCTGTGAGTTCCTTTCCTCTCTATGGCTTCTGTTTAAGATCGTATGGTACAATCTTGTAAAATCAAGTGATGTCTCTTGTGTCTAATGCATCCACCATTGTAAATCTATCCCATCGTGAACAAGCCTGCATGTCATGATCAGCCATGACTTCGTCTTTTTTGTTTTTGTTTTGTGATTCAAATACGTTGCTCTCTATGTGTTGCAGATGGGAAGCAATGGTGGATACAGGAAAGGAGTGACCGAGGCCAAGCTAAAGGTAGCCATCAATGGTTTCGGTAGGATCGGTAGGAACTTCTTGAGGTGTTGGCATGGTCGTAAAGACTCTCCTCTCGATGTCATTGCCATCAACGACACTGGTGGCGTCAAACAAGCATCGCATCTCCTCAAGTACGACTCAACTCTTGGAATCTTCGACGCTGATGTCAAACCTTCAGGAGACTCTGCTCTCTCTGTTGATGGAAAGATCATCAAGATTGTATCTGATCGTAACCCATCTAATCTCCCTTGGGGGTAAGTTAATAACAATTCCCATTTTCTTTCACATTGGTCAACTTGGCTTAGATCTAAGTCGAACGTTTTTTGGAAAATTGGTGAATGATGTTGTAGGGAACTAGGCATTGACTTGGTCATCGAAGGAACCGGAGTGTTTGTGGACAGAGAAGGTGCTGGAAAACACATTCAGGCTGGAGCCAAGAAGGTTCTTATTACTGCGCCTGGCAAAGGCGATATCCCAACTTATGTCGTTGGTGTCAATGCTGATCTTTACACCCATGAAGATACAATCATCAGCAATGCTTCTTGTACTACTAACTGTCTCGCTCCATTCGTCAAGGTTCTTGACCAGAAATTCGGTAAGCATCTCTTACAATCTCGCAAAAAGATGAAATCAGTTTGTTTTAACATGTCAAAATGCTTAACAGTATTGTCTTGTGTTATAAACATGGTAGGGATCATAAAGGGTACAATGACAACTACTCACTCATACACTGGTGACCAAAGGCTGTTGGATGCGAGCCACCGTGATCTAAGGAGAGCAAGAGCAGCAGCTTTAAACATCGTTCCAACATCCACAGGAGCAGCCAAAGCCGTGGCTCTCGTGCTCCCTAACCTCAAAGGAAAACTCAATGGAATCGCATTGCGTGTGCCAACACCAAACGTCTCTGTGGTCGACTTGGTCGTGCAGGTCTCCAAGAAGACATTTGCTGAGGAAGTCAACGCTGCTTTCAGAGATGCAGCTGAGAAAGAGCTCAAAGGTATACTCGATGTCTGCGATGAGCCTCTTGTCTCTGTCGACTTCAGGTGCTCTGATGTGTCCTCCACCATTGATTCTTCCCTCACAATGGTTATGGGAGATGATATGGTTAAAGTGATTGCTTGGTATGATAACGAATGGGGTTACTCTCAGAGAGTCGTTGATTTGGCTGACATTGTTGCCAATAACTGGAAGTGATGACTCAACTTTTGTTGTCTGCTCCATTTTTTTTTCTTACTGTTATATGATCCGGAATGTATAATTGTAGTTCCCGAGTTTATATATTTGGCTCTACAATTTTATAGTAATAAACTTGATTCAAACATGTTACATCCTCTGCTTAGTTTTAACTCTGGTTTTGGGGGTGTCTTTGAGAAAGATACAATAATTTTTTTATAACATAAGAGAAAGATTTGGTATTGAAAACTGCTTATACAGCAAAAGAGCAAACAATGCAAAATATTAAAAGGGGTTAATAGGCGATTCGAATCAGATGAAAGATGACAAAGAAGTAGACTCAATAACCTGAGGAGGATCTCCATTAACATCATTGAGAAGAGAAGTGGGCATGTTGCTTAAAAGGAAGTCATACTCAGAGTCAGAGCAATGAGGTTCATCGCTGAGAACCGAACCAATCTTCATCTGGTCTGCATCGCCATGTTCACCGGTGTTGTCCTGATGAGCAAAGAAACTGCTTGACATATCATTGGGCAAAGAAGGTAATGAAACCTCACTGCTTCTACCAACATGATCATCATAATCATAACAATTAGTGAGATTAACAGGAAACTGTTGTTCTTGCAAAGAAGAAGAAGAGATAGGACCAACAAGAAAATGGCTGTTTTCCGGTGGCTGGTCATGATGAAAACAGAAACTAGAAGATCCCCAAGTCATATCAGGTCCCAAAGAGGCAATAGGGTTAACAAAATCTTTGTCTGATGAAGACTGTAGCGACGGTTGTGGTTGTCTTTGTAGAGAAGAGATGTTTTCAGTATAGAAGAAGTTGGTTTTAGCTAGAGATCCACTGATGGATCGGGCAGCTGCATCATAAGCTAGAGCAGCTTCTTCGGCTGTATCAAATGTTCCAAGCCAGTGTCTTTCTTTTGTGAAAGGGTTTCTGATTTCAGCTGCATATCTTCCCCATGGACGCCTCCTAACTCCAAGGAACTTCACTTCTTGTGACTTGTTCTCTTGTTTGCTTTTGCTCTTGTTTCTTGATTTCAACATGTTTCACAATACTCAGAGATCAATGCTTGTCTCTCGAAGTGTCTAGGAGGATCTTTAGTCTTTGCTATTATCTATATATAGAGAGAGAGAAGAGCAAAAGACTGTGTGAACTTGATTGATGCCTTTCTGGCTTTGGCATTAAATTAAAGTAATTAGTTGGGAGTTACTAGAATTTAACTCCAAAGTCTTACATCTCCTTCGTAAACCGTGTCAGTGGGAACAAGAAACCTTTTGTCCTTTTGCTTAGTGCTTTCCACACTTTAGCTACATGGTCTGTGAGTTTATCCATCTTGTGTCATTTACATACAAGCAAAGAGAAAACCAAGGCTTTGAAAGAATGTATGGAGCCAAGCCAAGTGGTGACAAGGACATTGTCATTTTAGGTTCAGACAAAAAGCTGTACAAATAACAAGAAACCTAACTAAACACTCAATGGGAGAACATGTGACACATATGCTTAGGGATTTGGATATTGAGGGTAACTCAGTTGATTTAAAGTCAATCATTAAGCATTGAACTGTGTGTGATTAGTTCATTTATTTTTGTCTTCTTCCATTTGGTGTCCAAATTGCATATCTAGAGATAGAACAGACAATGATATCAGGATTATATCACATGTGTCTGAAGTCGTTATGCTTCTCATTTTTTAATAGAATCCAAAAGCTAATAGAAAAACTAATTAACTACAAAACAGTGCCAAGGATCTATTTGACACTCCTCTAGCTTATTTGAAGAATCCTGCACCGTCTCTTCCTCCTCTGTTCTCAGTTTTCCTTCTTCTTCTTCTTCCATTACCCTCAAAAACTCTTCAAGTGCTCTCTGCATCCACTCATACCGACACAGCTCCAATGCTTCTTTAACATTCAACTGCACGTTTTGTTCATGTAAAATCAAATCATTCGTTAATATGATCGTATACTGATGATGTTTTGAGCTTTTTTTACCCATTTCCTCTCGCGATTCTCTCGTTCTGGCCAATCCTCAAGTTCTTCGGTTACATCTAATGCAAACATATATCCTTTGCATCCACCAAAACATTCATCTTCCAAGCTGCTACTTTTGCTTCTAAATTCCCAAACTCCTAAAGGGACTTCCTGAAACAAAATGACCAACAACACATCAAAAACTTTATAAATGTTCTGTTTTAAACATTGGGAAAACTTACTCTAAGTATTCCTTTAACTCCTGCTTCTTCCATGGCTTCACGAGAAGCAGCTTCAAGAACAGTCTCATCATCTTCCCATCCTCCCTGTTAATAACATACACACACACAAAATAAGAGTTTTCAAAAATGGGCAATTGCAAAAAGCCAGTAAATAGGGAGATTTTCAAGAGAAGTCACAAAAAAAAGAACCTTTGGGAAGACAAGATCATGACGATTAGGAGATGAAACCATAAGAACTTCAAGTTTGTTGACAAAGTCAACACTTGTTGTGTCTTCTTCAGTTTCCTCATCTTTAATCAGCCTATACGGAATGCATCTGTTCATATGTGTAGCGAACACTAAGAAATCAACAATTTTATTTTTCTGATTTGGTTTTTTTTCTTCTTGTGTGTTGAAATTTCGACATTTGCAAAATTGGTAATCATAGAGCATAAAAAAAAAGGATTTTTTTTTTTCTTTTTTGGTTACCCAGAAACGAGACGGAAATTGTTGTCGTAACGTTGACGATCTCTTCCTGTCCGAGATGAAAGAACCGACATTGATGAATCTACGCGAAAAGATTTCGTCACAAAATCAAAAGAATCAGAGGATCGAGAGAATGCGTCTGCTACGTTCTTGAAAAGCCCTCTTCTCGTTTATTGGGGGTTAGTAAGAAACATGCTCATGGCGTATCATCTTCATCTTTGAAACACACATTTTACCGAATTAACAAATCCACGAGAGAGAACAGAATCTCAAACTCACAAAAGAATGGGAAAAATGTTGATTTTTTCTAACTTTTAATTTCTTCCTATTTTTGCGGAGAAGAATGAGGAACATAATCCACGAGCATTCATTGCTTTATAATCAATTTTAAAATTTATGAAAAAAAAAAAAAAAAAAAAAAAAAAACAGATGAAGATGAAGAAGAACCATCATAACACAATTTCGAAGCAAGTCACTGACGTATCTGATTCCGTATTTGACTTATTACAGTTTATCTCGCGTGTATTCTCCACTGAAGATAATAATTCGATAATAGATTCTTCAAAAACTTATCTTGAGAGTTGAGATGTGTTTTAAAGAAGACCACTGAAACCGAATTGGTATAAGTTCCAATCCCTGATTTCTAGCTTAATTTGCTTTTTTTTTTCTTTATATTTTTTTTGTCAATATATATATATATATATTTATTTATATCACTAAACTTTTAAAAAGTTTTTTTTATGTGTTTTTTGGTTTTTTTTTTGTAAAATATATAGTAAAATCTGTTAATAATATTATTTTTAATGAGCTTTAAATGATTTTAAATGAATTTAAGGAAGTTGTTATAAACTTATTTTTTTGTTTTGGATCTTTGTAAAATTGTGAAAATGGTAAAATATTTGCTACGGTTTTGAATATTTTTATATCTTAAACTAGGGATGTTACCGCGCTACGCGCGGACTGTTTTTATATAGATATTTAATTATTATTTAAGTTTTATTATTTTTACTTTAAGTTAATATTTTAAATATAATATTTAATTTTTAAAATTGTTTTGATATGATTATACATCAAAAATATTTTAACGTATTCAAAAAATATATCATGATATAATTTTAAGAATTACCTACTTGATATATGCTAAAATTAACTGTTAATCTAAAACTTAATATTTGTATATAAACTCACTGTTATTCACTATTAACTTTTAAAATATTATTAAAATTATTTTTGTTTTGACTAAATTTGATTATTATTGTTCCAATTAATTTAGATTTTTATTTTTATTTCAACTGTGTTTGTGTAGTGTTTTTATTTAATTAGCAATCTCAAATACAAACAACACTCAATGTTCTAATCTCTTATAAATCTATAAAATAACTATGATTCATATAAATAAAAACAATATTTACATAGTATAAAAAATCACAATCATATTGATAAAATGCAATTTTGATTTGGTCTATGAAGTATACGTAAACTATAAAAAATATAGATGAATAAGGTAAGTAATACATATACAAATACAATTTCATACTAACTCATTATGTTAAATAAAGTATGTTGAGTTTCTCAAAACTCAAAAGATGTAAAAATTTTTGCTTGTAATTCAACTTAAACATTTTTTTCTTAAACTACACATATATATTTTGATGAGCCTTTATAATTAAACTAATAATATATATTATATTATTTTTAAAGGAGTTTCTTAACCCAGTAAAAAAAACCATATTAGTTTTTCATTCAAGTTGGGTTTATAAGGAATTTTGTTGATGTGGATAATTAAAGATTTTTTAGACATTTTTTTCTACATAAAAATGTGTATATTATTTTTTTCAAAAATGCATTATTATTTAATTTAAGAATTTACTAACTTGATATATATAAAAATTAACTGTCATCTAAAACTTAATTTTTTTTGTTTATAAACTGTTTAACTCATGTGTTGACATGTATCGCTTGTAGTAACTTGACTACCTTAAGCCAACTAAGACACGCATTGAATAAATATCAGTGCATGAAATTCTTCTTTTGTCTATCATTTTCTACAATGTAAATAGTAACAATGATCGAAATCTTCATATAGATAGATGCTTTGAAAAGCTTCCTATAATTTATGTTGTCTTGTTGGTTGCCATAATCTAACGTACTATGATGTTTAATCTGTATGTTTCTAAAAGGTGAATGTTTTAGATTTTTATAATTTGTAACTGTTTTAAATTTTATTTTAGAAATTATTATTTTGTAATCTTGGTTCTATTAACTATTATTTAAGTTTTTTAGCGCAATTTGTTGTCTAATATATTCACTATATTACAAAAAGGAGTATATATTAATGCTACAGATTTAAATGATATTTATTTTACTGATTTAGAAAATGATATTTAGTTTTATTTACTTATTCCTAATAATTATATTAACTTAGTGGTTCTATTTATTTATTTTATGTGTATTTCAAAATATATAAAGTAAAATTTTTTATTATTGTTATATTACAAACAAAAGAAGTATATATTGATGCTATAAATTTAAATGATGTTTATTTTACTGATTCAAAAAATAATATTTTAATTTTATTTATTTTTGTTGGTAACTATATTAATTTTAGTGACAAAAATGAGTATATATTAATGCTACAGATTTAAATAATATTTATTTTACTGATTAAAATGATATATAATTTTATTTAGTTTTTACTAATAACTATATTAATTTAATGGTTCTATTTATTTATTTTATGTGTATTTTAAAAAAATCTAAAGTAAGAATTTTCATTATTGTTAATTTGTTATATTACAAACAAAAGAGTATATATTGATGCTATAGATTTAAATAATATTTATTTTACTGATTTAAAAAATAATAATTTATTTTTATTTACTTTTGTATTTAACTATATTAATTTTGGTTCTATTTATTTACTTTATGTGTATTTCAAAAAAATCTAAAGTGAGAATTGATATTATTATTTTTTGCTGATATATCATATTTTTAGAGTAGTTTGAAAAGCTGAGGTGGATAGCTTAAGGAGCCCCAAATAGTTCCTTTTATTTAGTATAGATCACAAGTTCATTTACGATGGATTTTGGATATATACAAATTTCATAACCAACAATACAAAATAATTTTGAAAATTCATGATTAAATAAGACACGATTTGTTATTTTAACACAAATCCAAGATAGAAATGAATATTCCATTTAGAGATATTCTCCTAAAACTAAGAGATACCTCTATGACATTTGGGATAATTAAGAGCTATCTCTATGACTCTAACAAATAATACGTTTCCTATTCATAAGCCCTTAAGCATAATTACCAATGCCCTAGTCTCTCTTTCGTATGTGTCACATACATTTACACTTGGTTAGAATTTGCAGCGTAAGTGTATAAAAAAGATATGCAGAGTAAATGCAACTCATTCATATATCAGTGGAGAAGTCAACGATGGAAGAGAATGCACCATCACCACAAAGAAGAAGAAACAACGTGGAGCGAGGTATCGCTATATCATCATTACCAAACGACCTCTTAGAGGAAATCTTGTTGCGACTTCCCATGGAAGCCATAATGCGATTCAAGTCTCTCTCAAACCAATGGAGACGGACGATCGGGTCTAGCAGTTTCTCACAGAGACACTTGAAGATTGCCAAGCGATACCACGTGGATCATCCCACACTCATGGGCGTAGAGGTTAAATCCAGCCAATGTAAATGGCATCATCCACGCGTAGAGATTGGTTTTCAGAGAACCTGCTCAGAGTCGGGTTCTCCTCTATCTTTTACTCGTTTCTATTTCTCCAACGGATCGGTTCCGGGAACTACTACGTTTCTGAAAGCTGCGACGGCCTTTTCTGCATCTATTCCCTAAACTCTACATATGTAGTTAATCCGGCCACTCGGTGGCTCAGACAACTTCCTCTGACTAGGTTTCAGATTTTGATGCGCAAGTCTATCCAAAGCGCCCGCGATATTGGTCCAGCATTCGTTAAGGCCAATGATTATAAAATGGTGTGGTTGTATAATTCTGATGATCACAATTCTGATGCCTCGAGTCCAAACGAGGGAGTTACCAAGTGCGAGGTTTTAGACTTTAGGGCAAACGATTGTAGGTACTTGGCTTGCACTCCAAGTTATCGCATATATCATGACCAGAGGCCAGCATCCGCAAACGGGTCGCTCCACTGGTTCACGGAAGCATATGATGGTGAAGTCAAAGTAGTAGCTTTCGATATTCATACCGAGAAATTTCGGTTGCTCTCTAAGGTTAGCCCGGCTATTGCTAGTTCGAATCCGATCGATATTGACATGTGCACTCTACACGATCGTCTCTGCATGTCAACAAGGGAGCGATGTACAAACAAAGACATTTGGAGACTGAATTCAACACAAGACACGTGGGAGAAGATTTGTGCCATAGATTTGCTTTCTTCTTGTTCTAATTACGATCCCTCTCGGATTCTCAGTGGGTTTTCTTTGACACCTTTGGCGATGATATGCAAGAACAAGAAGATACTCTTCTCTTATTGGAATGCCACCCATCTGCTAGCATATGATCTCCAAACAAAATCGTTCCGTTTATTTTTAGAGCGTTCGTCTATGAAATATGTTCCTTATTTTCAAAGTTTGATATATCACTGATAGTATATGCTTACTTGCTTCCTTTGATCGATGCATGTACCAAACCTAGCATTTATATATATCTTTTATCGATGATAAGTTTTTTTTTTCTTCTTCTGATTCCATTATTATTATTTTTTTAATCTATAAGACCAGGCTTAAACATTTACAGAGAAAATGATGAATTCATAAGAAAGAAAAACAGAGCTTTTGCCTAAAGAATTGCAGTTTTTGTTTGTTAAAAAAATATCTGGAGCACAAAAAGGATATTTGGTATTTTGCTATAGGGTGGAAGACTAGCTAAGTTATCTTGTACCCAAACTTATGTTACTCAAAGCTAAAATAACACAATAATCATCTGAAATTTATGATTTAAATCGTTGGAACTAGCTAGTAGTACTGATTAATGATATTTTTCAAAAAAATAAATAAACATCATAAATGATAAATATGTGACTTGTAGTGATTTTATTAGACTAAACACAAACATCACAGATTTTTTTTAGTCTACCAATATCTTTATCTTTACTAGAAGAAAACTCATCTTACCAAGAAAGAAAAAAAAGATCATAACTGATAACGCTATTAAATTGAATCCAATCAAATGATCATACTCAGAATCTTGATAAGCGTATGAACATGTTTTGTCTTATGTAAAAAATGTATTAATATGAAAACTTAGCGATAAAAAGAATTTTTGATGGTAATTGCGACACTTACTATTTACATGATAAAAGAAATCAGCGTTACAGCGGTGTGAAAACTTGTTGTCTTGTGGATAAATGTTTTCTTTGAAATGGAAAAATACTTTATTTCTTTTGAATTGAGTGAAAGATGAAAAAGAGGGACCATGGCCTCGTTGTTATAAAAAAAAAGGGACCATTGTGTCCGACATCTTTTATCCACATTAATCTTCAAATATTGATTGGTTCTCTCTTCTCTTTTTTTCCTTTTGTCAAAATTGATTCAAAATACTTTCTTATTCATGTCAAATTGTAATATCCAAAAGGCAAAATACAAGATGAATTAGTAGTAATAATAATAGCAGATAAATATCGAAATTTGACTATTTTCTATGACCATTTTCGTAGCTATATACTTTTCAGAGCTATTTGCAAACTCAATTTATAGTTTGTCAACCAAATTTAGTATTATAATTTTTTTTTGTTTGTCAACCAACTGAATTATTATTACACTTAATTTTGAAATAGTCGCAACTTTATCTCGGGTAAAATCAATGTAATAAGTAATCCAATAAAAGTTAAACATACAAAAAGGTTAAAAAATTAATAAACTAACGGTCGGGTTTAGCCTTTGCTAATCATCTTCCTTGATAAGTTTGACACTCTTCTTCACTGAACCAATTCCGCAGAAAAAGAAAGAAAGAAAAAATGAGGGAGAGAGGTGGCAAAGATGAAGTGGAGGTGAGAGACGGAAAGCAAAGATAGTCACGAGAATCAATGGTCAGTCTTAAAAAAGAAGAAGAAAAAGTAAATGGTGGCGTTCGAAATTGAATCCCCAAAAACCTTAACTTTTAGGGTTCGAGCTCTGAATTTTCTCTCTCTCTCTCTCTCTTTTTGTATATCTCTATCTTTCTTCTTAGATTTGGCTTTTTCTTGATTAGCCCTCCTCATAAGATCCTCGTGATTCCACTTTAACGCCTCCTTTTTGAAGAAAATCTCTGAAAATATTCAAAGTATTATATCTGCGTTTCTCTCGCCTTGTCTCCTTTTGAGGTTTCATTTTTCCAACTTCTCCAAAGTTCGGACCTTTTCAGTGAAAGAGCTATGAACGGCGACGGAGTTTGGCTCGACGGCGCCGGAGAACGCTCTCAGGCTGCGAACGACGGCGGCGTTAACGATGAGTCTGCGACGTGGGTCAGAAACCCAGAAGAAAACTGGTTCAATAACCCACAAACACCAAATCCACACGATTCTCAAATCCTCCACAGCAACCAGAATGACTTCAGATTCAATGGTGGGTTTCCCTTGAATCCTTCGGAGAATCTGCTTCTCTTTCTTCAGCAGTCGATCGATTCGTCTTCCCCGTTTCACCCTTTCACACTCGACGCTGCTTCACATCATCATCATCAACAACAGTCTATCTTAGCTACAAAAGCTTGCATAGCTTCTCTCCTCAGCGTCCCCACGAGCAACAACAACAACCTTTTTGATGAATTCGGCTTCGACTCTGGTTTCCTGGGACAAATCCACCAGACTCCAAACTCGATGAATTTCGCTGGATCGAGCCAAGGAATGAGTTCACCGCCGGATTTTCTCTCCTCCCGGCCAAATCCGCCGCTGGAAAACAACTCCGGAGGAGGCAATGGATTTAGTCCTCTGGAATTCGAGGGAATCGCGAGTGGAGTTTTCGAGAACAGAGCAAAGGTTCTGAAACCATTAGAGGTGTTGGCTTCATCTGGCTCGCAGCCGACACTGTTCCAGAAACGAGCTGCAATGCGTCAGAGTTCGAGCAGCAAAATGTGCAACTCAGAGTCTTCTTCTGAGATGAGGAGATCGAGCTACGAGAGAGAGATTGACGAGACTAGTACTGGAATCATCGACATCTCTGGGTTGAATTACGAATCTGATGAGCACAACAAAGGCAAGAAGAAAGGAATGCCTGCTAAGAACCTGATGGCTGAGAGAAGAAGAAGGAAGAAGCTTAATGATAGGCTTTACATGCTTAGATCAGTTGTTCCCAAAATCAGCAAAGTAAGAAAAAAAAACAAAAAATTGCTTCTTTCTTCTCCTTGAGATCTTGTGCATGTTCTTGTTTCTTAGTTTTGGGTTTTCTTTTGTGTGCGGCTTTGAAATGCAGATGGATAGAGCATCGATACTTGGTGATGCCATTGACTATCTTAAAGAGCTCTTACAGAGAATCAATGATCTTCATACCGAACTCGAATCTACTCCACCGACTTCTTCGGGCTTGAACCCGTTAACACCGACCCCACAGACGCTATCTTACCGTGTTAAGGAAGAGTTGTGTCCATCTTCCTCATTGCCAAGTCCCAAAGGCCAGCAAGCAAGAGTAAGGAGAATATAAGCTCATTTGTTTTCTCGAGGACAGAACCGGATTCTGTAATTTGCTTTAAGTAGTAAGGCTTCTTATGTCTGAGATACTTTGGTTTCTTTGTGTTTCTGGGAGGTTGAGGTTAGATCAAGGGAAGGAAAAGCAGTGAACATTCACATGTTCTGTGGACGTAGACCAGGTCTTTTACTTTCCACCATGAGAGCTTTGGACAACTTAGGACTGGATGTTCAACAAGCCGTGATCAGCTGTTTCAACGGTTTTGCTTTGGATGTTTTCCGCGCTGAGGTAATCTAGTAGCTCTAGAGATGCTCTATTGCTGCTAATTACTCAAAACTAAGCAATCAAAGAATGTGTTGTTATTGGGAGAAATGATTCGTAGTGGGTAATAACACATGGTTTTTGTTTTCTAATCAGCAATGCCAAGAAGGGCACGACGTGATGCCTGAAGAAATCAAAGCAGTGCTTTTAGACACAGCTGGTTACGCGGGTTTGATTTGAAGGAAGCATCTGTGTGAAACAGAGCTTATATCTAAGCCTCGTCAGCAATCTCCTTGCTTAGTTAGTTTTATCGGTTTAAGTCATGTATTCCAGATGATAAATGTGTTTAATTTTAGCTTTTGAGTAACATGTGTTTGGGTGCTTAACTTCAACCCTTTAATGTCTTCATTGTTTGTTTAAACTGTGTTCAAGAATTGCATAAACAAGCAAAGATGAACTCCTCACAAACCAATGCTCTGTTTCTTAGATTGTGAACATACTGTTAACGTGTTTAGACCAACTTATATTATTATTAACTCAATTTAGCAATCTAAACAAGTTTTCTTATGATTATCTACAGCCCTCTCATAAGAGGGTTTTGCCACGTCGAGAAAGTACCAAAAAAATACTAGTTCAAAAAGAAAAAAAAAAAAAGAATTAGCAACAAACGAAAAAAAACTAAATTGAAATATTTTTGGTGCTTTTACATTGAGCCCAGACCCAACATTTGTGGCAAAGTTTTAATAAGTTTCAAAAAGGGTTTGGGCCGTGTCATTGAGATTCGAAACCTTCTAAATCACACAAAAGGTTTCCCACTCCATCAACAGATCTGAAAATACTTCTCGCTGGAAGCCATGTTAGTCTATCGGGTTAAGCTCGCCAGTCGCCACTGCATTTTCCGAGCATTTTAAACAAAGAGACGATGGGTTCATCACAGTCACAAGTACTCGATGAAGAAGATGCAGAAAGCGAAGTTATCGAAGAAGAAGAAGAAGAAGAGGAAGGTGCTAATGGCGGATCGATCAGAAGAACAGAGCTGGATAATCTCTTGGTCAAGAAGGTTCTCGAGCAGGAGCCTGAGATGCTTCCTTGTCACGCCTCCGCTTCTCCACTCTCTCCTCAGCTTTCTTCCCTCGGAACGCCTCGAATCGGACCGTCAATCAAAGTCTGGGACCCTTACAACGTCCTCGCGCCACCTCCTCCGCCTCTCTTATCCCGTATCTCCTCCGCCGGGGAACACGATCGCGCAGCCGTGACGGATGTCTATTTCATCAGCCACGGAGAGTGCGATCTCAATCTCAGGCCTGATCTGATTGGAGGGAGGTGCCACGTCGCCGCTCTCACCTCCAACGGAAAACGCCAGGCGAGAGCGCTCGCCGTGTTCTTAAACTCCGAAGGGGTTCGATTCACCTCCGTCTTCTCTTCGCCACTGGATCGAGCTAGATCCATGGCGGTTTCCGTTTGCCAGGTATTATCCTCCACAGTCTTTACTCTTTGGATTTCTCAATTACATGTGTGCATCGACTTGAATTAGAAACCAATTCTACAACATTGGGTACTACTGTAGCATGAAGCTCATGAGATGAATCATCATTCTATAATCTTGTAAGATCGAATGAACTTGATTCTTAGGAAACTGCCCTGAAAAACCAATTTGCTCCTTGTGATATCTTGTTCAATGGAGTCTCTTCAGGCGCAAACACTTGAGAAGTTTGAGAGACTCTGTTGTATTTTCTTAGCATCATAAAAACAAAATCTTTCAGCTTCATCAACCTTAATACTGCTATGGAACTACTGTAGTTAAGATCATCCTTGTAAGAAGAAAATGTGGTTTCTGTAAAAATGGTTTCTTGGATCGGATAAATAATCTGCCTTGATACGTGATGCAGGAAATGAATTTTCCAGAGGAGCATGTACAGTCCTCAGATGCCATTGTTGAGATGAGTCTAGGAGACTGGGAAGGCTTCCATAGATCAGAGATTTACACGCCTGAAACTCTAAGCTTGATAGAAAGATGTCAACCTGATTTCTCAGCTCCGTCCGGCGAATCACTCAGACAAGTAGAGTTTCGGATGGTTCAGTTTTTGAACGGGACAATCTCAGGACTTGCAGAGAAGCTCAGGTCAGAGCTTCTTCCGTCTACGCATCACAGCAACGCGAGAGGAGTGTTCTCACAAAGCCCGCACTCGGTAGCAACCTCTATTCATCGCCCAAGCCTTACAAGGAAGAAATCAGGGAAGAGCCGGTTTCAGGTGATGAACACAACCGGTGACCACGAGGCTAACGAAGAGATGTTTCATCATCAGAGTGAGGAACAACACTTGGGTGATATAAACGTCAAGAGCTCCTCTTCTCAACTATCAACCTGCATTGGAGTTTTCACACACTCTTTACCTATAAAGTGTCTTTTAACCGGTGTCCTCGGATGCAGCTCGGTTATGACACAAAAGATCTGTGTGGAGGATTCCTCTGTGACAGTGTTACAGCACTCTTGGAGAACTGGTTGGCAGGTAAAGCGGTTAAATGACACCGCTCATCTTAGACTGTTGTAGCATCATCAGATTCTTTTACTCTCTCTCTCTCTCTAAAAGCTCAGAGCAACAACGAGCTGATAAATTATTCCAAGACCTTCGCAAGGCATTTGATTGAGTCTGCAGAAGAAGAACAACAAGGTTGCAGATTACACATTCTACTCCCCACGAGCCTCTTGTATGTTTGTTTTGAGAAAGAAAAATAGAGAAGCTAAAGGATTCGTTAATTTTCATCTTTTGCCAATTGCAAGCTTTCTAGAAAGAATCTTTTGTAATTCTTTATACTAATAAACCCAAAAAGAAAATCTTATATTATGAATCATTTGCCTTATCGTAGATCTCTGCAAGTTCCCCCAAGTCTCCACCGCTTTTCATTTACTTTTGGTTAGCTTTTCTGACAGAACATGAAACTCAGAAAGATTATTACCCTTCTTAGGTGGTGGAAGTAAAAGAGGTAAATGCAATCACATGAATTAAGAGGAAGAAACCGAAAAAAACGCATGTGAAACAGTTAAAGGACCCATACTTTGGTCCGTGAACACATTCATTCAATTATTTGTTTCTTAGTAAGACACGCACACACACACATGGGAACAAAAGAATCTGTCTTCTTCTCTGTTCTATTATTTATACTCGCTTGGAAAAAAGTATCTTTGTTTTGCAGAACAGTAAGAAAGAAGAAGAAACACCCATGGCTCTGTCTTCTAGCTTCTCGCTTTCCGTGTTTCTCTTGATCCTTGTATCGATTCAATGGACTCAGGTTTACAGTGAATCCACAATCTCAGCTTCTCCTGCTGTTTTACCATATATCAATGCACCAGATATGTCTTCGTTTTTCCCTTCCCCGACCAAAAACCGGACTGGCGATACAGCGGCTTCCCCTGTTCCAGATGAAGATGCACCTGGTCCAAGCTCAAGCCAGGTTAACGGGAAGATTGCAGGCAGCTCCATGCGGCTCCGTCCTGATGTTTCCTTGGTTCTCGTCATTGTTGGGATCTGTGGCTTTCTATCTGTACTTTATTGATGTTTGTAATCTTTGGGTTCGCTTTTACAGTATCATCTCTCCTCCTCCTTTAAGTCTTTTTGTGTTCTTAATCTCACCAACTTCAACATTTGATACCGTTATACTTATGTCTGTATGCGTATAATACCTATATAAATAAAATATGTTACAAAGTTATGATTTCCTTTAAATGTAGTCTAATAAAAGTATGGGATACGTTCTACAGATGTAATATGTGTTGCACAGTTTAGGAAATTAAAAAAAAAATGTTTTAAGGAAAATATTATTTTGGTTCCAAATTAATCGTTTTAGTATCGTTACGCAGCTACAAAATGTTACCAGTTTGCATCATTGCTAACTTCCAGAACATTTCTGACATGAAATCGCTAGTTTCGAAAATACCAAGAAAACTTAGAAAAGCCAATAATATGATTCAGACAAAAACGAAACAGTGTCATTTAAATAAAGCAACCAAGTAACAAAACGACAAAAGGCTTTAACAACTGTATAACCTCTTCTCCTCCACAAGTATCAGAAACTCACGAGAATCGGCCAAAATAAAATTACAGCAACATCTCTCTTGAGTGCCACCTCCATATTTCCTTCTTTTATTTTGAAAAATCAAAATATATTACGAAAAATAAAAATGAAATATATAGAACACAAACAAATATAACAGATGGGGGCTGAGATGGAGAAGAAGCCATCATGCATCTCTCATCAACTTTAAGCAAGGTTGATCGTGAAGGAGACATAAGGATGTGTCTCGGAGTCACCGGCTAAACCTGCCATGGCTCCTCCAGCTCCTGCATCCTCCTCGCTTTTCCAGTATAAACTGCATTTTTTTTTACAATAAGAGAGACTCAAAAACTTGTATCGGAATCTCGTCAAGCTACTTATAGAGATGAATCCACCGTTACATTTTGAGGGCAAATGGTCTTTCAACTAAAGCGACTTAGATCTGACTAAATACATTTGACCGTAAAAACTCAAACTAAGTTGGGTGGAATCAGTAAGGTTTTGATTTCATACCGACCAAATACAAGCTTGGTTTCACTTGGTTCTTGGCTATTCTACTCAAAGTTCTGAAATTTCTTTGTTACAAAGGTCATAACTATCGTATACCTATGCCTAGAAAGATAAATATGCAGAGCGTTTTTTGTCATACCTGTTGGTAGAATCACACAAGCGTTCAAGAATGGAGCGTACTTTCTTCTCACTTTTTACAGCCGGAGATAAGACACATGCCTGGAAATTAGCTCATGACAAGAGAAAGCAATTTGGTCAGGGAGTTAACAGGGTTGAAGGATTCTCTAGGTAAAACATAGCTTGGAGTCTTAATTTACCAAAAATGCCGGAGGTAAACCATATCTCATTATGCTCTCAGCGAATATACGCACAGCACAGAAATGCATCCATGAGCTGAAAACCTACGGTACAGATATAGATTGATGATCAAAACAGATTCGGGTTTTGTTTTCTAAGATGATATTACAATGGTATAGCTATACAGTGTACTGTGTACCTCTCCGTAACTGGTGTAGCACCACTGCAAAAGAGAGCTTCTCAAGCTTTCCTGATCCTGAACCAACTTTTCTAGCTCTTGTTTACGAGTCTCTTGTGCTTCGACGCTGTGTTCAAAATCACGAACCTAAAAGAGAACGGTATACAACATATGATCAATAAAGTTTAAAGAAATCAACCAAATGAATATTAAGGATGTATCACTAATGCTCACTTGGAACCCTTTCTCACGGGCACTTGTCCTGAAGTTGTCTGCAACACGGGTAAAGAGAGTGACGGTGTAAAGAGCATACTCATTATCCTCAAACAATTTCTTCGAGGACCTAGGAACCTGAAAAAACAGTTTGGACAAACTCTTACATATCACTGTCACACGGAGAGACAATAATATAGTGTTACCATTGATTTTCCATAAACTCAACAACTTACCACATAATCGGTCAATGTCTCATAACATGCTAGCCAGTCTTTTTGGGAATACTTTGGAACAACAGCAAGGAGAGTCACGAGATGTTCTGACGCGACAATATCTTCAGGCTTAACCAAGTTTGAGAGGTCACGAACAGCTAAGCTGTAACAAATGCCACAAAAAAAAAAAAAAAAAAAAATAAGCCAAGTAGAGAGAAACGGATAAAAAGACCAACAGCATAATTCTGCAAAATCAGTTAGTATTATTCTAAAACCTTCACATAGTTAGAACATGTATTCAAACAAACTCAGATCGATGAGAAAACAAAGTATGAATAAGAGAAAGAAAAACAAAAAGTTTTACCTTCCACTTTGCTTTCGGTTAATGGCATTGAGTTGACCGCGGATATTGCTATATTCAGCGACACGAACCTAAATAATATTGTGCAATCAGAGTCGTTAACACCACCATTTCATTTTATCATGAACATGAAACGAGATATACCAACTAATCTTCACAGAAAAACATGCATTGTGCAGACTTGTATACCAACGAACTCATTCAGCTAAAGGTTAAGAAGTGTAATACCTTGAGATCATCCTCAATCTTAGCAACCTGAGACTGAATACTGTCCACAACCTCCTTCAGAGGTGACATTGTTGGATACTTAGCTTCATCCCAGACAAACCTTGAGGCCAATCCAAAAAAGTTTGGTTAACGGATTCGATCACCAACAAATCAGTAGTAATTCACTCTAGTGAGAAAGAGAGAGAGCAAAAATCAGATACCTGGTAAGATAAGAATCAACAGGAACTCCATCAACTGTAAGGGCGTTGCTCTCCACACCAGAAATCCTCTCTAGTTCTTCGATCTGTCTCCTGATCTTTTGCGAAACTCCTTCCACAAAGCTGTTTGACTGCACATCTCAAAGATTATAATTCATCAACAATTATAAAATATGATCCAAACGGGACAGGAAGGTAAAATTCAAAACGCAATCTATGATCAGACGAATTTACCTTTAGCAGATCATCGCCGAGGGCGAGTAGAGAATCTAAGGTTCCAACGCGAAGATTAGGAATGTTGAACTGAGAAAATCGAAATCAAACCCAGGAAATTAGACCATGATCACATCGTAAAACTAGATGAACACGATAATCGTGCAAGATCTCTGCCGATTTCAATCGAATGGACCAAATCGAGCAAAATCTGAGTACCCGATAGACTGGAGTATCAAAGGAATGCTTGGAGATCTGCTCTTGTAAACGATTCCACAACGAAGAAGCAGAGTCCTTCACTGGTAGAGACACCACCCAGTACCTCGAAGTCATTGATTCTCAATTCTCTTTCTCTCCTCTCTGTCTTCTTCTCCGATGGATCTGTTCTTCAATCAATCCTCTCTCTCTCTCTCTGCCTGTCCAAATGGATAACCGGTTCGAAATATATACTTTAAAACTAGTAAACCAAACCGGTAAGATAGTACCATTAAGCCGGTTTAGTATCCCCCGGCACGTTCTCCTCGCGCCAGAAGTAAATTACTAATGGGTAAGGCCCAGTGGGCTTAGGTCCAAATAATAAAATAAATAGAAAAATTAAGGCAAAAGAGAGAGGGGGAGAAGAAGAGAAGTAGCAATTGAGAGAAACCCTACAAAAGCTTCTAGGGTTACCGCGAAATTGACTGGAGTTTGTTTTCAGTGATTTGCGTCTGAATCATCCTCGAGCCCTCACTGAAGTTCTCTGTAGCGCGACGAAGACGAGTCATCTATGGCGGACGTTGAAAACCAACAGGAGTCCTCGTTTCCAGTGAAGCGGAAATCGGATCTCTATAGCCAAGACCAGGATAATGCGGCAAACAAGGCTCCGAAGCTTAATCCCCCGTCGAATTCTGCTGATACTGAGTCCAAAGACGGAGAAACTAATGGAAGCGGCGTCGAGAATCTGAATTCTTCCGCCGAGGAAAAGATTGTGACAGAGTCGTCGATTTCGCCGGAGAAGGCAGATGGTTCTGTGTCGGAAAAGGATGAAAATGGCGTGGCTGACGATCTGGGAGCTGAAGAGGAAGAGGAAGAAGAGGAGGAGGAGGAGGAGGAAGATTATTCGGTTAGAGCCGAGATTGACAGGAAAGGTAAAGGCATCTCGAGAGAGGACAAGGGAAAAGGGAAAATGATCGAAGTGGATGAAAGCGACGACAGTGATGATGATGATGACGACGACGACGAAGACGGTGATGAATTCGACGAAAGCGATTTGTCCGACGATCCTTTGGCGGAGGTGGATTTGGATAATATCCTCCCGTCGAGGACCAGGAGACGATCCTTCCAGCCTGGAGTCTACATCTCCAATGACCGTGGCGGCAACAACAACGAGGATGATGATAACAGCGACGACAGTGAGGCTTAAACCTAGCGATAACCGATGTTAGTGGTAAGAGTTCAAGATTTTAGTTCCTTTTGGGTTTTAAACAGAGTGTCTGTCTCTGGTCAGTGATTATTGGTCATATTCTAATGTTTCGAACGCCTGGACCAAAGTGAGCTATATATATATCTACGATGTTATTGCAAATTCAACTCAATGTGCCTCTTGGGTTTTCCGATCTAACTCGTTTGTTTCATAAATTTATCATCTTTTCCTGATTCTGTGTGAGCTTAAAAATCCCTCCTTGTGACTTTGCATTAGAAAAGATTAGTCTTTGAACTGGTAATTGTTTAAGTAAGAGTTTGAGATGTGTGAGATAGTAACACAAGGATTTACTCTAATGGAGGCAATGGATGATCCTTAAAAATCTTAAGATGCGTAGATTAACCTTTTGTGAGAAATGAGGATAGAATTCAGGATCTGTGATATCATGCCTTTAGTAATTGTACTAAATAAAAGTAGTTCGTGTTCTCGTGTTCCTTTTGGTTGAATGCAATGCAGCTCAAGTCGTAGACTTGTAGTAGGGGTTAGTGAGATGTGATTGGGCTAAGCTAAACTAGTTAGAGAGAATATTAGAGTACTAAAGATGATCAAGATCACTTTACTGGCAATGCTCTTTACTTTTGATGTCTATGGTCTGTAAAGATTCAAACTTTGAGGTCTGAGCCTAGTTGTTCCGTCTTCAAATGTAGACAATAGACTGATACAACTCATAAGGATTATAACGCGATGATAAAGTAGTTATTTCCTTTGTTATGTTCAAGAGGTCGTTTTTAGATGTGATTCTATGCAAGCTCAGAGAGAGTCTTGTGACTGCTTCTCAAAAACTTTTTAAGTTTTGTAGGCTAAATATTCTCAACTCAATCTGTGTTGTTGCAGCGAATAACTCTTGAGGGGTTAATATGTTCTTCATAGATTCGTCTAGTTCAATTATAGAAGTTACAGATATTTGTCAGGAGAATATCATCATATCCCTTATGTTTTTAATGCATCAAAAAAACTGGACCACCAGGGAGTGACAATGAGAACTGAAAAAGGGTTCCTTTCCGAATCTAATATTGGGTATATATGTATTAATATATGCAAATGTAGATTCAATCAATGTGTATATTTATGATATGGATGTGTGTGGTTGGTATGGTGATATGTGTAATGGTGTTTGTATTAATAATTGGGACATGCGTCATCATGAGTCTCTGCTTTTTGGGCCTTTGAATTTGGCCTTCGGCTTCATAGGATAAAAGGAAAAGGAATCTCATGAACCAACAAAAAGCTGGGAAAAAAGTAAATTAAGATAAGAGTTCTAGAAGGAAAAAACAAAAACTTTTACCGAGGATAGAGACCAGGTGATTATATTTCGAATATTCTTCTAAATTCTGATATTCGGAATATGTTTTTTTTTTTGGACAAATTTCTAGATATCCTTTAACGGGGATTTACCGTTACGTTTTCTCTATACGAATTCGATAGATAGTCTGTAAAATGTAATCGTACGAACAAAAATAACTAAAAAATACTTAAAATATTGACTGTGTGTATATTTGTCTAATCTAATTAATTCATAATGAATAAATAATAAGTCATGGATTTGAAAACAAGGAGGAGTCCCATCCTCATCAGAATTTTACCAGATAATTTTACCCGCATTAACTAATGTGACATGGAGGTTGGTTGAACAGTAAAATCCAATAATTCAGGCATTATCTGCGTCAACTAAACCACTATAGGTAGCTGTGAATTTTTGGGTCGATGGTGAAAATGGAGATGATTACCTAAAAGTGATGAGATAAAGAGAGAGAGGTGGCCTTCACATGGCAGCCATTGTAGCATATGATGGGTCAAGAGAGAGGTGAAATCATCACTCGTCCCCTTTTTACACAGTAAATATAACATTTCGGATAAATATACATTGCATCCTCAAAGTTTGTGAATCGCATGATAATTCCTTAAAAAATCATCTATGATGTGAAGCAATCCAGAATGTCAAGTGTAGAGAAGGAATTCTAACTAGATGATGTACAGGAGTGGTTTATATACAATTGGTGTAATTAGCTTAACGGAACAACAAACTGTTTTAACTAGCTAATCAACTCACCTATTGTGATTAACATTCATAGTAACATCTATCAGTGAGATGATTTTTTTTTGTTCGAGGAATAATAGACTAAGCTCTGATATATTTGAATGAAACTTGCTTCCACGTAAGACAGCCAATGAGGATCTTCTCGAAGGATTATGATGGTTAATTAGTTGATATTATGTGATTATATATGTTCCTAATTACTTGCCAATAACTTATGCTTATATTTTTCATCATTTCGAACATTAGTGTGAACTGTTAAGCAAGGGAAATGGCTCTTATCTTTCAACCAGTAATTAATAAATAATGATTTGGTTTGTGTACTCTTTGATTCCTACCCCTCTCTGGATGTAATAATTTGCAAGTGGGTCTATTATTGAGTTTGATTATGAAGCCTATGCCACTTTTTGTTCCTTTGATTTGTTTCTTAATGGTTTTTGTCTAGTTCTTGTGGATTTATAACTTTTTGGTCGTTAAAGAAGAGCATATAATCTACAAAGTAGAAACTAATACAAATATTATACAAGTGTTAATTCATAAATCTAGTATAGATACCAACTCGAAACAAAACGTAGTTAGTATCAACTCAGTTTCAGTTGAGATTTTAAGTAATATACTACTACTAGTTAAGTATGCTTATTGTTTTGAACATGATGATATTACGACTTTTTTTTAAAAAAAGAGTTGCGAGTTTATCGAGATTGAACCCTACCTATAACCACCTTCTTTTGAAAAAGATGGGAGTTTGATAAGCTTTTGGAGGACTTGTTTGGTTAGAACAAAAAAACAGTATTAATTTTTTTTAAAAGATATATTGAAAGAGAGAAAAAAACAAATTTCATGACCTTCTAATTCCGTAAATCCATCAACGATGTCCTCGTCTCAAGACAAATTCAGCCAGCCTTGCTTCTCACAATTAACTAATGAATTTATTTGGTATATATATATATATATATTGAGTTCCATTTACATAAATACGTGTCTAACCGATATTCGATGCAGTACGACAGTACGATGGGTTTTATTTATGCTAATTGTTGCGCTTTCTAACAACCGTGAAAGATTATCTAACAAATCAAAACGATTGAATCTTTTTTATTTATCACCAATTAATTAACCCACAACGAATATAGTATGATTTTCGCGAGTATGGAATATATAATATATCTTATTCGCCATGAAACTTTCCATGGCAATTTTTCGTAATAATGTTAAAAAGGCTGGGCTTTCTATAATGTCCCTTGCTCTGACACTAACACATCACTTCACCCTTTCTCTTTGGCGAAAGGCCTCGTAACCAGTGGTCGCAACACATGCACACCATACCACTCTTCAACGGTCAAGATTCCTTTCGTGGCTATCCTTCGAACCAATCTCCACCGTTGGATCATCCACACCAAAGCTTAAAACCTAACCATGGTTAAGTTTTTGGTCAGCTAGGTTTGGCTTTTCCTCTTGTTATATGTTTTTATCACCAAAGAGCGCTTCTTGATTTTGCTTTGCTTGCGTGATCTCTCTCTCTCTCTCTCTCTCTCTCACATCCTAATCTTTTGATCATCTCATCATCATTGGAGTTGAAGCAGTCCAGAGTTTTATCTAGATTCATAATTCTCTCCTTCATTTTTCAACGTTTTCCTCGTTGAGCCTTTGCCAATTCGTTCTTCTTCTTCTTCTTCTTCTTTTATAAACATCAGCGAGTTTGGTTCCGACGACGATTTTTAGAAGCTTCATTGGCTCGAGGTTTTCAAATCCTTCTTCGTAGATCTAATTGATTGATTATCCTTTAGATCTGAATCTTAAACTTCAGTATCCAGCTGATAGAATTCAGGATCTTGTGGGCTCGTTTATCTAATATTTCTTTAATAATCGAGCTCGAGGTTTTCAAAAATTCTTGTTGAATTCGAATCTCGCTCTCTTGCAGCGAATTCAAATCCACTAGTGCTTGCTTGAGGTTCCGGTGAATTTTTTTCGAGCCTAGCTTCTCTGTTTTTTGTGAGCTGTCGATTTCAAAATCCTGTTCGTGTGTGGATCTCGCTGAAGCCAATTCATCATCCTCCCGGTGAGCTATTAGGGGTCCATTAATCGAAAGAGGAGATGAATTATTTCCCGGACGAGGTCATCGAGCACATTTTCGACTCCATAGCTTCTCACAGAGACAGGAACTCGATATCTCTGGTCTCCAAGTCGTGGCACAAGATCGAGAGGTGCTGCAGGCGGAGAGTCTTCATCGGGAACTGCTACGCCATCAGCCCGGAGAGGCTAATCGGGAGGTTCCCGTGCCTGAAGTCGCTGACCCTGAAAGGCAAACCTCATTTCGCCGACTTCAACTTGGTTCCTCACGAGTGGGGAGGTTTCGTTCACCCTTGGATCGATGCTTTAGCCAGAGCACGTGTCGGGCTCGAGGAGCTCAGGCTTAAGCGGATGGTCGTCTCTGACGAAAGCCTTGAGCTGCTCTCGCGTTCCTTTGCGAATTTCAAGTCGCTGGTGCTTGTTAGCTGCGAAGGGTTCACCACCGATGGCCTTGCCTCCATTGCCGCCAATTGCAGGTAAAGTTTACACCTTTAGCTTTTTTTTTTTGTCTGGACATTGTTTCCCTAAAGGCCTTACCTTTACTAGCATTTAACGAATGTTAACAAAAATGTGCTGATTTTTTTATTAGGCATCTTCGTGAGCTGGACCTGCAAGAGAATGAAATTGATGATCACAGAGGTCAATGGCTCAACTGTTTTCCGGACAGCTGCACCACTCTTACCTCGTTGAACTTCGCCTGTCTTAAAGGAGAAACCAACCTCTCTGCTCTAGAGAGGCTCGTCGCGAGGTCACCAAGCCTCAAGAGCTTGAAAGTGAACCGTGCGGTGCCGCTCGATGCGCTCACGAGGTTGATGAGCTGCGCGCCTCAGCTTGTGGACTTGGGAGTAGGGTCCTATGAGAACGAGCCAGACACTGAATCTTTCGCGAAGCTATTGGCTGCCATTAAGAAATGCACATCGTTAAGGAGCTTGTCGGGCTTTTCTGAGGTTGCTCCACTCTGCCTCACTGCGTTTTACCCGATATGCCAAAACCTTACCTACTTGAATCTCAGCTACGCAGCCGAGATCCATGGCAACCACCTCGTTAAGTTTATTCAGTTTTGCAAGAGACTTCAACGGTTATGGGTAAGTCTGATCTCTGTTTTTTTTTGTCTCTTTTCATTTCCTAACTTGCGGTTTACTATATAACGGTTTTTCATGTTTCCTACAGATATTGGATAGTATTGGTGACAAAGGACTTGAGGTCGTCGCTTCAGCATGTAAGGAGTTGCAAGAGCTGAGAGTTTTCCCCTCTGATTTACACGACGAAGAAGACAACAACGCAGCTGTGACTGAGGTCGGGCTAGTCGCGATATCCGCGGGCTGCCGTAAACTTCATTCGATTCTCTACTTCTGCAAACAAATGACAAACGCGGCGCTCATAACCGTCGCTAAAAACTGCCCAAACTTCATCCGGTTCAGGCTATGCATCCTCGAGCCGAACAAACCGGACCACGTCACGTCTCAGTCACTAGACGAAGGCTTTGGTGCGGTCGTGCAAGCCTGCAAGGGTCTAAGACGGCTCTCTGTCTCGGGTCTCTTAACCGACAAAGTCTTCCTCTACATCGGTATGTACGCGGAGCAGCTCGAGATGCTTTCGATAGCTTTTGCCGGGGACACGGACAAAGGGATGCTCTATGTGCTGAATGGATGCAAAAAGCTGAGGAAGCTGGAGATTAGGGACAGTCCGTTTGGGAACGCGGCGCTTCTTGCTGACGTGGACAAGTACGAAACAATGCGATCCCTTTGGATGTCGTCTTGTGACGTAACGCTCGGTGGCTGCAAGAGGCTCGCGCGGGATGCGCCGTGGCTCAACGTGGAGATCATCAACGAGAATGAGGATAATGGGATGGAGCGGAATGAAGAAGATGAAAGAGAGAAGGTTGATAGACTTTACCTCTACCGAACTGTGGTTGGGACTAGAAACGACGCGCCGTCATGTGTTACGATTCTTTAGCCTCTCCCCATTTTCAACTCCGCTCCGACCGAACCATTTCTCTACGGTTGTTTTTGTCTTAGGCTTTTGATGTCGTGAGCATTTGTTCAAGTTTAGGTGTGTACTTTGTTTCTGACAAGAACACTGTGAAGCTTTATGTGTTTTGAACCTTCTCGTTTTTGACGGCGATTCTTAGTTTAATGCGACTTGCTTGTTGTCTTAGAATTTGTGAATTTAACGGAAAAAAAAAAAGAATATATGAATGTTACTTTTCATTTACCATAATTTGGGGGAAATACAAACATGTTGTTTTCAAATAAATGCATAGAAATTACAAAGAACATCCACAAGACGCCTCCTTTTGTAATCCATGTCCTTGATAAGTCCCACTCTCAAGCAAAAAGGTACAACATTAACAGACAATGAAACACATAACAGTACTGCAGTACATGAGACATAGAGAGTTGATGTCATATGTCTTGGACTGATAAATGACAAGAGATCCACCGAAACGAGCATTTTTAGAAGCAGCATTCCTCCAACACACAGCAACAGCAGAGAGCAGCAAGACTGAAAATTTGCAAAGCCACAGAAAAAGAAAAGACTCGGTTATTCGTAACACAAGAAAATTAGTATGCAGTAGGAACAAAAAAAGCTTATATGTATTTTAAAACAACATATAGCAACAGCATGAGCATCCCAAAACAAGATTTAGGCTCCTTTAGTTCCAAACACAGCTCTTTTACTATAGACCCTAGATTTTCAAAAAATTCTAATCCTTACAAAAATATTCTAGACAGAAACTCTAAAATATAGGCAATAGGCAGTTCTTAAGAGAGCCAGTATAATCCCTGAACAGCAAAACCCAAATTACCGAGTGTCACAAGTTATACATAAAAAGCATCTTTGATTCTTTATTATGAATGGCTTCAAACTCATAGCAAACCTTCCTTAGAGAATCACCAAAGTAATTAGAGAACCAAAAAATCTAAGGATTAATACGAATCTCTTGCGGCACACAAACTCCGATCTATGGCCAAACACACACACAAAAAAAGGAAAACGAAGTCAACTCTGGGTTTCACAGTAGATGTCCAAATTTTATCCATACATCAACTCAAGGGATCTGGTTCTGATCAGATCAGGATCATTTGATCGAATATTCCCAAATTTCCAAAAATCAAAACACTCGTTCAATGAACCCAAAACATTAAGTTAGTGATCCTTTAGACCCACACGTTGCTCACGGATCGTCAGAAGAGAATCGAAAGAAAAGAAACAACCTAAAGCTCGAATTCTCAATCATAGCTTTAAACCAACACAATGAGTTTGACCAACAAAAGGCAAGAATCGAATAACGGCACTGTGCTTTGATAATAACTGGAAATTAAAGGCGGGAATGAGAGAGAGAGGAGACGAACCAGCCGCGAAGGAAAGAGGAGCAACCAGAGTCAGAATCCTGGTAATGGTGATGATCGTGCTGGTAGTGGTTGTAATGCTGCGGCGGAGGGGGAGGAGGCGGTCCCTGATGAGGATAACCTCCGGCTCCGGCGAAGTAACCTTGATAACCGCCTTCGTAAGGACGTGAAGACGGTGGTGGGTACGGTTGATATCCGTGTGGCTGAGGTGGAGGATATCCTTCGTGAGGATATCCCGGCGGCGGCGGCGCCGATGGGTAACCAGGAGGCGGATAGTGGGATTGGTATCCTATTCGTCCGATTTTGTCAAAACAGATTTTATCATCGATCAAAATCAAGCTGGATCGAAAACTAGGAATATTCCAAGGGATCGAAACGAAGTCGAATCATTAGAAATTTAGAACGAAAATAGATTATATAAACCTGGAGGAGGATACGATTCCGGCGGAACTTTATCGTAGTCGTAGCTCATTTCTTCGTCTAATCAATTTCGCTTTCCGACTGAGGAGAGAAGCAGAGAGAGACTTTTGGAATTCGGATTTTATCGCAAAAACAAACCAAAAAAAGAAAATAAAACGTAATTTCAGTATCTGTCTAGCTGTCTTTTTCCATTTTTGATTACAGTCACGTGTCGTTAGATCGTCTTGCTCACGTTCGTACTGGACTTGGGCCGAAATCAATCAGTTACATCGTTTCTATAAAGCCCTTTAAGTTTTGTTATTAGGCCCCCAATACATAAAATTACAAAAGTATAACGCAAATACAATTTTTCATAACGCCCCCACAAACAATACGCTAAACAATTTAGATACAACGCAAAAACACACGTTCATAGTTTTTCACTGTAGTTCTCTCTATCGTTTCAAGACTAAATTCCTTGTCAACTTTTCACTTGAAACCAATATTTTGGACGAGCTTTCTCGAACACAATACTAAAGAAATAAAGTAATCCACTTTATGTGTCAAACAATGCAAAAATTTTACTAACCCGGATACTGAAGTTCAGAAGAACACGTCAGCTCCACCCTGAAGAAAAAAACCAAAATATACATTATATCAACGTGAGTCAATTTCGTTAGATATCATGTCTGTTTGTTTGATCTCTATTGCTTGATTAAAGTGAGAGGAAAAAAAAAAGTTGCATAAACTTGATTGCAAACCAGAAAAAGAAACCAAACTGTGGATTACATATTTACATGCATGCACCGGTACGTGGAAATATTACCCCAAGTTGTGGACCACATTGACCGTCTTCTTTTGGGACCAGGGATTAGAAAAATTAGATAAATCTGTTTGATTCCCAAAATGAAATAAAAATAAAAAGTCCTAATATGATCTGTATTTATTTTAAAATATATATTGATTAAAAATCTGTTAATAAACAAAATTTTAAATTATATTTGCACTGAAATAAAAACGTGAATCCCAAAAACAAAATTTTGATTGAAATTTTCGAAATGAATACTCACAATAAACTTCTACAAAACTTACATGGAAATGAATTAGTGCTAAAATAAAAACGTGACACTAATTTAAACAATGAATTTTGATATACTTCACAAAGAAAAAAAAAATTAGAACATGAATGAAAAGAGTATATTAAGTTAGCCAAGGAGACTGCCTGAAACATAAACCCACAAGATTCAGTCGACTTTTAAAAAAAAATGTTAGTTACTGATTAAAAACCCAATAAAGTTGAATCATTGAGAAGAATTATGTGCAGGCAAGTCATCCTTGGCTACTAAATATTAACTCTCTTCTTCGTATAAACCTATCTTCTCTCTTATTTTTCTTTTCATCTACTCTCTCACAGTTTGCTCTCTCTCTCACGTTTGCTCCGGCCCCTTTTATAGCATTTCAGGGAATATGCATATTTATAGAGTCAGTTCTTCTTTCATCTATTTATTTATTTAAGTTTTTTTTCAACACTTTGATATGGCTAAATGTACAACGTGTATGCACCATGATCGGAATATATTCATTTTGAAAAAGTATTTGGTTATCTTTTAGCAGTATTTTATTAGTTTTAGTAACAAATTTTTCGTGTCTCGAGGATGGAGATAAGAGTTTTGTTGTTTGGTGACGAATCATACATGAGAGGAAATGTTAAACATAGATTATCTTTACTAATTATTGTATAGAAAGGAAAATGTACTCAATATGATATGTATACTATAGATATATAGTTTATCAATTCTCATTATCTAATTAAATACATCCACCTCTTGTTTTTCTTTCATGATATATGGTTTACATCATATATTACCTTCTTTTAGCTATGAACAAAAAAATTGACCATCAAAACAAAGAAGGAACAACAAAAACTTTTGAATATATTGAATGTTGGCGAATCTGTCCACCCACTCATAAAGAATAAAATAAGATATAGCAAATGAAATAAAATGAAATTTGTATCTCATTTTACTCAAGCATTGTGATTCTTTTATCTCCTAACATTTATATTCAATCCGACCGACTCTATTCTCGTTTCCATTTAACTTTGCGAGTTTCAATGCTCCTGATCTCTCTTGCTATCTTATTTTTTTTATTGCAGAATATACAAATATTTAACAGCATATATATAATACTGTATATTTTTAATTCCAAAAATTTGTCAATTTATTAGTTTACCGCAATTCAAATTAGATATTAATTAGTTTGATTGGCCAGATGATATGTGTTTTATTATGTAAATTTATATTTATAATCGTTCAATAATCTTACCACTATTTTGACATGATTCAGATTTTCCTTTTACCAAATATAGTTGTAGTTTGTGAATAACAACACATTGTTAAGAAAAACACCACTAATACTAGCAACAATAAACACCAAGAGATACAATACAAGAGCTACAACTAATAACCGCCCATGCATATGCAACGTCTGCGTTTGAATCACTAAACGCGAGCGCTCTGGTTATTACGGCGAGAAGCAGTGGAACACAAAACTCTCGAAAACACCACCGCCTGTGAGCAGAAACTCATTCTCCGGTCGAGATTCCGACATCCGAGGATTGGTTTTTCTCTTTTCCGGTTTATTGCTTGTACAAAAGCCTAGTCTCAGATTTTTTCCAGCAACTGCGGCAGCTTTTTTCTCCATTCTCCGGCGGTTGACATACTCTTCCGATATGAAGACATCCATTGGAAGAACTTTTTAAATCAGTAAATACACTTCGACAAGATTGTAGAGAGGGAATCAAGAAGTGAAAACCTTTGTTGGGTGTGTTAAGAATTGTTTTGATACACAGGTTTATAGAAGTGGTGAAACTGTGGGCGTTAGATCCCATGTTTTGGCACAAATATTAATTATAAATACATATACGTATAATTTTATTTTATTTTTAACCATTTTGCATAAAAGGTGTTTTTTCCTATTATAGATTTGTACTTCTGTTGAATGCTGGTGAATATGTGAAATACTCTGATGGACACTGAATTCGTGAAACCTAGTTCTAATGGATTTGATGGATTATGATACTATATGGTTTCTTTTGTTAAAGTCACTACACTTTTTTTTTTTCAAAGGTGATATAATAGAACCAATTACTCCGGTTCATCTGAATTTTTGTTGGCTTATTAAATCGAAAAAAATATAAACATACATATGCATATAATGAAATGCTACAGTAGGTTACAAGAGAAATTCCTATAACGATTTTTGTTACAACAATGGTCAAATCAAAACAAACAAAAATACTTTTGTTTCTTCAAACATTATTAGAAACACAATTACATCATTTGACATGATTGAAAGCTTCTTCATTTACCAAAACATGTGAAAAACACGCTTTTATTAGTAAATATTAGTAAAAAAATCCTAAAAACTGGATACAAGGAGCCATAAAACATGAGGCCACAGATTTAGAACGACAAGTGTACACTGTTTCATAATGAAAACCGTGGTTGAATGTAACGCCCTCCTTTTTTTCATCTTTCAGCTCTCTGTCTTTTTTCACGTGTCACTATGTAATTATACGTTCCTAAATTACACATTTTCCCCATATTCTAAACATCCAGTATGGGCCGATTCTAGGCCCATGAACCAAAGTTCACGTCGTCTTATGTGAAAAAGAGAATCAGTGGTTGACGTTCAAGCAAAGCTAAAACGACGTGATGTTTATCTCTAAAACAAAACAACGGAAAGACGTTAACGCAATCGCTTATGTTGCTCCTTCATCAACCACGTGTCGTTCTCTTACTGGTAGAATCAGGAAGCGAAAATATGCATAGCTAAACTGATAAAGCTCCTCCTTCCGCCATAGCCATTTCTTCTCTGTAGTCCACATAGAGCGAGAGTGAGAGCTCGAGCTACAGTCACTTAAGGTAAACGAAATACGTGATTTTGATCGGACCCATGATTCTAATTTGGCGAAACAATCATAATTTCTGGGCTTAATCGGAAAATGGACGTTATCGCCTTATCCTCTTCCGCTTCCGCCCCAGCGTCCGCCGCACTCACCGGTTCTATCGCCGGAAGTTTCCCGTTGCTGCCTTCTAGTGTTAGAGTGAGAAGAAACCGGGGGAATTTATTAGCTAAACAAAAGAAGTTTTTAGTTTCTGCTTCGAAAAGGGAAGAGCCCAAGCTCAACGAATGGGATCAAATGGAGCTTAAGTTTGGCCGTTTACTCGGAGAAGACCCGAAATTGACTTTGGCTAAGGTGAGATTTTGATTTTTTTTTTTTGTCTTCTATGGAATTTTTTGATAGGAAATTCGAATTTGTAAGCGATTCTCTTCGCTGATGATGTTTTATGGTGAAATCATACAGATAGTGGCTAGAAAAGTGAATCCAGATGCTTCTTTCATTGAGGTTGAGAAATCTTTCTACAAGAACAAGGGTAAGATTCCAGACATTAAAACGATTCCATTGGATTGGTCAAAGGAAGAGAAGAAGAAACCTACTTCACTGGGTGGCTTGAATTTGGTAAAGCCAGTTCCGAAAAACGGAGTCAAGTTCGAAACTTCGGAAAAGCCAGTGATGAAGCCAAACCCTGCACTGAAGAAGCCGTCGGAGTCTGCTCCGATTGCGTCTCCTCCGAAAAGGACATTGCCTAATGTTATACTGAGAAAGCCGAGTTCGTACTATGTGAACAATGACGACGATGAGGAGTCTAAGTTGCGGTTGAAACCGAATCTGACACTGAAAATGAGGAATGAGAGGGACAACGAGAGGTTTAGTGACATGACATTGTTGAGGAAACCGGAACCACTGAACGTTGATGCCGGAGAGGAAAATTCTGCAGATAAGCTTCTCAGTGATGGATTAACTATGGAGGAAGGAGAACAAGAAGATGTAGTATATTCAGAGTATACTCTTTTGGAGAAGCCAGAACCGAGGCCCGAGCCTGAGAACATTGAAGAGGAAGTTGGAGATAGTGGAGCTGTGGAATTGCCGGAGATAGCAAATACATCAATTCCAACTGGTAATAGATAGAGACAAGGCTTAAGACATTTCACAAATATTCTAACATGGAGCTGATTTCAAATGCTTGTTGTTTTATCAAGAAACGCAGCTTAATAGCGAGATGTCCTCGGGATCCTCTGAGGAGAAAACCATTGATAGTGATCCAATCGAGAGAATGCCTTCGAATCCAGTTTCTCAACCCATCGAAGAAGCTTCTTTACTAGGGAAACCACAAAGGTTATTTCCGGTTTAGTATCTTGATTAGTTATGTTGTGGAACTTTGCTTTCTTTCTCATTTCTTCTCGTTTTGACTGACTGGTTAAATTTTGTTATAGATTAGACCCGTCTTCCGCAGAGCCATTAGTTTCTAACAGAGGACAACCATTAATCGTGAACAATGAAAGTCGTCAGGTCTCTGTTGAGCTCAAGGGCCCTCCTTCTAGATCGTCCTTGGAGGTTTAGAACTATCACTCTTTTACTATTTATTCGTTCTTAAGATAAGAGGCATATCATAAACTCGTCTTGTGTAAATTTGATAGGAAAGTGATTGGAATAAGGCAGAGTCTCTAGTTAAGACAGAATTACGAGCGGATGTTGAGCTAATAAGCTCGAGCACTAGGGGATTTGCTGTAAGTAACATCTGTACTCGTTTTTGGCTTCATGATTTCATTCATCTCAATTTGGTTTAATCATTTGTATATTTTTTTGCATTCGTAAATGCTTTTTAACAGGTTTCCTATGGATCTTTGATCGGATTTTTGCCCTACCGGAACCTTGCAGCAAAATGGAAATTTCTCGCGTTTGAATCATGGCTGAGAAGAAAAGGTGTAGATCCATCATTGTATCGACAAAACCTTGGAGTAATTGGAGGTCAAGATATCACGAGTAAAGCTCCATCTCCAGATTCAAGCCTAGTAGATTCTGAAGTTGAGAACACAGTCAATGGAGAAGTTTCTTCTGATATGAAGCTGGAAGATCTTCTTATGGTATATGACAGAGAGAAGCAGAAGTTCCTGTCGTCTTTTGTTGGCCAGGTTTGACCAAAAATAATCTAAAAAGTTTTTGTTATCATACATGGAGATGGTTATTTGTTCCCTCTCTCTAAACATTTTACTCAATGCAGAAAATCAAAGTGAATGTGGTTATGGCTAATAGAAACTCAAGGAAGCTTATATTTTCGATGAGGCCAAGAGAAAACGAAGAGGAAGTTGAGAAAAAACGAAACCTTATGGCTAAGCTTCGTGTAGGCGATGTTGTGAAATGCTGCATCAAGAAAATCACCTATTTTGGTATATTCTGTGAGGTAACACACCAGAGTTTATCATATTTTTTTTAGTACACCTTCTTTGCTAATAGAACCGCAAGAACGAAATCCAGATTGTTGTTGAAACTAAAAAGTTTGGTTGAAACAGCTAGAAGGTGTCCCTGCATTGATTCACCAGTCAGAAGTTTCATGGGATGCAACTTTAGACCCTGCTTCATATTTCAAGATCGGTCAGGTAATATCATGAACTATCGTAAACGCTGCTAAGAAATAAAACTGTTTTGACAAACGTTTTTTGTTGGTGTCATCAGATCGTGGAGGCGAAAGTGCACCAGCTAGATTTTGCTCTTGAACGTATCTTCTTGTCACTAAAAGAAATCACGGTGAGAAAGATCTCTATGAAGTTTCTCTTGTATAAAATCGCATCTCATTTGATGTATAGTATGTAAACCCTTATGATATCTTTACGCAGCCTGATCCTTTAACCGAAGCCTTAGAATCTGTAGTTGGTGATAATGACCAGTTGGGAAAGTTACAAGCAGCAGAGCTCGACGCTGAGGTATTATCAATCTTCTGCGACTATGTGATCATTGATCAAACCATTATTATTTTAGTGGTTTCTGAAAAACTTTCTTCAGCAGTGGCCTGATGTGGAATCTCTGATCAAAGAGCTGGAAATGGTTGAAGGAATCCAATCAGTTTCAAAAAGTCGTTTCTTCTTGAGCCCAGGTCTTGCTCCAACGTTTCAGGTACACAGTTTGTCGCATTTTAAAGACAAAATCCTTTAAAAAAAAATGTTAACTTCTTAAAGTAGTAAGTTTCTTGAACAATGTTTCTGTGTAGGTTTACATGGCGCCAATGTTTGAGAACCAATACAAACTGCTTGCTCGAGCAGGAAACAGAGTGCAAGAGGTAAAGAAAGAAAGAGAACGATCTAAATCTTATTTTCCTGTTTTTCTTTTCGAATCTTGGATAATGATTCAGTTTTATTTATTTATTGGGACTGTTTATTGATTGCAGCTAATTGTGGAAGCGTCGTTGAGCAAAGAAGAGATGAAATCTACAATCATGTCTTGCACCAACAGAGTAGAATGAGTGAATATTGAGGAAGGAATGATTTCACTGTTTTGTTTGATTCGACCCCAAGAGTTATGCAGTAAAGTGTACAACAATAATATATGATTTCTTAGTGTAAAATTTTCTCAGAAAAAAACATAAAAATCATAGAAGCAGAGAGTTATGAACATTGCTGAAAAAACTTTACAGCTCCACAATAAACTTACATCGTTACGTTTTCCCAAGATTTAATCATGTTCCAAACCGATCACATTATAATTCTAGAAAATTTGGTTTAACTCGGTTCGATTCAGCTCATTATTTAATTAATATTCAAATTTTGTTTTCTTCATCATCCGCCAAAAAACTTTCCGTCTTCAAAACTCTCAGAGGTTCGTCGATGGCGGCTGCGCGATCAAGCTACAGTGCCTCCACAGATCAAGTTCCGTCATCTCTCGTCAACCTAGGTACTCTTTTCCCTCATCGGAAACTTCGATTTACTCAGAATTAGAGTCTAGATTTTGCTAATTCGGCGTCGATTTGTCAGAGAAGACACAGACACTTCGCCTTCTATATTTGCGATTCAACTCCGATTTGAAAAGCTCTTTTCGTTCTCTTCGAAATGAAACTTGAATTAGACTCTGTATCTGCTCTTTTCTCGATAAATGCTATTGTAGATTGATGATGTGTGCAAATTCCGCTGATGAATCTAGGGTTTTGCTGTATTCATTTTCGCTTCAGAACTCCGAGACACTTAGATTGTGATTTTCTGCTTCACAGACACGAGAATTGGCGTTCTACATTTACGTTTATACTCCGATTATAAGCTTTCATTTTGGATTAGTTTACGATATCTGCAAATTCTGATGTAAATTCGCTGGGCAAAGTACCGTTGAATTTGATTTTCTGCTTTATATAACTGTCAGGAAATAGTGCCGGTGTTTGTATAATGAGCAATGCATGGAAACATGAACAAGACCCTTCACTGATCAGTTTCATTTCCGCGTTTCTTAGCTCAAACTCTTTCCGTCTTAACTTCGTCTCGATTTCCCCTGTATGTGCCTTCCTCTGCTAAGATTATTTTGGAGAGTTTGATCTAAAAACCAGCTAAAGAATCGCTTCTTTGCTGTGATAGGATCTGATCTTCAACTGTGGAGGCGTGTCTGTTGCTTTTGTTTTTGTGACAAAATGGGATTGTTGCAATGTTTCCTCCATCTTCAGCAGGTCCTCCATCCATTTATACTTTCGACCTCTCTAGATACTGTCTGTGTGTTTCTCCTTCTGATTGCTTTGACTTCTTAACCTTTGCAGAGTAAAGAGGCTGAAGGGGCAATTTGCGCGACTATACGTTGTTGCCACACTTTCAACTAAAGATCAGAGTGATTCTTTCGTGAGATCTTACTTCCAGTGAGTGGTTCACACATCTTTTCACCATATGCACCATCTCTTTGCCTGTTTATCATGCCAAAAATGAGACTCAGCTATTCTTTTCGATTAGATTTGAGATGGAGTTTGGGAAACCTGCATTTGTACCAGTCACTGATGCCGAGATGGGATTCGAGAAGATTGTTAAGATTGCTCACTCTCGTGGTGGTAAGACTCATTTGTTTAGTGTTAGCTAAGATACTTTACGCGTTTCTGAGTTACTGAAATAGATCGAAACTTGAGCTGCAGTGTGCAAACAACAGAAAGTGGCCTCTAAACTCAAGGCTGAGGTAGGTTTTTTCAAAGATCACTCGCTATAAGGATCTGTTTCAACAGTTGTTCTGGCGACCTCTAAAGCTTCCTTCTTTTTTCTTTTCATGTGAAGAGAAAGCGAACTGTGCAGGATACAAACATGTTCATCAGAGCTGTCACATCCATACCCAACATCAACAAACATGATGCAAACACGGTAACTTTCAAACTTTTACCTTGTACTTTTATTGCATTGTGTGTTTGATCCATGCCCGCTTCACGATGAATTCTGCTTACGTGTATATGTTCCCTTTGGTTACAGCTATACCAAGCTATTGGTTCAATCGACGCAATCGCCAAAACATCCAAAGAAGATATATTAGCAAATACAGATCTCTCTTCCGACAAGGCTGAGATGCTCACCAGGTTTTTCCAAGATCCCGAGTTCTACCTCAGTCCCAAATTCAACTGATGACTGCGGAAACAATGTTGAGATCACAAGTCTTGGCTGGATAACGTCTTAGACTTGAGCATCTAGTTCTTGGCCATAACAGTTTCTGAAGGTACCACTCAAGGACTCTCCGTAGTACTCTGCTACATACACCTATAGGAGCCAATACCTGGTATGTAAATGACTCACTTCTTCACTTTGGTAACTCTGCTTGAACATCAGTACTTTCTCACTTTCTATCCGGTTTAGGAAATTAATCAATAAAAGATCTGAACCGAAACTTCTGATGTTTGAAGCAATCACTAAAAGTAACACCAAATCGAATGATGAAAAAAAGTTTGGTAGATTGATTGATAAGTATGATAGTTAAGCACAATAAATGACCACCGCACTTGTTTTCGTTTTGTAGATGTTTAGGGTTTGGGATTTCTTTGATCTTATAGCAAAAACAACAAGCTAACAAAACAAATGTGGAATGGCTTTGCATTTAGAAATCTTAGCTGTGGTATTTGTGTTTTTAGTATATTTTTCCCACACTCCCAAATTGTCTTAATTTAGGTACATGATAGCTTACTAGTACCTGATTTTGTTCTGTTTTCAGAATATAGGATATTTTGTCTACGAAAATTAAAATACTCGGAAAACCAAAAATCTGCATATGTACCTCTGAATTGGGTACCTAATATATAGTTCTAGAAATTACTATACGGATCATCAATTTGATCATAAAGTTACTATCGATCTATCAAGATAATGATGAAAAAACAACCAGTTAAAAACAAAATGTTGATTTGACAACTCTGACAAGAAAATGGTGACTGGAGAACGTTACTATCCAAATTTTCAGCTTTATCGTTATGAAGGACAGTAAGATTATCTTAATCCTATGTTCAAAAAAAGATTATCTTCATCCTTAATAACGACAAAAAAAAAATCTTAATCCTTAATAGTAAGAGATTGCTGGATAAAAAAACATATAACGCGTATCAAATTACCCTAAGTTACTCTGGGATCCTGGTAGGTTTGGTCAAGCTATCCAAGCTTTCACATTTTCAAAAATAGATTAAAAAATACAACTGCAACGAAAAAGACTACCTTTTTATATTCCCTTTAATTTATCTAAATTCCCCCGAGAAAAGAGACAAAAAAATTCACGATGGATACGTAACTGAAAGCCGAGGAATCAAAGCCATCATATCTCAACACGGATCATCATCGTTGTCATCATCATCACTGCCGTTCATAAATAGAAAGCAACAAAGACATCCTTGAGCCCACTCCTTTCCTATTTTTCGCTTTGCGTGCGTTCTTATCAACTTGTAAAGAAAGCTACAAAAATCATTAAATAAAGACCCCAACTTTCTCGTGTCTTCTCTCTATCTCCTTCATCTACTCTGTTCGCTCTAATCTCTCTCTCTCTCTCTCTCTCTCTCTCTCTCTCTCTTTTATCCAGAAGGGTAGTTTAAAAAGTGCAGAAAGAATCGATCTTGCGAAGTGGGTTCTTTGATAATTGTGCTCTCGATTCCTTCGAAATGGGTTCTTCCGTGGAGCAGAACATTCTTGTTACTGGTGGTGCTGGATTCATCGGGACACATACTGTTGTTCAACTACTGAAAGAAGGTTTTAAGGTTTCGATCATCGATAACCTTGATAACTCTGTCATCGAAGCTGTTGATAGGGTTAGGGAGCTCGTTGGTCCCGATCTCTCCAAGAAGCTCGAGTTCAATCTCGTAAGTACTACTTCTCTATCTAGTCGGTGCTTTTTTTTCCCGAGAAAATCTGATGAAGGTGTTGTTATGTGAGGTGAAGTTGTTGCTCTGTGATTGTAATTGTGTATAAATTGGATTCTTCTGTAAGTTTCTGGATCTCTGGAAATGGAGATGAGGATTCTTGAAAAAGTTTCTTGGCTTAAAAAAATTATTCTTTTACATGTCCTTTTCTGGGTTTGGATTGTTTTAGTCGTCCATCTTTTTTATTAAAGTTTCGCCCAAACTTGCTTGCGTGATTGATTTGACGAGGCTTTGATTAGAGCCCAGTTTGAGTGTGAAACAGAGAACTCATATCTCTTTACTGTGTAATCGTATGAAAACAGTCAAAGAATCTGAATTTAATGCATTTTCTCTGTTTGGTTCACAAGAGCAAGTGGACGAACTTTAGCCTTTCTCTATGACCTGTAGACTTGTAGCTGTAGTTGTTTGGTTTTATAACATTGCTTGTGGGATTGCGTTTCTCGGAGATTTATAAAAAAATCGGTGTTGATTGATTACAGGGTGATCTAAGAAACAAAGGGGATATTGAGAAAGTCTTTTCCAAACAGAGGTATATTATTGTTAGATTCTTACCTTCAAAGCTTGCAAATATCTTTCGGTGAACTGTAGAGTTTATAACTTTTCTGAATCTTTGTTTTCTGGTGATATAACAGGTTTGATGCTGTGATCCATTTTGCGGGTCTTAAAGCTGTGGGTGAGAGTGTTGGAAATCCTCGACGCTACTTTGACAATAACTTGGTTGGAACAATCAATCTATATGAGACCATGGCAAAGTACAACTGCAAAATGGTTAGATAGGAGTATTCTACAGCTTTCAGTAATGTCTTTTTATTCTTTTTCTTCGATGGTTCTAATTTTACATTGGTGTGTTGTTGGAATATACAGATGGTGTTTTCATCATCTGCAACTGTTTATGGACAACCTGAAAAAATTCCATGCGTGGAGGACTTTGAATTAAAGGCTATGAATCCATATGGTCGTACTAAGGTAAATTTTACACACTTCTGAATTTCGAGTGACTTCAGAAACTCTTTGTTGTGGTTCCATAATCTTGAAAGTTGGCTCATTTGTAATTTGATAACATTGAAAATTTTCAAAACCTTGCCTGAGTCGAGAGGACTTTCTCTTGTGCAGCTCTTTCTTGAAGAAATAGCAAGAGACATCCACGTAGCGGAACCAGAATGGAGAATTGTTCTGCTGAGGTACTTCAATCCTGTGGGAGCACACGAGAGTGGCAGAATCGGTGAGGATCCAAAGGGAATCCCCAATAACCTCATGCCTTACATCCAACAAGTTGCTGTGGGACGTCTACCTGAACTCAATGTCTATGGACATGACTATCCTACCGATGATGGTAGTGCGGTAAAATCCTAATCACATCTCAAAACCTCTCATTTAATTTGGTTCAGAGTTCTGATGGTTGATCGAAAAAGCTAGTCTTGGATGCCCTTTTTAAGAATAAGTGAAACTGTGAAAAGGGGTTATATCATTGTTAGAAAGTTAAAAGTGATGTTTGAAAACAGGTGAGAGACTACATCCATGTGATGGATTTGGCAGATGGACATATCGCTGCGCTAAGGAAGCTATTTGCTGATCCAGAGATTGGTAAAATTTCTCAGAAAATTAAATGTCAAAGAGAGTTGAGTTTTTGATTTGATGGATTCTTCTCAGGCTTGCGTTGTTGTGATATCAGGATGTACTGCTTACAATCTAGGGACTGGAAGAGGAACGTCTGTGTTAGAAATGGTTGCGGCTTTTGAAAAGGCTTCTGGCAAGGTAAACAACAGCGCAATGATATCAGGATGATTAGAAATTTATCTTTTGGAATGTTTCTGTTTTTACAATGGTTGAAACAAAAACTACATTTGCAGAAAATACCGATCAAGCTCTGTCCGAGAAGGTCAGGAGATGCAACTGCAGTTTATGCTTCAACGGAGAGGGCTGAGAAAGAACTTGGCTGGAAGTAAGTTAAAACTCTTTCACCATTAACGATTGGTTTTATAGCCTTCAGTGGTTAAATTGTTACTAAGTGAATTATTGATTTGGTTTGAATTGTGTAATTAGGGCAAAATATGGAGTGGATGAGATGTGCAGAGATCAGTGGAATTGGGCAAACAACAATCCATGGGGTTACCAGAAGAAGCTTTGAGTTCACTCTCTCTGTTTTTGTTTTAGTTGCTATTTCTAATCACTCAATATAAAAGAAAAGTGTTCATACACATTATATAGCTGTGCTTTTATCTTCCATGTAACGAACGGATCTCTTTACTTCGATTAATAAATCAAACAATTTATACAAATCATATAACAACACAGGAAGATCCATTTCAATGCAACTATGGCTTGTTTCGAAAAGAACCACCAAATCTAAGAAAGCTTTTGTCCAATTCACCACTCGATAGCTTTTATCCATAACCATCTTTTATGGTAAACGCATCTGCACAGAAGCCACAACTCTTCATTTCTTCAATGAGTTTAGCTGATGTGACTACGTCACTGCCTCGTAGATGTGCTCTGATCAGTGTGTTGTACGTACGACTATCTGGTGCGTACCCTTCCTCCTTCATTTCTCTAAGCAACGTATCTGCTTCAGACATTAAGCCTTTTCTGCATAATCCTGAAATCATTATGTTGTATGCTTTAGCATCAGGCTTCACTCCTCTAAGAGGTAGACTATAGAATAGATCCAAAGCATCATCGACCTGACTAGCATTGAACATCCCGTGAATGATGATGCTAAAGATACATATACCAAGATCCATCTTACTCTCCTCCATTTTTCCAAGTATTTCAATTGCTAACTCAAGTTCTCCATTGTCACACAAACCATCAAGCAGAACACCAAAAGTTACAATACTAGGTGGCACACGACGAGAAACCATCTCCTGGAAGATTTGTTTGGCAGCATTGAGTTTCCCCGATTGACAAAACCCTTGGACAAGAGTGTTGTAAGTGACTGTGTCAGCAACCACTCCTCTTGCAGACATTTTGCGGAAGATTTCAAAACCATCATCAACACGTTTGGCCTTACAGTATCCGTTTATGAGGATGCTAAAGGTAACGGTATTAGGATCACATCCGTTGCTAACCATCAGTTCCAACATCTGGTTTGCCTCATCTATGCGGTTCTCTTTGCAAAACCCATCTATCAGAGAATTATACGTGATCGTATTAGGAGCTACGCCATTTGTGATCATTTCATTGAAATACTCTTTAGCCTCTGCAAGCTTTCCTTCTTTCACAAAAACATCAATCAAAGCACTGAAAGTGACAACGTTGGGAGTGATTTGCCTTGTGATCATGTCACTGAACAACCTTGCACCATCGTTCCATCTACCGACACTACAAAGGCCTCCTATGAGAGTGGTGTAGGAGATAACATCTGCTTTGATCCCTTTCGTTTCCATCTCAATGAAAAGGTTGAGTGCATCATCATTGTTCCCGTCTTTGCAAAACCCATCAATGATGATATTGTAACTGGTTGCACCCAGCTTCATCTTTCTTCCTTCCATCTCTCTGAGCAAACCCAATGCCATGGAAGTTTTGCCGGACTTGCACATTCTATGTAGAACTGGTCCGTATGTAACTTCATTGGGTTGATAGTCGTTTTCCACCATCCGATCTATCAAATCCATTGCTTCAGACACTTTACCTTTGAGACAAAGTCCATTGATCAGAGTGCTAAGCGTTATGAGATTGGGACTAAGCTCCATTTCCACCATTCTATCAACTAGCTCCACAGCTTCTGCGACTCTACCTTCGAGACATAGTCCGTTTATCAAAGTCGAAAATGTGATTACGCTAGGCTCAAACCCAAGTTTCAAGATCTTTCCCACAACAGAGAAAGCAAAACCGAGTTTCCTGCGCCGACAGAGACAATTGATTATGATATTCAGAGTGTAGAGACCACACGCAACCCCTTGCAATTCCATCTGCTTACAGAGACCTAACACGAGGTCATACTGTTTGGTTTTGGCCACACCACTAAACAGTCTATTGAATTCTATGACAGTAGGGACGGGACGAGACCAAATCATGGATTGGAACAGTTCAACAGCATCATCAGCCTTTATATCAACAAGCCCACTTCTCAATCTATCTTTGTAAGAGAGGTTACTATCGCTGCTGAGACCAGAAAAGGCTCGTTCGCAGCAAGACAAGAACACGTATGGGCTATAGAATAAAGTACTTCCCAGAGTACCTGTCTCAAGGAAACGATGCTGTACAAATTTCAAAGCTTTAGCATTCCTCCATCTCCGCATCATCTCCAGCTGAGTCACTGTGTGTGATAAACCATGGCAGGAGCACGAGCTTTCTGGACAAAAGAATACCCAAAAACATATAGACCTAACCAGTTCAATTTCGGTCGGTGTAAATAAATACCGGAGTTGGTTTAGCCGAATGTTCCGGTCACGCAAGTAAATTGGTCAAATAAAATATCGTTGATACTGATACCAAAATATACAATTTAACGATATTAGTAGAGAGACAAAATTCTGAATTATAAAAGTATCTGAAAAGTGAAAACTAGAGGAACAAAAGAAAAAAGTACATTCTTTTAAGTTCTTCTAACTTATAATAGCTTTATCTTCATCAGTGACAACAAGCTCTCCATCAACAAACTCACAATACAAGAAAGGCAAACCAAGCTGCTTCTCCATCTTCTTCACTATAAACACTTGTGATTCCTCGCACACCGTAACCACCGTCCCTTTCCTTCCCAGCCTCCCCGTCCTCCCAGCTCTATGAGCATAGTGAACCGCGTCCGTTGGAAGTTCAAGGTTCACCACTAGATCACATTCCGCAACATCAAGACCCCGAGCCGAGAGCTCGTTAGTCACCAGTACCCGAACTTCCCCGTTCTTGAACTTCTTTAGAACCGTTGATCTCCCTAGCTTCCCGAGATCTCCGTGCAGCTCAGCGGAACTCATACCACGAGCTTCGAGTTTGTAGACCACGTCTTTGAGCTGCTTCGAGTGGTTCATGAAAGCTATAACCGATTGGGCCTCGAGAGCGTGAACGCACCTCCTTAACGCGTCGACCTTGTGTTGATGCTTTGAGATGCAGTAGTAGTGCTTTAATGCTGGAGGTAAGCTCTGAATAGTAGTCTGAATCTGGACGTTAGCCTCAGAAGTTGTGGGAGTCAAGCTAATCGCCGGTGCAGATGCTTGAACGGTATCAAGAGGAGTGACTTTGTTGGCTTGGACTAGAACCGGCTCGTAGCTCCAGCTCTTAGCTGCTCGAATCACCGAGAATGGCACAGTTGCAGAGACTAGAATTGTCTGCCGGTTCGCACGTTCATCGGCTTCTCCTTTAGGACCAGCTCCAGATCTCCTTCCTACATGTTCGATTATCCGGTGGATATCTTCACGGAAATTAAACGACAAAAGCTCATCGACTTCGTCTAGCACCAAGAATCTACACCCATGGGTGTGCAACTTCCCACCTTTGCTTATCTCTGCGATTCTCCCTGGAGTGCCAACGACGATCGCTGGTTTATTTTTCTTAAGCGCCTCTTCTTGCCTCATTCGATTCGCACCTCCTACCAACTGCTGAACCATTCTACGGTGATTAGGTCCGAGCAGTTTCTCTACCTCTCTTACTATCTGCATACCGAGTTCTCTCGACGGAGCCACGATCATTGCTTGAATCTCTGCCCTCTTGTCGCTTTCACCGTTGGAGCTTTTAGATTTTCCTGCTAGCGGACCGATCTCAGATAGTATCGGAAGCAGATAAGCTAGTGTTTTGCCAGATCCTGTGTAGGACTGAATCACTGCATCGTGGCCTTTGATTATTGCTGGGACAGCTGCAGATTGGACATCAGTTGGGACATTGAAGCCTTCTCTCTCCAAGCTGTCTAACAAAGAATCTGGAAGGCCAAGCTCCTCAAAGGACTTTGCAGAAAACAAATGCGAAACTATCTCAGCTGGTTTCTTCTCCTTCACTAGTTTCGTTTTATAGTTCGTTGCTGCTCTTACCTTGCCTTCTCCCATTTCAGTAACAAAACTTCCCTCGAGCTTTATCGCCTTACTCTTCCCTGATCTCCTTGGTTTGTTCCCTAACTCAAGGCTTGCAAGAGTAAGAGGCCCATCTTCTTTCGCAGCATGGCATAGAAAACGAGATTGTCGATGGTAGGTAGTTGCAGCAGAAGGCCATGATATCTTTCTGAAGGATGAAAACTCTTTGAGCAGAACAAGGAACCGGGATGAAACTGATGCCGCCATGTCACTCGCGTCGTGTGTGCTTGATAACAAGAAAGAAAGATTCTTTATCACAGCGTTTGCTCAGGACAGCCTGCAAAGTACATGGAGTCCGCATCAGAATGGATAAAATCATTCGTGAAATTCAGATTAGTCATAAATAGTAAAATACAAATTCGGACTTTCGCAGTTACATCAAAATTCTGAAGTAAAAGACTTATGCTCTGACAGCTCTGTGGATTTGGGAGACAAACTACTAAGGAATTTATAAATCAGTGTTTAAAAGGAAAAGCAAGCCAACAATGGGGCAATTCGTCGAACACCTAGCGGGCGTGAAAAGCGTCATCACCCAATAAGCAAAAAATTTAGCAGCTTCTAACATAAACCACGCGATTTCGGCCAAAGCTACCTAAAACTCGATCCGAGACTCATAGCTTCGCAACCCAGCAAAAAAAGAAAAAATAAAAAACTCTGAAGTAATGTTAAATGGCTAACAAAAACTTTCCAGCATGAGAGATAAGATAGTGTCCGGGTCCACGGCTGAGAAGGATTGTAGCTTAGCAACAGGAGAGTAGGAAGATTAAAAGTGACGTATCGAAGACAGAGATGAGGAGATAAAAGAAAGGCACCTGATAGTAATCTCCATTAGAGACGCAAAGGCCAGTGTTCGTTCGAGGCAATGAGAGGAGAACAAAACTTACCAAAGTCTCTCCACTCTCCCCCAGTTTCTAGATAATAAGGTTCTGCTCTACATCATACCGGTTTGAAACAAACCGGATTATACCAGATGTAATTATCCTCGAATTATGTATGAATTTTTGAATCGCCTGTGTTGTTACATTTTAGAATTTTTTTTTTTGGTCAATGTTACATTTTAGAATTTATAAAATGATTTGGTTTGATTAAAAAAAAAAAGCTACCGTCTAAATTTGGGTTTTCTGGTTGGATCAATTTCAATTTACAGGTAGAAACATTTCATCCAAACTTAAATTCAAGAGCTGAGGTGATGATATTATCAGAATTAATCAAATACCAATTCTCAAGTTTGAGAACCATAGACCAAACCTGGATTTGATCATTATTTCCATTGACCAATCTACAGATAGCGAAAGATCTAATGATTATGAAAATCTCTAACCATTCGAGGTTGACAGAGAGACACAGGTAATACAACAGAGTGTTGCAAGTGAAAGAAGATACATATTAGATAGATGTACAGACCTGATTTCTTTCCAAACCAAAAAAAACAAAACATAAGTATAATAATTTGTATATCATAAGATCACAAACAATGCATTCATATCTAAAAACACCAGTCGTGATTTACCTTGGACCCCCAAGTTTCCTGATCAAATGTTGTGTGGGGTCATGAACATTTGATCAGATGTTGTGTGGGGTCATGAACAAGTAAGCCGTTTCTTCTAGACTTCCTCTCGGTCCAAGTTGCTACTTTTGAGGATGTTGTATTTGCAGAGTGGGCAAGTCGCATTTATGTACAGCCATTTGTCTACGCATGAGCAGTGGAAATGGTGGCCACAGGGAAGTTCCCTTAGCTCTGTTCCGTCTTCATAAGCAGAGAGACAGATGCAACACTCCTACAATGCAGAATCATAAGAATCAGTAAGCATAATCTATCTAGGGTTTGATCTTCAAAGGTGTGGGTAGTATATATACTTACTGCATCCTCCTGCAGGAGAGTATGTTCAACCGGTGAATCCGTACCACACTCGGTCATTATTCCTTCGGCACCTTCTTGGGCTTCATCAACAGCGTGTTTGTTGACATCACCAACTTTTCGAAACTTGAATTTGGTCAGCTGCTCAATGTCTTCTTTTGAAGCCCCTTCCTGTTTTATTTTTTCATCATGTCATGTTAAGACAAATAGCACAATGATAGCGACTTAGATTATAAGATGAGTTGGTTATGAGAAGTACCTGATCTGCCACGGCGTATAAAACTGCAATGATGCATGGCAGGCAACAGCAAACAGCAATCCCAATAACACAGGCCAACGCAACACAGAAGACAACAAAGAACACATCGAAACCAAGAAAAACGATAGACAACCTGAAATAAGCAAAGACAATTCAGATAATCTTAAGGCGGAATCATAGTTTTACAGTTATGAAATTAGAGATGGAGGAAGAACAAACCAGTAAATCCGCGGAGATTCTTGTGCCAACTCTTGGCCACCAGCAGATACCCAGTAGAATCCAATGATCCACCATATAAATGAAAACATTGTGTTGGCAGATTCCAGATGCTTTGCAACACTGCCTCGGACACGGTAAGTGAAATAAGAAAACACAACCCGAAACATGTATTACCCTTGTGGATTTGTTAATGCTAAGGACACACGCAAAACTAAAGGGAGCATGTAGAACGGGCAGCTGAGTCAGTGTGTGATTGTGTTATGAAAAAGAGTGAATCTATTGTAACAAACTAATCAATCCCTGACAGAGTTGGAAAATAATTGATGGGTAACATCACATTTTCTCCACAAAGTTGCATTTAATCTCAACTACATTGTAAAATGAATCAAAGAACAGAAAAGATAGACGCTTTGTGTAAAAGGTAAAGACCAAAGCTTTAGCTAAGAAACCACTACAATTTGGGGGAAAATCATAGAATAAACAAATCCAAACCAAAACTCCATCTTCAAAAATGATAAGTATCAAAATTCAATATTTTCTTCATCAGCTGATAGAAACCGCAAACTAAGTGTAAAGAGCCTGAGTTTTAAATGCTACCAAGTACTAAGTCATGCAAGTATCAACTTATCTGTAATTTGAAATCTAGACAAGCTTGAGTCAAAATACACATAAAAATTTCCTCAGGTAAACATCTGATCTGCTTAAGAGCAGAAGAAATTTAGCTACATACCTGCTGCTTTCGTTTTCCAACTGCCCGAGAGACAAGTCCTGCTCATCTGAATTCCTCCTCGAACCCAAAGCATCTTCCTCCAAGGACGAAGAAGATGAAGAGGAGGAAGAAGAACGTGACCGTGGAGTCCTGTTTGTTCTCATCCTGTTCCTCCTCCGATACTCAACGCACACACAAACCATATGCAGCACGCATTGCAAAGCATACCCTAAGAGCCAGACTCTGAGCGGCATGATTGGATGTTCATTTCGGCTCATCACCAGAACAGCCGTAGCGACAGAGACGAAGGCCAGGTTCCAAACGATGTCGAGCACCACCACAGGCTTCGAGTAGGCCCAATCGCTCTGCCTCTCCTCGAGCTGCTCCGCGGCGGCCTCCCTCACAAGCATCGAAGGCTCCCGCATCGCTCGCCCGCTGCTAGCACGGCTTAGAAACCTGGCCGCTTCCCTCAGCCCTTGTCTCCTCACAAATCGCCGTTCCCCGCCGGTCGTTTGACCGTTCCGGGAACCTCCTCCGTTGCTGCTTCCCTCATTTTCATCGCCGCTCAGAAGCAGCGGTGCCGGATCGATGGCGTCAGAGGAAAGATGGCGAGATGGTGATGATATTGGCAGCGATGAGGAATTCCCCGTAGTCTCCGTTGACATTATTTTCCTCCTGTGTTTATTTTATTCCTAGAGTCTTCTTCTTCCTAATAAAACCTGAATCGTTGAAATTCGTGTAGCTTTACGCCATAAAAAGGTAAGGATTCGATCTCAGAGAACGAAATTGGAATCGCTAGGGTTTCGATTGTGCACAGAGAGAGAGAGGACGAGAGGAGAGAGAGAGAGAGATGATGACGATGATGATTGAGGAAATTAACAGAAAATCTCTTTGACGAATACGAATGGGTAAATAATACATTTGTGATATTTGAATCTCTATCATTTAATAGTCTCGTGTGGTCCCATATGGTCAACAGTCAGCCACCGGACAATATACTAATATTATAACTTCACAGTAAATGTGTCTTAAAATTCATATTATAATCTTTTAAACTCCCTTGAAAACCAATATAATCGTGAAAGATTTGAGAATTTATTTGTGAAATTGTATCTCTTCATTGTCTGATTGATATCTTATGGGTTTTGAAGAATCTGACTTCTTTCTATAGCATCGATGGAAGTATGCGTGATTGATTTGTTCATAGAGTAATTTGCATCTATCTGATGAAGTTATGTCATAATGTGTCTCACATCTTATTTGATGTAATAGGTGAAAAGCTCAAACAAACTGACATTTGTGATGAACCGTGATTATCCGGTATGGTTAACCGGACTTGTAAACATCAAAAAATCAATTTTGACTGTATCATTATTGTTGTTACTTGTTAGGTAACAAAATGGAATAGTGCCAGGCACATTATACAGAGTCTATTTTAGTAAAGCTTTATTAAAACTGCCTTATTGACATTGCTCGTAGACTTTTTCTCTTTCACATATATTAATAATATACTCAACAAACTACCAAAAAAGATAACAGAATATGTTTTAAGAAAAGAGAGAACAAAATCTATATATTAATACCCAATTCGTTTCACGTCTGATTTACTTTCTCTCTGGTCTGAGATTTTTGATCAGAAAGAGAGAAAAAAAAAGGTAAAATATCTTGAAGGAGCTGCCACCACCAAAGCCCTTGACGTTATTGCTCCCAGAGATAATAACTTTGTGGATACTCGGGGAAATTTTTTGTTTTCCGTTACGGAAAAATCGATTCAACGGTTGAGTTTTTCCAAATTCAGAAAACGGATAAATCTTGAAGGTAGAATAATTCTGCCTGAATCTCTGATCATAGATGCTCTGTTTCATGTTTCCTGTCTCAATCTATTCTTCCTCTAATTCATTGTTTTTGATCTGTTGATTCGAATCTGTGTGTGTGTGTGTTCATATATATATAAATATCAGTTTTTTTGTTTTCTTAATACGAAGGAGAGAAGAGAGAAGAGGGAATGATGTCGAGAAGAGATGTGGAGAGAAGTAGGAAGAACAGAGGGAACACCCAGTGGACGGCGTGGCTGACTCCGTTGATCGTCATTGCTAGCGTCGCCGTCTTCATCGTTGCCATGTTCATCAACGACTGCCCCAAGACCGCCGCTGGCGCCAACGGAGATTGCGTGGCGAAGTTTCTCCGCAGGTTCTCCTTCCAGCCACTAAGAGAGAACCCTCTCTTGGGTCCATCTTCTTCAACGTAAGTTTATGAAAAACCTTGAAAACCAATAGTTTTGTTGAAAGTGTTTTTTGTCCGTTTCAACTCCAAAAGTCTCTCTCTGTTTTTCCCCATGTTTCAAGACTGTGATCAGTCTGATCCATTTACAGCCTTACGTAATTCAAATCAGGTTCAGGCTTGTGGGGTATTTCAAAAAGTATCATCTGTTCATCATTGGTCTGTTTAACGCTTTGATATTCAAGTCTAAACTTGTGGGTATCTAAAAAAATGTCATTTTTCTTCTGTTCATGCCATGTTGATTTCAGGACAAACTCTGTTCTTGAGATAAACCTCATCGATTTAGTGATTGAGCCTCATGTTCTGTTGTCTAAACCACAAGATTTATCTTTGGGGACATGGTTGGATTAAAAACTGTGAACTTCATTAGCAATGGGGGTTCTGTAACTTTCGGAATTTGTAGTGGTTTCATGCAATTTCTGATCCCATTTATGGTTTCAGATTGGAGAAAATGGGAGCTTTGGAATGGAGTAAAGTCGTGAAAGGCCATGAAAAATGGAGGCTCGTCACATCAATGTGGCTCCACGCCGGTATCGTTCACCTTCTTGTTAATATGTTCAACGTGATCGTCATCGGTATCCGCCTTGAGCAGCAGTTTGGATTCAGTAAGTCTTTATCTCTTACCTCTCATCCTCATGTTCTTATTCATATATTCAAAAAATAATGTCTTGTAAAATGATTTATGCAGTAAAAGTTGGGCTCATCTACTTGATATCTGGATTCGGCGGGAGCATTCTCTCGGCACTCTTCCTTCAAAATAGCATTTCCGTTGGTGCCTCAGGCGCTCTCCTTGGACTCCTTGGAGCTATGTTATCAGAGCTTCTCATCAACTGGACTATCTACACCAACAAGGTATGTTCTGGTCTGTCTCAAGAAGCAAGCATTAACCTGAATGTAACATCATTGTATTGTCTTGACGAGTTTTCTGTGTGTTTTACTCCAGCTGGCAGCTTTGTTCACGGTCTTGTTCATCGTCGCAGTCGATTTGGCAATAGGACTGCTTCCTTGGGTTGACAACTTTGCTCACATTGGTGGGTTCTTGACCGGATTTTTCCTCGGGTTCGTACTACTGATCCGGCCTCAGTTCGGGTGGGAAGAGTCACGCAACTCTGCTCAGTACGGTCTCCGTGACAGATCAAAGTATAACCAGTGTCAGTACTTGTTGCTGTTTGTTGCTGCTGTCTGTGTCGTGGCCGGTTTAACAGTTGGGGTTGTGATGCTATTCAAAGGAGAGAATGGGAACAAACTTTGCAAATGGTGCCATCACCTAGACTGTTACCCTACTTCCAAGTGGTCTTGTTGATTTTTTTATTTCAATCATCGTTCTTTTTCTTTTGTTTTTATTAACTGTTTCTTATTGTGTCTCTCTTTCTCCTTTCTCCTTTCTCCTTTTGTTTTCTAACTGTAACTTCTAATGCAAGTGGATTGTCGAAAAAGACCCTTAAGAAATGAGGCTATAGTCACACAAGTTGTGAGAGATATGTTGGGCTATAGTATATTGGGCTTGAACCGATTTTAAATTTCTAAAAGTAAACCGGTGACGTCATTAATGTATAAACAGCTTGGGGTAACCGGTGAAAAGAGCGGACACGTCAGCAAAGAATCAGGCCGCACGAGGAGAGGTGAAAGGAGGTTGGTGGCTTCCTCTGGCGGCGATCGTCAGCCATCTCCGTCGTAACGCCGGTTGCTAAAACGCACACCTTTACGCGGCGCCGGCGAGGATTCTTATTCGCATTTGAATTTCACCCATGTACGCCTTTCCTTTTGTATTATCCCGCTTTTGAAATACAGTGTATACTTCATATTGAAACCAGAGTGTCGTTGTCGATAAATCAGAGAAACTTTGATGATGATTCATTAGAAATAGATGATGCATTGAAACACCGTTTGTAGCGAAATTCGTATACAGGATTCGGTATCAACAATCATCGAAAAATCTTCTATCTCAAGAGAGTTGTAGCACATTCACTTGATTTCTCTTACATGCCTGTGATCAATACTATACATTTAACAGTTTCTGAACCAGACACACATAAGCTACACACAGAAGCTCCTGCTTGAAATCAAAATTGTGTATTCACCTTATAGCTGATTCTCAGCCTTAACCCAAGACAAATGGATTCAAGGTCGTTTAACTTAGGAAAAATGTATAACAACAGCTTATTATCCTACCAACTTCATTTACTTATAACATTCTCTAGCCTATTTCTTATGCAGTCTGACATGGTAACCATTTGGAAACTGTAATCCTGGAGTTCGAAGTATGTTCCCTCCTTTAATTTCCTCCCACCTGATAAATTTCAAAGGAAGGAAATCAAACTCAGCTTTAGAAAAGAGCTACTCGAGAGAGACTGTCACATGATTTGCTTTCTCGAACCTGTATTTGGTGACAAGGCTGTGAAGAAACACAGCCATCTGCAACTTGGTGAAGTCGGTTCCAACACAGAACCTCATTCCTCCACCAAACGCCATGAAGTGCTTCGATGCGTTGTTACCGTTTGATTCCTGTGTATGGAATCCAATTTTAGTTTTGCAGTTTTACTTGGAGTAGAAGTTACCATATTGAAGTTTGACCTCACCTCCCATCTCGAAGGGTTAAAGACTAAAGGATCCTCATACTTGTCTGGATTCAAATGTACAGCTGGAGGACAGACCATCACCGCCCAGCCGGCTGGAATGGTATAATCTGCATCGTTGAATAAGTCTTTTAATCATTTACTTATATAAGAATTAATCATTCACAAATATGTTTATCGTTATTTTTTATTTTTATTTTTTATATCATACCTTTATATTTTATATCTATCAACGCCTTTCTGAAGATTGCAGGAACTATGTTTGCTAGTCTTGCTGTTTCGTTTATGAACTGCTTTCAGAATTTTTCAAGGCTTGGTCAGCTGAATTTAAAAAAACTTAGGGAAATAATCATATTATTACTTTTTATGAAACTCTTAAGCAACCTGAAATGTGTAAGTCATTGACTTGTATTCTTCCCATGTAAGTCCGGACTCTGCATCTTCCCTGTTTCTCAGAATCGTCTCATGTTCTTCCTGATGAAAAATGAACACAGTCTTAGCTTTTTAATTTGATAGTAATTATAAACTGGTCACTTTCTTGCTAAAGAGATTTTAATGGTTTTTGTATCCCTTCACTGACCGTTAAACGCTTTAGAACTGCAGGGTCGTCTGAAAGAAACTTGATGGCTAATGTTAGAGCGAGAGAAGTTGTTTCGAAGCTGGCGAATAGCAAGACGAACATTAAATCCAGTGCAATCTCTTCCGTCAGAATTGTCCCCTCTTTCTGAATCTCTTCAATGACATAATCAAAGAAATCACTTGGGTTCTTCCGAGGTTTCTTGCGTCTCTCTTGAAGCATATTCCTCAGCATTCTCATTGCACTTTCCCTACCCTGCAAGGATCATTTCTAGGATTAGTACCATACCAGATACAGGTAATGCTTAAAAAAGACGACTCTTGGTATGATGCTTCACCTTAAGACATTTGTGATAAGCTGTGCCTGGAATGTTAAAAGGGAAAGAGATGAGTCCTTGAATAAAAGCAACGAAGTTGGCCCTTAGATTCTCTGATGACTTGTCTGGATCATGGCTGATCAGCTTCTTCGCCGTGAGATCAAATATCATCTGAGAAGATGTTTGATACCAACATGTTAATTAGCGGCAGGGAATAAAGCATTTATATATAGGATATATCTGAAACAGAAAAACTCACGCTTGCGGTTGCGTCCTTGAGCTCTACTGATTCCTGGTTTGACCAAAGCTCTAATCTCTTATTTGCAGTCAGCTCTACTTGAGGAAGCATCTTCTTGAGACCATCGTAGCCAAAGAGAGTCAAGACCATGCTTTTAAGGTACTTGTACATAAACCCATGTAGTGATCCCACATTCTTTCTCCCAAAGATGTTGGTGAAAGTGTCTGGGTACCAACTCTGGAAACAACGACCCTCTTGTTGAAACACAAAGTAACTCAAATCAGGGTCTGTTGATACAATAACTGGTCTCCCAACGAGATTGGTCTTGAAAATTGAGCCATACCTGCAAGTAATAACAACAGTTTTTTTAACCTCTGTGTACACACAGAAGCAATGATCACATTGGTTTTGAATGAAGGAAGAGACACACTCACTTTTTAACCCTTTCTTTGACAAAAGGAGGGGTGTCTGAAGTTGTGTTTGGCTTGAAGAATTGGATAGTCTCACCGAGCAGCGGGAAACCCATTGAACCAGGTGGAAGCTTTCCTTTGCATTTGGGATTCCTCCAACTGTAAACCCAATGTGTGATGCTCAAGAGAAGCAGAGAACCCCAAATGAGCAATGCCCACATCGTAGTAAGACAATTTATGAGAGTATAGATGATTTGAACTACAAATGAAACTCTCTGACTTCTTCCTCTTGTGTTTGTGTTCTTTAGACAGAAACTGAAAACGTGCAGAGGAAAGAGACAAAGAGAATAAGAGGAAGGAGAAGGAGAAGACAGAGGAGTTGAGTGCTGGCGCATCTTCGTTCAACTATTATGATGAGTGCTTAAATAGGCAAGGCAAGTCTCTACACATAACTCTCATAAGATAATAATAAATAATGCTCTCTATAAAGTAGTTGTAGAATGAAAAAGGTTTAACTTATTAAAAAAAACTTAAAATCTGTTTATGGAAACCATACACATAATTCATTATTCGTGTGAAAGGGCAGCTTTTTTTTTGTGAAGTAATAAAAAAATGACGAATCATGAAATGAAGCTTCCTCTTTCCTCATAGTTTATTGTGTCTCATGGAGCATTAAAACACCAGTCTGAACATTAGACAAGTTTACAGCTTTATTTTAGGAGATCATTTGTGGGCTCTTCCCCTCCATTCGATTTGATAATAAACTAACAATAATAATAATAAATTGATCCTGTAACTTCAAATTTGAGAGACTCTCATATGGGGAAAAGAAAAGAGTTTTCAGATCAGCTTAACATTATTTGACTTCATTATTGTAATTTTCTACTTCTTTCATATCATATCTATGCTAAAATTCCTGTATATCTAATACAATCTTTGACAACAGGGTAGCAAAAATAAACTAAACATAAATAAGTACTTTTCAGTTTGTTCTTGTTCATGCTCAGGATCTCCTCTTTAGATCTGCTTGTCATGTGTTTTTTAATCATTGTCATTATTTGCTTCATCTACTCTTAAAAACTCCCACTCGTCAAACCCCAAGGATCAATCTTATTGCATAATAATGTAAACATCAGGTTTAAGATCTTGTTATCAACCACTGCATCTGCTAATTCTCTGATAATAATTAACCTGAGAGTTGTATCATATTATCATTATCATTTTTTTTTATTCAGGTGAACGTACAAAACCACAGATACGGCTCTTGGGACAATGGGACCCATCAGGTTAAACCAAACGCAGGACAGTAAAACTTTTCGCCATTGAGCCACGGGCTCAGGATTTATGCAACAAACCATGCAATTATACTTTCCACCCACAATGAAAAATCTAACTCTAGGTAGGTTACTGTAAATTACTCTACATTATTTTTCATCTTTCTGTCATTTCATTAGCTAATACAATTTTGAGTGTTGCATAATTGGTGACAAAAAGTGGTTTCTTCATCAGTAATCCTGGGTCAAAAAAAGACAACTTTAAAGTTTAGACCTAAGCTACTATATACACACAAAGCCTAAGAGCTTAGAATCTGCTTTTGTAGGGAACGAAAGAAACAAGAAGAGTAACATTATTGTCATTGATTTGCTTAACGACAATTCTTCAAGCAAAACCCAACATTGTGTTTATGATTAGGGTTGGATTGGTATGTGTATATGTTTGTCAGTCTGTGTGTAGTGTGATTAGGCAGGTTTCATGTTGGGAGGAGAAAATCCAAAATAGTAAACCCCACCATTAGGGTTTTAGTGAAATTAATAAACAAATAATAATAGTCATTAGGAGCAAGGATGTGATTGTTAGGGGGATGTACCGAGATAGAGAAGCTATTGTTTTTTAATCTTCTTGTTCTGTGCTTAATAGTAACAACAGTAACAATTTCATCAACCCAATATAAGTTTTGAAAATATCTTCATTTGGATGTAGTCATGTAGATAATCATATCGAAGATTTGTATCGTTATCTTTATTTGGATGTAGATAATCATATCTAAGATTTGTATAGTTGCACTAAAATATTTATATTATCTAGTAGCTCAAATCGATTCAAATTAGCTTGGTTTGCAAACAATTTGCATTTTTTGTTATTTCTAAATTATGGTTTTAAATATTCGAACTTGGTGGCATTGAAATTTTGACGATTGAGTTTGTAAAATACTTGCAATTATATAGTGTTTTTTGTTTTTACAATTAAACTTAAATAAAGGAGAATAAAAATACGACTTATTGTTGGACGGAGCTGGACCCCACTTAAAGCTATGGGTCCTACATGTTCCGTTGGCTCAAATCCATTGGCTATGTTTTTTACACAGAAAGTTGGCCACGTGATACATATCATCCTTCTTGTATTTTTGCTATATTTACGTTTTAAAAATTTAAAGTATATTGTACTAATATTCATTTGATGAGTAAACTATAGCAAATATATAAGAAGAATGATTTTACATACCTAACTAATGAAGTAAGAAAAAAAACTAAGCGACAAAAATATAGAATTTTGTTTATAAGTTTATTTTGGTCAGTCAGCTGTTGATATACAGTATATATAATATATGTTTTTTACCAAAAAAATATAATATATGTGTATTAATTAATAGTTTTTTTTCTAATTCTTAATCAATTAATATTACGACTTCATAATCAGCGATTTTTGAAGCTACACAACACGAACACGAGGATTTGAGAGAATTGTGGAGTAAGTTCGTTAATGTTGTCTGTTCCGTACGCATGCGGCAATCCCCTGATATTTTTATTTTCTTTACTTCAACAAAAAACATAGAAAAGTAAATAAAAAGAAAATAACAAAAATCAAATTATTGATATTTTGACTCGGATACAGATGAAATGTGTAGGGGAAAAAAATAAAATCTGTAGAAAACTTTTAATTAATTTAAATAAAACCTTTTAATATTAATGTAAGAAAACAAAGGACTTCTAATTTTATATGGATAATCTTATAGAGAGAATTTGATAGCAGTATAGCAACGAAACTAAAAAATATTCTTGGAAAGACTAGTTCACTCAACAAGTAAAAGTAATCTTTTTTTATAAGTAAAAGTAATCTTAAAGTGTATTGATGTGGTTATATTAATCAAAAAGGTAATTAAATGTGGAAGGGCCAAAGATATATGTTTTCTGAATTGAAAATTGACAAAAACATTAAGGTTAAAAATAAAAATTAAAGGACAGATTTGGTCGTACGTGTCTGTTTGTCCCCATGGCCATAGGGTTTGACCTTTCACAAAAGTAAAACGCCAGTCGTGGGGAGGAGTCACATATCGAACCATATATATAGGTTTACTTCTAGTTTCTAGTTTTTCTTCTCACATAAGTGAAAGTGATTTTAGTCTTTTGTTGTATTAAATCATTTTAAGCCACGTTACTTAACAGTTAACACGAGTGGTCTAGTGGATTTGTCGGGTTTCAGCTAACTTAATCAGAATATTTTTTAGCCAACTAATTAAAAATTATATGTTTTACACTACTGATGCATATTAACTAAGCTAATCACTGTAATTACCGACAAAACAAAAGTCAAGTTAATTTATCTTCAACAATAATATGTTAAATAAGGATTAGGTTGACACTTTTATTTTGTTATATGAAGAAAAGAAGAAAAAAGACACTGGATTTGTTTAATTATACAAGGTGAATTTGGTTGTTAATTTTTCTTTTTTTATTAGCTCAAAATCTTACGAAATCTAAACTAATTTTTGGAAGAGGTAAAGCATTGGGTATTATTATCATTTAAAGTTTTTTAAAGCAGCTAACTATTAGTGAAATTATAATGAAAAATATCCAAACTCTAGTCTTTCTATCTAGGTTGGGACGTTTAGTCAGATATGTATGATTGTTGTTATTGACATCTTCGTAAGTAACTTGGTTGTTACTTGATACAAGTCAAAGAAGATTCTATGATATTTTAATACGCTTTAAGTAGATAACCCATTATATAATAAGAAAAGTAAAAAGCTTTGCCATGGAATGTGCATTATATAAATATTGTATACTTCCAAAAAACTACAGAGCTGTATTCAAAGTTGGTTATATTATATCAGAAGATAATTTCTACGTATATGGCCATCGCGCTCTATAGTTCTAGAACACTCGTAACAAAAGAAAATATAGAACACTTGCGACATCAATTGGTGTTAATTTCCTAAGAAGACAAATAAATAAAAATATAAGCAACTCGAGAAGAAAATTGTGGGAGAAGCAAAATAATTGGCAATGCGGTAAGCAATGACTAAAAGCCTTCGTCATAATTAGGAGCCTTGGGGAAACATATCTTTTTTTTTAATATGCAACTTACATACATAACGTATACGTATATAGTTGCATGGTATCGTTTTCTTCATTTAAACATAAGTGATTTAAATTTTACGATGAGATTTGTTTAATTGAAATGCATAATAGAATTGATGCTCACAGCAAATCCAAAAGTGCTAATTTGTTTTGTTAAAACTTCGAAACCACGTGATTTTGCACTTGTCATAAGTCCACCCAAATTTAATGGATTACCAATATATAATAATGAATTATATATGCTCTGTGAGATATTGTCTTCTAGAGCTACATTTAATTTCCTGTAAATTTTAGTTTTAGAATTTCAAGATGTAAACACAATTTCCAATAAAATGTCCATTTGATCTTTTCCTCAGAGCCGGAAAATTTTCAGCTCAAAGTCTAAAACTCAAACTAATCTCAAACATCTAAAATTGCTTATTTATTTCTATATCTGCTTAATCTTCATTAATCGTGATAAAAAATAGATAATTGTAGCGATAGAGTGTTAATAAACAAATAAAATAATATTTTAAACAAAAAATGTAAAAATGAAGACGATGGAAAAAAGAACAATATTTAAAGATATTGCAAAGATATCTAACCAAGAGATAGAAATTAAGTTGTAGTCGACGTTCAAAATCTTTTCGTCTTATTGGTTTTTGATTGATTAAGGTGTTGAAACTTGCAAGAATTAAGGTGACTTTTAGATGGAAAAAAACAATGTGCTATTACGACATGGAATCGGAAAATTAAACAGAAATTTATAGAATGGTTACAAATCTAAACTAAGAACTCGATTTAAACTAACGGTCTGTTAGTCGTTAGCTCGATCCTGATTTTGCAGAAATTTGATGACATATTTTCTTGACGTGCAACACTTGTTGGGCCTTTCGTTGGTCATTAAACGAGTTAGGCTTTCGGTGTCTTCATGTCCGGTTCTAAATGTTAGATGTTTGCAGGGACATCCATTTTTGTTACAAATGCTATTGAACAGTTTATAAAACTTGAATAAGTATTATAGTATTGGGCTGATTTAATGGCCCATAGTAGTAGAAGATAATATAAGGCTAACGAGGGTCATATAGTAGCATGGATGGTAAAGCACTTGACTAGATTTTGTATAGAGCAACCTCAATGGTAACATTATTAGTATAGGGGTTTTAATAATTAAATATTAATATTTGGTAGATTTTGTTTTTTTCTTTTCATTTTATGTATTAATTTTTTTTTTCCATTCATATATTGCCAGCTGTGTGTTCTTAAATAATAAAAAAATTTTATTTTAGATTCTTGTCTAAAATATTAGACATTCTACATAATATTTTAATGCAATTATATTACTAAGATCTTGTTATTAGACTCTTGCAAATCTGCATTAGGGTTGGTCTTAGAAAGTAGATTAAAAAGAAAAAACAGATGTACAAAAAGTATGTTTCCTATGTACTTCATGTCTCTCGGGTAAAATGTCTTTATCATTCGGATAGATATCTCTTCTAACCAATCAATTTAACATCTTCCTCCTCCTTTTAGATATTTATTTGATATTATCGTCGACTTATATCGTTCGTCGTTTTCTCAGTTCTATGTCATAATCGAATTAGAAGGAAATTTGAGTTTTTTTTTGCATCGTCATCAATTATATCTCTATAACTTATATAAGATACTCCAAAAATAAATGCCGACAAACATATATCTCAAAACATTCTAGATACTCTTCAAATTCTATCAAGAATATAACCAAATAGTCTTCTTGAATAAAAACAATTAATGTCATCAAAATATCTCAGCATATTCGACAGTCGACACCTCCTTTTTTTTTCTTTCTTTTTTTGGTGCGTCACGAGCTAGACTCAAGATAACTCAAATTCAACAGCAATCTAATAGAAATAAGGTTTTATTAAAAACGATGTTTTTTTTGGTTGGATAAATATTGAATTGTAAGCAGCTTTATAACGAGGCTAGCTTTTTAGGCAAGGCAAAGCAGCAACAATAACAAGGGCTAATTACCAAATACAGACTTATTACAAATATATGTGATCTACATATCGATAGAAATAAACAGATTCCCGTTGACATTGTGGATTATATAGGTGTAACAGAAAATAATAACTAACCCTTTTTCAAAAAAAACAGAAAATAATAACTGAAAACTCAAATGGCTAAAAGGAATATGGATATCTATCTATTTATTTATTACATTGTTTTGCAATATACAGTATGGTTACTAATGGGATTGCGCGGATAATAAAATTTAGTAAAATAAAACGGCCAAAAAATAAAAACAAAATACGACAGCTTTTAATTGTTTTTAATTAATCTTATGGTTTCAAACTAATTAATACTATTATCTTCGGAATCTAAATATATTTTTTATTACACGATCCACATGCCATTTGCGTCACCCTACAAATCCTTAAATTCATAATCACTTTCCACCATTTGTCTGTCACCACCAAACAAACCTCTTTATTATATTTGCTCTGTTCTTAAGTAAACCTTTGATTTTCGCGTGCGAAGAAGAAACCCCACGACGAAAGTTTACATTTTTTTCAGTATTTTCTCCACGATTCTCAAGAAGATCCTCTTTTTTTTTTTTTTTTGGTTAAAACCACTTTGAGATTTTTGGATCTCGTGGAAGAGGGTTTCCAAATTCCAAGGTTTTTTTGCTCCTCGTGCTTTTTTTTTTTTTGATGGGTGCGAGTTACTCTGGTCTTGACAATGATTCGTCTTCGTCGTCTTGTCTGTCAAAGCTTGCTTTAGGGGATTTGCCAGAGGCCTGTGTGGCTCTGATTATCGAGAATTTGGATCCGGTCGAGATCTGCGGATCCTCGAAGCTCAATAGGGCTTTTCGAGGCGCTTCCTGGGCTGATTTCGTGTGGGAATCAAAGCTTCCTCCGAACTACAGGGCTTTGCTCGAGAAAATCCTTGGTGGGTTCCCGGAAAATCTGCAGAAAAGAGACATCTACGCTTGTCTCTCCAGGATTAACTCATTCGATGAAGGCACCAAGGTTCGTCTCTTCACACACACACACACACACATACCTCTCTCTGTATTTTTCTCATTTCAGGTTTCATTCACATCCCTTGAACAATTTTTAGGATATATTTTAGGGGATTTGTTTCTTAAATTGGAAACTTTCTTCAATCGAGGATTTACATAAACGGGTTTTGAGAATATGTATTCTAGTATCAATTTTCCATCATAGAAAACGAGTAGATAAGATTCTAAAGTTTTGGTATTGAATATACAGAAGGTATGGATAGATAAACGAAGCGCTGGTGTTTGTCTAAGCATCTCAGCGAAAGGATTATCCATCACAGGCATCGATGATCGTAGATATTGGAGTCATATCCCCACTGATGAATCTCGGTGAGATTTTTCTCACTTTTTTCCATTTCCTTCTTTCTCATTTTAGTTCCATTCACAATTGATGTTCGTTAGATCCAGTGATCACTTGCTTAATTTGATTGCCTAACGCTCACTCAAGTTCTTCAAAAGTATGCTTCTTTTTCCCCGAATCTGTGTGTTGATAAAGTGATTGGTTTTGATTGCCTAACACAAGCTCTTTATATACAAACTTGTCCTACTTTCTCTTTCTACAATCAGAGTCGGTCGTTTTCTGATCAAAGTTTGTAAATTTATCTTGTTCAGTCCATCAAAGTTCACATTTTTCTTTGGTTCGATCGAGTCTCATTTCACTCCCTATCAGTGGAACTTTTACAAGACCTGACAAATCGATTCATTTTGATTGGTAATTGAGTATTCAAGTAAACTAATCGTGTGTTGTTATCATCTGTGTGTTTATGCGATTTTAAAGGTTTAACCATGTTTTCTTATTGATTCTTGCAGGTTTTCTTCTGTAGCTTATCTTCAACAAACCTGGTGGTTTGAAGTTAATGGTGAAATCGATTTCCCTTTCCCGGTCGGAACCTACAGCATCTTCTTCAGGCTTCAACTAGGTCAATCCGGCAAGTGGTTTGGTAGACGGATCTGTAATACCGAACAAGTCCATGGCTGGGACATTAAACCGGTTCGGTTCCAACTCTGGACCGAAGATGGTCAACATTCCTCATCTCAGTGCATGTTGACCGATCGGGGTAACTGGAATCACTACCACGCTGGAGATTTTGTAGTCCGGGAATCGAAAAGCTCATCGACCAAGATAAAGTTCTCCATGACTCAGATCGACTGTACTCATACCAAAGGCGGGTTGTCTCTAGACTCTGTAATTATATACCCGAGCTCCTGTAAAGACCGGTTGAAGCGGTTTTAATGTTTCAACCGGAATTGGTTTAGTGAGAGGCTAAAGCTGGTTTTTTATGCAGCTCTTTAGCCTTTTCTTATAGATGTTGGCTATTTTTAGAGTGAACTCTTGTTATGAACTTTGTTATGTTAACTGAGTTTTGAAGTTGCAAACTGTTTTATTAGTGGTTCTGAAACTAAATCATCTGTTATATGATAAGTTACACTTAAAACAGATCAAACCAAATCATCTGTTATAATATTTAGCTGTTTAATTGACTTCAAACCAAAATGGTCAATCAAACTGTTTAATTGTTAGAGAATGGACTTAAAAAAAAAACAATTACTAGAGCCATTCCGGTATATGGTGTATACCGTATAAAATCGAACCGGTAAATAAAATTTGAACCGGGTTTTCTTTTCTTCTTCGTCTCTCCATTGATGTTTGTAGGGTTTTTTTTTTCAACTGTTGCAGAAAATCAAACGAATAACTCAGCTGAAGAAATGATGACGTTGATGGTGTTAAGCCGACCAATTACACTTAATTCAAAAATAGCTTTGAGATTGGTTCAGCCTCATGTCTTGGAGACAGGTACGCTTAGAACTGATTTGCTCTGTAGCTTTTTCGGCTTCTTGTCTTGCTGCGAACGAGAATTTTCTGGTATTATCGATAGTAAACTCTGTTTTAGAGAGAGATTGAGAAATGGGATTGTTGACATTAAGGAAGGTGATGCGATTGCTCTGTTTCAAGAAATGATTGGGTCTCGTCCTCTACCTACGCTCATTGATTTCAGTAAATTGTTTAGTGGTATCGCTAGAACAAGACAATACGATCTGGTGTTAGATCTCTGCAAGAAGATGGAATCCAGTGGGATTGCACATAACATCTACACACTAAACATTATGATCAATTGCTTTTGTAGGAGTCGTAGAACTTGTTACGCTTATTCGATTCTGGGAAAAATCGTGAAACTTGGGTATGAGCCTGACACAACCACATTCAACACTCTCATCAATGGACTCTGTCTTGAAGGTAAAGTCTCTGAAGGAGTGGTTTTAATCGATCGAATGGTGATAAATGGATGTGAACCCGATCTTGTTACATTTGGTTCGATTGTAAACGGAATATGCAAATCAGGAGATACTTCTTTGGCCTTGGATTTGCTCAGGAAGATGGAAGAAAGAGATATGAAGGGTGATGTCGTTACATACAGTACAATCATCGATAGTCTTTGTAGAGATGGATGTATGGATGCTGCGATCGATCTTTTCAATGAAATGGAAACGAAAGGGATCAAGTCTAGTGTTGTCACCTACAATTCTCTCATAGGAGGTTTCTGTAAAGCCGGAAAATGGAACGATGGTGCTCAGATGTTGAAGGACATGATCAGTAGGAGAATCATCCCTAACGTCGTCACTTTCAATGTATTGATTGATGCATATGTCAAAGAAGGGAAGGTTCACAAGGCTAAAGAGTTTTACGAGGAGATGATCACAAGAGGTGTGTCTCCTGATACTATTACTTACAACTCTTTGATAGATGGGTTTTGCATGCAGAACCGCCTTGTCGAAGCCAACAAGATGTGGGATCTTATGGTTAGGAATGATTGCAATCCTGATATCATTACTTTCAACAGTCTCTTGAAAGGATATTGTATGGTGAAAAAAGTTGACGATGCTATGAAACTCTTCCGAGAGATTTCTGAGAGAGGTTTGGTTGCTAACACGGTTACTTACAGCATTCTTGTCCAAGGGTTTTGTCAATCCGGGAAACTCAAGATCGCCGAGGAACTTTTCCAAGAGATGGTTTCACGCGGTGTTCTTCCTGATCTTATGACGTATGGTATCTTGCTTGATGGTTTGTGTGACAATGGGAAGCTTGAAAAGGCGTTGGAGATATTCGAGGATTTGCAGAAGAGGAAGATGGTTCTTGATATCGTTATGTATACGATCATCATTGAAGGGATGTGCAAGAGTGGAAAGGTGGACGATGCGTGGAGTTTATTCTGTACCCTACCTTCGAAAGGAGTGAAGCCTAACGTTAAGACATACACCGTGATGATTTCAGGGTTGTGTAAGAAAGGGTCGCTGTCTGAAGCAGATGCAATGCTTAGAAGAATGGAGGAAGATGGGAATGCGCCAAATGATTGCACATACAACACAATGATCCGGGCACATCTTCGAGATGGTGACTTAGCCGCAACAGCTAAACTTATTGAAGAGATGAAGAGTCGTGGGTTCTCAGCAGATGTTTCTAGTATTAAGATGGTTGTGGATTTGTTGTCGAGTGGTGTATTGGACAAAAGCTTTCTCGATATGCTTTCTTAGCGGTTTTGTGTGTGTGTCAAATATTTGATTGTCTCAAAGCGTTACAAAAGGTTTTTATTTTTTTGGCTTGGGTGATAATAATACTCAATAATTATTTTAATTCAAGAGTATTTTATATTTTCCTTTTCGTTTGTTTACTCTATTTTCCTTTTTGATTTAGGGTAATACTCAATAGTTATCTTAATCTAAGAGTATTTTATATCTTCCTTTTTTGTTTATTTACTATTTTCCTTTTTTTTTGTGCTATAGCCCTAGCAACAATCTTCTTTATAACAACATTCCCAAGGGGAATTAGGAAATAGAAACCACAGAGAAATTAGTGTATAAATACATACAAACACTACATCGGGAAAAAAATAGGTTAAACCTTCGTTTATTGCTCTTTAAAAAGATTGATTAGCTTAAGTTAGTTTGCTCCCGTTCTATTGTGTTTGATTTCTGAGAGTTGAAGATCTTGATTCGAGTCTCCGGCAAAATCAACGAGTAGGACGTTTTATGATCACTCGAATGATCGGTGGTTCACGAACCAATACACCGAATCCACAGGTGCCACCGTAGAACCAGTACCCTATTACTTGAAGCAGCGGCAAGGTGCGTTCCCTGAATCAAACTACGCCAAGTATGATAATAAGCCATCATCATCATCATCATGTAAGCAGAAATCTGGAGCGGAGGCTAAAGAGAGAACCAAAAGGACGTTGGTGATGTCTTTAGATCCACTTGATCCAGCGAACTCGTTGAAGCACAAGCGAGGTCCAAAGGCTTCTGGTTCTCCGCCTGTTCCTGTCGTGTATTTGCCGCCTAGGGCAGATGATACCGTCAAGAAGCAGGAACAAGACTGGAGAATCCCTCCTCATGAAATACGCATTGAGTCGTATACAAGAGGCATATATACACTTGATGGGTTCAGTGATAACTTTGCCAAGGTATCGGAAGTGCTCCGTGTAGCTGCGCAGAGAGCTAGAGAGGCTAACTCAATGCGGTCAGAGGCGCAGAAGGAGATGGAGAAGGAAAGAGGAGAGCAGGAGTTGAGGGCGAGTGGGGATGCAAGAGGAGATTGTGAAAGTGATGCTGAGGATGCAAGAGGAGATTATGAGAGTGAAAGTGATGCGGACACAGAACCGACCGGTCAAACCGAGGCGTGAGGATCCGACCGACGCAAGAAACTAAGCCATGACTAAAAGTCTTGGTCTGAATTTTTTTTTTTTAATTTTGCAAATAAGTCATCACTCCTCTGTTTATGTGGAGCAGGGGATGTATTCTATTTTGCCACTGATGAGACCAATACCATGCAATATGACAAAGGATGTAATCCACATGAGAGAAATCATTTATAAAAAAAAACTACAAACAGCCTTCTTTGCATTATTTTTTTGTTTGATAGAATAATGTTCCACCCTTCTTGTTGTTAATTGTGTTAAAATATTTATTCTGTCTTCAAAAACGGCTGATTAAAAAGAGAAGAAAAAGGTTTGACCAAAAAAAAAGAGAAGAAAAAGATGTGAATTGAAAAGCATGATTAATTCAATTGGGTGAAAGTAGCACTCAATGTTAGAAACAAAATTAGGTGATTTGACTTAAATCAGGTTTAACCGGCGAAATCACCCGGTTTAACATTCGGTTAAATGTCTTTTTCTTAATTATTATACTTCCAATAAACTTAAAACGGTGAAAATCTAATTAAAGAAACAAAACAAAATTATATTGAAAAGAGACGCTATCGAAAAACTCATAATAATACCCGAAGGAACGAAAGAAAGCCTCTCAACATTCATCATCAAGACGAAAAGGTTTAAGATCCTAAACCGGTTTTCTCATGACCGACATTGTGCCGGTCTGGTGATACTATATATAGCTACAAATCACACAATCGCGTTATATCTTCTTAACGAAGATCTGCTGCATGATTCAGGCTTAACTTTTTTTCCCCAAATATCGCTTCGTCTCGAGATTGCTAGGGTTTCTTCGCTTCGATCTTCGCTGCTATTGGTATCTCGGGATTCGATTCTGTGCCAGTATATCCTCTCTGATTTATCGGCAATTTCGCCTCGATTCGCTCCATTGGGTCCCATCAGTCTTTCTGATCGGCTTCGTCTCGGTTGAAGGACGATTTGGTGATTCTCGAGGTTCGCTATCTGCCCTAATTTCTGAGCTTGATCCTATTTCTGTACTTTGATCAAGGGATTGAGTATAGTTTTTTTGCTTTTTTCGATCTACCAATTCGCTTCTTTATTCCGGGAAAGTTATGGGTTTCGCGGGAAAATCTGTGGGGGAGTTTCTGAGTCATTGAAGATGCGTCTTTTCCTATATCACTCTTCTCTGCTTCGCTTTCTAGATTGTACTTGTAAAGTTATGTACACATCTATGCTATTGGTATGGTAAAAGTTGTGGTTTTGCTCCTTTTTACGTTTTGGAAACTGGATTATAGCTACATTTTATGCAGTATATGCCGTTGTATCTCTGCAGTTGCTTTGATGACTAATTGGTTTGTTCTACTTTCGCAGGAGAAAGTCTCATCATTTTCTTGTGTATGTGATTCTGATGCTCGTTATATGTGGTGAGATTGGTTGCTGGCTGATTTGATGAGGAAGAAGCGGAAAGGTAGTGAGACTGAGGGTGCAGAGAACTTACCAGAGGATTTATCCTGCAAAACTGCATCACGATCATCCAACTTCAGGTCGCACTTTTCGCTAGAGGGTTATGCTAGACTGAAGAAGCGGTGCAAGGAGAATGATGCTGTCGAGTCTGTTGGTTCCTTTAAGAGACGGCTTGCTGGCGTTGCTACTGCGCCTCCTTGTGGTGCATCTTCTTTGGTTTCATCTGGAAGAGGTTTGAAGAGGAAGATAGGGTGCATAGATGTTTCCACACAGACTGGTAGGAAGAATAAGATACATGATGACTATGTTTTTGGTCCAAACATCGGGAAAGGGAAATTCGGGTCAGTCAGGATCTGCAGGTCAAAGAACAGTGGGATCGACTTTGCTTGTAAAACTCTGAAGAAGGGGGAGGAGACTGTTCACCGGGAAGTTGAGATTATGCAACATTTATCTGGTCACCCTCGGGTTGTCACATTGCATGCTGTATATGAAGAGTCAGATTGTTTCCATCTTGTGATGGAGCTGTGTTCAGGGGGACGTTTGATTGATCAGATGGTCACGGAGGGGAAGTATTCTGAGCAGCGAGCAGCTAATATATTCAAGGACCTCATGCTAGTCATCAATTATTGCCACGAGATGGGAGTTGTGCACAGAGATATAAAACCTGAGAATATTCTCCTAACAGCTGCTGGGAAGATACAGCTGGCTGATTTTGGTCTCGCCATGAGAATTGCGAAAGGTAATTGTATTCAGGCATTAAGGATTTCTTAGTATTTTGTGTATGCAATATAAATGATCTGTAGTGTCTTTATTAAATTGTCAAGTGCAGTGACTTTCATATACACTTTGTTTAGGGAACATAGCGGCTTGATTCTTTCAAGTTAGAAAGTTGGCATCGCATCAGTGTCTATACTGGTGAAAAAGGCTTATGAGACCCAACATTTGATATTTCTGTATGAAACTAGCTGTCCTGTGCCTGTCTTCTCCTCTTGAAGTCTAATTTGGATTTCCCTTGGTAATGAGTGTTTTTTCTTGTTATAAAATAGATGAAAAAGGCTAGTCTTCCATGGCTATAGTAGATACTAGATAGTTGTTTTACATGCTTTAGTGATCGTAATTAAAGTATTGGTTATGTTGATATTACTTGACAAGTTATGGTTCATCTTCTTTAACGAGAGCTACGCGTTTGACATATTCAACTGGCCGAGATCAGATTTTGACTGTTTCTCTGTAGCGTTATTGAGCTGTCAAAGTTTGACTTAACTATTGGTTCATTGGTTTGTACAGGTCAAACATTGAATGGATTAGCAGGAAGTCCTGCTTATGTTGCACCTGAAGTTCTTTCTGAAAATTATTCAGAGAAAGTCGACATTTGGAGTGCAGGAGTCCTCTTATACGCTCTCTTGTCTGGTGTACTCCCGTTTAAGGGAGACTCTTTGGATGCCATTTTCGAAGCAATAAAAAAAGTGAAGCTTGATTTCAACTCTGGATTGTGGGAGTCCGTGTCCAAACCAGCCCGTGATCTCTTGGCAAGAATGCTAACAAGGGAAGAATCTGCCAGAATCACAGCGGATGAAGTGCTAAGTACGCCTTTTAATCTCTTCCAGCTCCTTATAATCGCAGCATTGACTTTTATATCCCATTTAGCGTCTAGATCTTTTGTTTGTGGTTGTTTAACGTATCTTCCTTCACTTGTGTGTTTCAGGGCATCCATGGATACTATTTTACACAGACCGGACACTCAAGACGATGTGTATCAAGTCGAAGCACAAGAGTCAAGCAGGAGCTCCTCCATGCCTCCAGATTCGCAGCAGTCCGATAGAGAAAACTGACACAAAAAGAGCTAACAGAGAGAAGAAGACAACATCTGATTCACCGACTGATTCATTCTCCAACACAGAGGAGGAGGAAGAAGATGAGAGCGGTGTGGTGGATGTGCTTGTGGTTGCAATCTCCAACGTGAGGATCTCAGAACCAAAGAGAAGCAGACTCTGTAGTCCGACGAACAGCCCCATTGAACAGCAACACTCGTCTAACTTGACCACGACTAATACACTCTGTCGAGCCTTCTGACAAAACCAGCCTCACAAGACAAGTCTCCCAAGTCCATGATATAATCTCAGCGATTCTTGATTATGTCATAAATCATAATAGCTCTCCCTCTCTAATAGTTGGATTTGATATGATTCTGGTTTTTTCTTCTACATTTCTTTGACTATGTGTTGTACAGATCATGTAAATAGGATATGCTAAAAATGTTTGGTAATACTTTAAATATTTAATGCAACAAAAACTAAAACAAAACATAAAACCATATCTTATAATTAAGTCATTATCTTATATTAAAATTATATGTAAAACAAAATCACCATTCAAGTTTCTTTTGTAAAACTAAAGCCACCAAAAATTCAAATCTAAAATCAAAAATCAAAATAATATATTATTATTGATAAATCTCACACATTTGTTTTTTTATTATTTAAAACACATAAAACAAATTTTATCTCCATCTTTTATAAACATCTCTAAAAACTGTGCAATAATAAGCTTATTTTATTTTAATTTTGTGACACAATCTTCTGTACATTTTATTGATAATTTTATCATTATTTATATTTTTGTGAATTTTTAACATTAAATATGTTAAAAACTAAAACTTATAAGCATAACAACATATTAAAAATAAAATAAAAAATGTAGGTTAAAACTAAAAACTAAAGAAATTACCATTCAAGTTTTTTAAAATCCAAAATCTACTGCAAAAACAAAAACTTAAAACTGAGAACCAAAACTCCAAAAACCAAAAACCAAAAACCAAAATCTAAAAACTTTCATCAAAAAAGGAAAAACTTATCGGATGAAATAAAGAAAGGGTATAATAAGTAACAACCAAGAAGAAAAAAGAAAGACGAAGAAGAAGACGACGACGACGACGACGACGACGACGACGAATCGCAACGATGTGGAGATCTACATTTCCTTCATCAAAGAGCTTTTCTTCGGAGTCTTTTAGAGAGACCCTGAGAAAAGGTTTTGATTTACGTGAAGCTTTGGGACTGTTTGAGAAGATGATAAATTTTCGTCCGCTCCCAACGATCATGGATTTCACACAACTTCTGAGTGGGATTTGCAAAATCAAGCGCTATGACCATGCAATCCGCTTAATCAAGCGGATGGAAATCGCTGGAATCGAACATGACGTCTACTCCCTCAACGTGTTGATAAACTGTTTCTGCCACTGCTCGCAGCAGCCTTATGCTTTGTCTACACTTGCGAGAATGATGAAAGCTGGCCATGAGCCCGATATGTTTACATTCACCATGTTGCTCAGAGGTATTTTTCAGCAGGGAAGAAACATGGAGGCTCTACGTTTCTTTGAGCAGATGGTGGATATGGGTTACAGACCCAATCTTGTGGCATACAACACTGCAATTCATGGTTGTATTTCCAGTGATCTGTTTGCTCAAGCTGCTGGTTTCTTGTTGGATATGGGTAACAATGGATTTGAAGTGAATGCAGTCACTATTGCTACAGTTATCAGCGGACAGTGCAAGCGAGGTTTAACTGCTGAGGCCATAGGGTTTCTTAGAGAAATGGAGAAAGACAACTTAGAGCCCAACGTTGTAGTCTACAGTGCCATAATTGACTCTCTCGCCAAGAACAAGTTGCTGGATGCGGCAATGCAATTTTTCAACTGAAATGGAATCAAAAGGTGTTAGAGCTAACGTTGTTACCTATAACTCTATCATAGGCTCCCTCTGCAGGTTTGGGAAATGGGATGATGCGACTAGAATGTTGACTCAAATGCTCCAAAGGAACATCAAACCTTCTCTAGCCACTTACAACATGATGATGGATGCACTCAGAGAAGGGGGAAGGTTTCAGGATGCTGAGAAGCTGTACAGGCTGATGATTAAGGAAGGTTTCGCTCCAGATACTGCTAACTACACATCTATCATCAGACACTAGTGTCTAAATAACAAGATAGCTAAGGCCCGAAAAATCTTAGATAAGATGATTGAAAAGGGGTGTCAACCAACTGTGGTGACTTATAACACTCTGTTGGAGAAGAGTATTGCAGGAAAAGGAATTTGGATGAGGCTATGGAACTGTTCAAACTCATGTCTCAGAGAGGGGTTTCTGCCAACACAATCACTTATACTACTCTGATCCAAGGTTACTGCCTACTGAAACAAGTCGATAGAGCCACAGAAATGTTTGATCAAATGGTTTCACGTGGGGTGCGTCAAGATTATGTTGTCCGCAATGTCTTGCTAAATGGGCCTGTGCAATGCTGGAGAAGTCGACAAGGCTCTGAAGGTATTTGGGGATTGGGAAAGGAGCGCACTGGATCACACTGATGTTTATACTACACTGATCCACGGGCTGTACATGGCTGGTAGACAGGATGAGGCGTGGGATTTATTTTGCAGCCTCCCGCTCAAAGGAGTGAAGCCCGACGTTCAAATGTATAACTGCGTCATTTCAGGGTTGCTGAGGGACAAAGATGGAGTGCCTCAACTGGAAAAAGTGGCACAGAAAATGAAGGATGATGGGGTTGCGCCTAACGCGGACACATACAACATCCAGATCCGAAGACTCGTTAAACTTAACGAAAATAGCAGAGCAGCTGACGTCGTCATCCGCATGAGAGCAGATGGTTTTCACGGAGATTATGCCACCATAATGACGATTTTCCATACCGATACGCTAGATAAAAAGACGCTTGACGAAAGCTTTCGGAATATGGTCCTAGATAGCTTCAGTGGTAACTTTCGGAAATTGTTTCCATCTGGTGAAAAGACGTTTGACGAAAGCTTTCGGAATCGGGTCCTAGAGAGAGAGCCTCGGTGGTAACTTTCGGTCTGGTGAAAAGACAGAGACCAAATTGTGACCACTACCGTATGACATCTGACAGTCTTGTGCATGCCTTTACCCTGGTTTCCTTCATGTACTACAGTTTCAATTCCGAGTCCCTGAATACGAGTATGTTTTCTCGACCATGAACCAGAGCTATAGAGTTGCTCTTAACAGTGATTTGCTTTCTTCTGTTAAACTAGTATTTTGTTTTGCAAGTTGGTGATTTGAAATAAACCCGTGTTTGATTGAGCTGTCAAGTTATAAATCTTGTTTATATCACTACAGCTGAAGTGGGGTTCTTTATAAAATATGCTAATCCCATTAAAAAAGGAAGCAAATTTAACACTTAAGATTTTTTGGGTTTTTCCCCTCTGTTCCTCCTTTACGAAAACACGCTCCCTTTGCCCAAAAAAAAAACATTCCTCTCCCCCTCGTTTGTTGACTCTTAATTTCTTCGCTCCTCCTTTCACGGAGATCGAAGTTGAGATTGATGGATTCAATTTCATAGCAATCCCATAAAAAATGCTTCATAGCCTAATGTTCATCTTCTCACCAATCAGTCATCAGACACATTTTGTAGAACCGGAGAGAAAATTGCAGTTGAACTCTGACAAATTTGCATCTGAAATTCATCTGGAGCCTATTGTTGTCTTGACCGATGAAAAAACCCAGAAAACATAAGAAGACTGTTCGATCTAAGAAAGGGTAACACACTTCGGTTCCTCCGTCACCTTCTCCTTGTCCATCTTCAGATTTAAGTAGGTCCTCTAGTTACCTGCTCATGCTCACTTTCCTTGTTCTACTATGATATTTGCTCAATAATTGTGTACAGTTTATGTAATCAGGAGAAGATGTTTGCCAAGGTGATTTGGAGAGAATATCAGCGATTTAATCATATGAAGAGATACTGCGAAATCGACTCTTTGGTTCTGTTTTGGATGTATATGTTTCCTATCTTCTTGCTTTGCTAAAGGATTTAACTTTAGGTACACTGAAGAGATCTCTTTTACTGTTTCTTCTCTCAGTTTCGGAAGATACTTGATGTGGTTGCTTTAAAGACTCCAAAGCTCCGGGGACAAGCTTGGGTTGCGTTTACTGAAGTTACTGCTGCTAGTAATGCTGTTCCTCATATGCAGAATTTCCCCTTCCATGATAAAGCAATGGTCAGTATCTAACCACCTTCTTCAACTCGTCTCTCTATAGTCTCCCTGAAATTGATCTTTCTGTTTGTTAACTTGTATAAATCTATTTGGATCGCTAAAAAGCATCAATCTTGCGTTCCCAAATTTTTCTTCAGTTATGTATGAATGTGTTTTGATTTTGTTGTGTTTTGATGTTTGTAGTCCCTTCTTCATCACACTCTCTTGTGTTGTCTGCTATCATAATCTTTGAGCTGTTTGTTATATGCAATGTATAACTAAAATCTTGCCTCTTTCGGGTGTATGAACTAGTTCAACTGCTTTCAATCAGGTTGATATATGTGTAAAAAAAGTTTCAATGTGTGGTCTTTTATGTGCACCACATACAATACGCAAAAGCAAAGTCAGATTGTATAACTAAAGCTGAAGGAACTTTCGTTCAATAAGAGAAAAATAACATTTTTTAAATTCTTTCTGCATTTTTTCTTTGAGAATGCTTGATTCAGTGATAAACCACAAAGAGATTCAATGGAGAGGTCTTCCTCGGACAAGCTTAAGCGACATTGAAGAATTAAAGGTTTTCAACCCAACTTTCTGGGTTCCAAAGCTCGTTTGAAAATTGTAGATCACACACACAACCAAAAAATTAAAGTTTCAAAGTACTTTGAAACTACGTTAGAAACACTAAATTAAAATTGTTTAATTGCTAATTATGAGATAGCCACTAAGAGATTAAGTGTTTCTAATGTAGTGTTTCTACATTAGAAAGCTCGTTTGCAGGATACTTTGAAAGTATCCTACATTTAGTGTTTCGAATGTAGTTTCAAAGTATTCTGCAATGTATCTTTCAAAGTATCCTGCATTGCAAAATGCTTTGAAACTACATTAGAAACACTAAATTAAAATTGTTTAATTGCTAATTATGAGATAGCCACTAAGAGATTAAAAATTTGATAGAATTATCAGTCTCTGCATTAGAGTCAGAATAAAGTTTTTAATCTAGTGAAGCCAAGAAAACATAGATCTATTCAATCCATATGAAAATCGCTCTAACCCATGACTGGATTTCGGAAATTGGCTGCAAGAAAGACAACACACACATACAAACAACCAAACTAGAGATATTTAAAACAAAAAGCAGAGAGACAAAACCGACAAACTACAAAGGACCAACACACGAAAGCTCACAAAGCTCTCAAAAGCAGAGATCTAAAGAATCAAAACCCCCAAAATCGGAAGAACAGATTCTCGTTCTGCTCCAAATTTCAAAAAATTAAAACCTCCAAAACCAGAAACATGAATAGAAAACAAGAGTAGGAAACTAGAAACAAAAACTAAAAGACCAATCCAACTCGGGTGCTAAAGAAGCCAGTGGAGTTGAAAGAAAGAGATGCAAAGTTAATTGCTGTCTGCTTATTAGGCACCATTGAATTAGAGAAATCAAGAAAAAAAAAATGAAACACATTATTGCGCTAATCATAAACTAGCGAAAGTTGCAACAACACCATTACTAGCCACCAAGGAGTTTATTGCACAAGTGTTGGAACAGTCTTCCTGCGAAGGCCCCTGATAAGCGCTAGACGTGTTTGAGGGCTCAAGTGAGACCCACTCTTTCGCATTGCTTGGAACAGTTGAGAAAATGCACCAGCAAGGCCGTGCTTCCTAAGCACACCACGAATGAGGATTGTCCAAGCTATCTCATCATCGTAGTAGCAATCACACTGAAGCAGCTTATAGAAAACTTGTATCGCTCTCTCTTTTTTGCCATGTTCAAACAGCCCGCAGATCAATGTTTTGCAATCTTTCAAGTCCACTACATGACGACTGCAAATCATATCTTCCACAATGTTTGCAGCTTCCTCATACTCGTGCTGAGTAAGAAGCTGCTCAAAAACCATCCTCCTACGTGGTCCTTGCATCTCATCCATCTGATCCAATCCTTGAATCTGATCCAACAACCTCTGTGCTATTCCCAGCTTATCAGCAGCACAAAGACCCATGGTGAGCTGTTGGTAGCATTTCAAATCAGGATGTTGTACCATGTTGGTATGAAAAACCCCAAGAGCAGCATCCACCTCATTGATTCTAGAGTAACCCATAATCAAAGATTTAAATGTGGAGAGATCAGGGGTGAAGCCAGAGTGAATCATCTTGCACAGATACTGATTCGACTCCACCACATATCCATGCCTACAATACGCACTGATCATGATGTTAGAGGTGCCAACGCTTGGTGAGGACACATCCGCATAGACTCTCTTCATCTCACAGAGCAGATTAGATGACGTAGCCAGTGATTGCAACAGCTGATTGTAGCAGACGGGGGTGAGCCTAGGTTTGAGTTTCCTATACAAGGCAATGACAACCCTAAAATCTCCGTCTGTGACGCAAGCGAGTGTCATGAAGAGGAAGATCACAGGCACGTGGCATGCAACCCCATGCTTGGTTAAAACATCGAGGAAGGATGCATGGCAACGTACACTCCGGTGGAAATTGGGATCGAGGTCGAGGACGAGGTGAAGCGAGGAGGCATCGGAAAAGGTTACAGTCCGGACGAGGGATTTGAGGGAGGGGTTGTTGCGCCAGTCAGGGTGAGGCGGGAATCGCGCAATATCTTTGTAAGCTAGGTCAAGGATAGACGGCGGCCGTTTCGAGGAGAGAACCTTGTGCGATGACGTGGATTTCAAGGCACCCAGTAAGGACTCGATACAGAGGTTGTTCCCAGATAACACCCTCTTGCCCGCCGCCATGCCTATCATCCGCGATTTGGGAAGTGTTATTGGTTCTTGTATTTTAATGGATTTGAGAATCCAAACCAAATTCAGTGTTATTAGTTCTTGTATTTTAAAATTTATAATGAAATACAGTGTTATTGGTTCTATGATTTTAAAATCCATAATAAAATACAGTATTATTGGTTCTATCATTTTAGAATCTAAGTATTATAAGGATTTGAGTTTTAATTGAATTTGAATAGATTTGAAAGGATTTTCATGACTAAAATACAAAGACCCAAATACAAGGTCTAATCTTGGTATTTTAGTGGATTTGATTTTTTTCTATTTTGCTGATTTTGAAATCAATAAATTTATCAAATCCAAAGAAGATTTATAAATCCACCAAAATATAAGAACCCCTACTTGATCTGATTTTGGGTTTCTATGCATTGTACTCTTTTTTTTAACCAAATTTATGCACTATTATTAATAATAATAATAATGAAATAACTGAATAATAATATTACTGGTGCCGAGTTATAGAAATTGATCGATATTAACCAAAAAAAAACAATAAAGTTAGAGAAAAGTTGACCTTTTTTTTTTCTTCTTAAAGACAAAAGTGTCCTCGTCGGTTTTGTCGATTAATCTGTACGGCTGCCGCAGAAAAAATTAATGAGGAGGTTTGTGCCGATTTCATTATCCTCACACAGCGTGAGAGGACTGATTCGAAGAGCACCCTCCTCCTCGCGGCGATTGTACGCGCATGACCCTACAGCAATCTCACACTCTGAGCAAGTCGAGAAAGAAGGTAAGTTTAATTGCAAGGAAAATGAAATTGGGGATGATCCTTATCTTGCTTTGTCGTTTCTGAGACGAATTCAAGGAAACGGGGCATCCCCTAGTGTCCAAGCGTACGCAGCCGTAATCAGAATCGTATGTAGTTGTGGTTTGGACCAGGAACTGGATCGGTTATTCGTGGAGCTCATTAGGAAAGGAGACGAGGGACGAGGTTTCACTGTCGGGGATTTGTTAGAGACCATTACAGAAGCCGAAGAGGAGTTGCTGAGAAGGCTCTCTGGTTCCTTGGTGAAAGCCTTTGCTACTCTGAGAATGTTCGACGAAGCCATCGACACTTATTACTCCCTGCCATGTACTCCCGATGTAAAGGCACTAAATTTCCTGATGAGTCGCATGATTGCTTCCGGAGAAAACGAGATGGCCGTCTCTGTTTTCCGCCAGTTTCGGTTGGATTTGGACGAGGACACTCACGCGCTTTTGGTCCTGGCGTATCGCAAAGTTGTCCGTGGTCTGTGCAACGAGATGAAGGTGGACGCTGCTGAAAGACTTGTTCTTGAGATGGAGAAACACGGGATCGGTCATGATGTCTGTGTCTACTCGGCGATAATCCAAGGGCATCGCAAGGGCATGAACTTCCATCAGGCTCTGCGTTTTTTCTCTGAGAAAGTGGCGCCGAAGAGAGGACAAACAAACTGTGTGATTGCAAGCTCGATCCTCCAGTGCTTTGTTGAGATGGAGATGTTCTCGGAAGCTTATCATCTGTTTATAGAGTTTAGAGAGAAGGAGGTTTCTCTTGATGAGGTTTGCTACAACGTCGCGTTTGATGCTTTGGTGAAGCTTGGCAAAGTAGAAGAAGCGATCAAGCTGTTCCGAGAGATGACGACTCGTGAAGGTATAGCTCCTGACGTGGTCAACTACACGACCTTGATAGGCGGTTGCTGTCTACACGGCAAAATCGAGGAAGCCCATGATCTGATGGCTGAGATGGAAGGAAGATGTAAAACGCCTGACACTGTTATATACAACGTACTCGCCGGTGGGTTAGCTAGGAACCGTCGTGTGCAAGAGGCACTCGGGACGCTAAAAGCAATGGAAGCTCGAGGCGTGAAGCCCACTTCCGTTACACACAACGTTGTCATCGAAGGCCTGTTTGCTGCAGGTGAAACAGAGGAGGCGGAGGATTTCTACAAGCGTTTGGGACATGAGGAGAATGAGTTGAGCATGATAAAAGGTTACTGCGAAGCTGGTCTTGTTGATGAGGCCTTTGAACGATTCACTAGAGCGGGCTTTCCTCTGACCAAGAATGTGTATTTCACACTCTTCTCTAGTCTTTGCGCCGCCGATAAAGATGGCGTCGGCAAAGCTGAGTACTTGCTGTATAGAATGCCGGAACTCGTTGGAGTTGAACCTGGCAAGTGCATGTTTGGGAAATTGATCAACGCTTGGTGTAGAGTTGGGGAGGTGAGAAACGCCAGCAAGTGTTTCAAAGCTTTGGAGTCTAGTAAAGGGATAATCCCTGATTTGTACACTTACACAAGCATGATCGACGCGCATTGCCGGGAAGGCGAGCTCGATGAAGCGTATGCTCTTTTCCAAGATATGAAGCAGAGAAGAATCGTGCCTGATGTGGTGACGTACACAGTTTTGCTCCATGGGAATCCAGAGTGGGATATGAAGAGGGAGATGAATGCTCTCGGCGTCAAACGAGACCTTCACTACTACACGGTTATGATGGATGAGCAGTGCAAGAATGGGGAACTTGAAGACGCGGAGAGGATCTTTGGTGAAATGATCGAAAGTGGGATTGAGCCTGACGCTGCGCCTTACACATCACTAATAGCTCGTTGTTGTAGGGATGGATCCTTCGGTGTGGCCGACATACTTGTGCAAGAGATGTTGGCAAAGGGGATTGAGCCAAGTCAAGATATTATCAATTTACTCGAGAATACTAGATCAAAGGCCAGGGGGCTTCGACGTCCCAAATGATCAAACAAGAGCTTGTATATCTATTTAAAAACTTGTTTCATTCAACCTTTGTTAGGAATTGCTATCTATATAGTAAAACTAGATTCCAGCTCAATTCAAGGCCTCCAAAACACAAGAGGATAACTCCCTTACAAACTTTCACTCAAAATCCGAGATAACTCTCTTCAAAATAACGTTCCCGATATAAGTGAGCTTTGGCTTGATCTCCTAGGGTAACAGGATCAAAGGTAAAAACAAATAAAGATCAAGCCAAAGCTCACTTCACTGGCCCACCACACTACCCAGCGACGTGTCTTCCCTTGATGATGCGTTTAGGCCTTCTTCCTAGCCACTTTGCTTGTGAATCAACCGTCAGGATATGGAGCATGCAGTTTTTGTAATGGAAGGACATGATCTGGTCTTTGATAGCCTGCAAGCAAGATTAAAACAAGTCTTAAAATCAACCAATAGCATTTTGAAAACGAACATTTCGATGTAAGAATGAAAACTGTAGCTTACTTCTAAGGATGTAACAGATACCATCTCTCCATCACTACCCAGGCGACTTTGAACAAACTCATAGGTCACAGTGTGTGGATTATTTGATTTGACTACTTTGAGGAATTTTCTCGTTTAGTAGATGGAACGCCAGTAGTTTAATGAGACAAATGTTTATAATGTGTGCAAAATGATGATTGATATATGTATAGATTTACACACAACAATTGGCTGAGGAAAAGCTATAGTTTTGTATAATTTATGTAAAAATCTTTAATTAAAATAAATAATTTGAATACAATGAAAACAATTCCTATTATCATAACTATCAATATTGTCACTCTTTTACTCTTCATTTTTCTGAATAAAATGATAATAAAATTTGATGAAATTATTTGTTATTGTAAATATTACTAATTATGCCTACAAGAATTCACAATTTTCTGTTTGAGTAGCATTTTCAAAGTCCACAACAAATCAAGGTGTGGTAATACGATCATTGATGGGGTACTATATATTCGTTTTGAGATTGGAAATTATGATACTGTTGGATTCTTTCGGTATTTCTTAATCTTAACATGTATGTATATTCAGCTCATGAACGTATTAAAAACTCAAACTAAGTTAAGCTGTTTTAAGACGACATCCATATATATATTAATGACTAAAATTTTCTGAAGAAAGTCCATGTAATCCCAAGTTTTAACAGAAGATTTATTCAATAATCAGAGAATAGTTTCTCAACAACGATTTTGCTAGAGAATCTGCCATCGAATTGGCATTTCATAAGGAAATCAAATCAAACAGAGAAGAAAAGCAAGAAACCCCATATGTTTCTTTTAGTTTCTGTTGGAACATTTGTCTGAACATGAATCCACACAGTCTGCAATTTTGTCTAAATCTGTTCATGCCACAAATAACAAAACAACAAAAAATAGAATTTAGTATTTGTCAACTGAAATCTGTAGTATTAGATATTATGTGATCACAAAAGATAAGATACAAAATATATTTATATTATTATGGATTAATAATTGAAAAAATTATCGATTGATAAGATGTGTATTCATTTTTTTATACATATACAACTAAGAGATCAAAGTGTCTTTATGTCAATGAAAACTATTGATTAGGGAAAAAAATACTTACTTGGATTTGGATTTTGGAGAGAAAAAATAGAAACACAATGATGAGTAGCACAATCAAGTTTGCAGAAATAATCAGTTTGATAGATTTCGTTTGTCAAAATCATTTGAGAAGGAGGAGAAGGAATTGGTGTGGAAGGAGCAAGACAAGTCTGGACACAAGTCAATGGACACATAAAAGCACTTGGAAACTTCTTCTCAATGGCACAACTCACAATACAACCGGGGTAACAACTTCTAAATGGAGAAGCTTGAGCTTCTGTCTGAATCACGAGGTTTCCCATTGCCACCATTATCATCATTGTTGCCACCATCACTATTCTTTTGTTTTCCATTTTTTTTTGTGTTTGTAGAGAGTATTATTAAAATTGAGGTAAATTGTTTGTTAATTGTGAATGTTGTTAATCTGTGTTGTTATTGTTTGTTTATATAAGGTTTTTGAATTTTCTGTATTGATTGTTGACAACAAAAAAAAGAAAGAAAATAATTTGCTGTATTAGTTAACATTTCTATAATCAACAACATTATAAAATGGAATTATGGTGTGATTAATACACGATTACGAATAATTATTTTATTTTATTTATTATCGATTTTCTGTTTATATTATTTCCTGTTTATGCTCATAAAAAGTTTGCATAAATAAAAATATGTACATGCTGTTTTTAGATGTATATACTTATATACATGAATCTGTTTTTCGTGTGTTTATATCCCATAAAGTTGTTTGATATGCGTTGAATTCATATATTAATGTGTATTAAAAAAGTTATTAGGTCTGTTATTTTGTTTATTTTCTTCACATAAATTTTATTTTGTATTTTTGCTTATAACTGTCTAATTTTTTACCAGAACAATGTGTAAATATATTTTGTGACATTTGAATACAGACTTCCCAAAATTCGAATTATATTTACGTGCATGCATTTTCATATTATGTCATAAAAAATTAAGTTAAGATTTTGAATTTATAACAGAATAAAATTTATTTATTTATTACTTTATATACATATTTCATTTCTATTCATTTATTATTTTGTTCTTTCAGTTTTTTTTTATTTTTATTCATTTTTATTGGTTGCCAATTATTGAATAAAATTATATACTTTCTTGAAATTTAATATGGCTGCTAACCATTTACATACTTATAGTTGATTATAAATGTTGATATATGTACATGTATTTAAAGAGTCATCAATAATAATAATATCTATGTAATTCTATAAGCTGCTTGGATCATGCCTATATATACAAACCAGATCACTATCTAGACCACTAAATACATACATATAGAATCATTTTTTCGGTTGATTATGAGCTCTAACCAAATCAATATTCATGCATGTAAAATGTTGGTCATAGATAAACGACCAAATGTTATAACCGAATAATTTTTTTGGGTTCACAGAATTTTATTGACTATAATTATGCTTGTCACAAACAAAATATATTAAATCAAGAATGATTTTCAACTGATTTGGTTTGGATATCACATCAATACAGATTAATCATTATAGTTTGTTTTTTTCGATAAGATGTCGATTTTTCTGAAATAAAAACAATATCGCTTTTCTTCTCCTAAGGGCACTTGTCCGAGCATATATCCACACAGTTTGCAACTTTCTCCACATCTGTTCCAAACAAAACAACAACAACACCAAAAACCATAAATACCAAAGCTTTTATTGAAATGTATTAGGGTTAATATATATATTATAGAGTTATCGATTTGAAGGAAAAGTCAAATGTATGTTTGCTTAATGTATATGTGTCTTGTGAGATTGACAACCGCTTTATAAATTTACATCAAATCAGGTTTTTTTCTTTTTTTTACTGTAAAAACACCATATACTAAACTTAGGATCCAACACTGCTTGACTTGAAAACCCAACCACTCGGAAGTTTCATAGTCCCATCAAATTAGGTAAGTGCGATTGAAATGTAAACTAGTGGATCCTATATAAACATCAAAATCAGCGGCCGTACAGGCTACAGCAAATATTTAATGACGCCTTATTTGTTTCTTTTAAGCCAAGAATCGATTAAAATCGAAACTCAGATTAATCATAAAAATCTGCAGCGGCGATCATATTGATTCTGTACCGACCAAAGATGCATGCGATTACCACTAGACATAAGAGTATAAGACATACCTTACGTTCTTACTATAGGCATTAATTATTCTTACAATCAGCACATACACATGATTAACTTGTTTACTTTTACAGGAAAATGTGAATGCAAAAAGGGACAACTTACTCAGAATTTGGAGAGAAACACAATGATGAGTAGCACAACCGAGTTTGCAGAAGTAACGAGTATTGTCGATTTCATTTGTTAAATCCGTATCAGGAGACGAGGAAGGAGAAGGAGTCGGTAGAGTAGGAACAAGACAAGTCCTGAGACATGTAAATGGGCATAATAGAGATTTTGGAAATGTCGTATGTGATCTACACACGACAAGACAATCTGAGTAACAACCTTTAAAATGGTTAGACTTAGCCTCTGTCTGAACCATAAGGTTTCCCATTACCATCACTATCATCATTGTCATCAACAACATCGTCACTTTTTTGTCTTCCATTCTCTAATAGAAAAATATTACAATATTGATCAACTATATATATTCTTTTCTGGATGTTGTTTGTGATAGAATTCGTTTATAAAGGGGTTACAAATTTTTCTGAATTAGTCTAACATTTTTATAGTCAATAAGTAATCAAGGAATAATATTAGTGTGGTGATACGATAATTAATGGATAATAGTTTTTTCTATTTATTTATGATTTGCAAATTATATATTTTTATTATAAATATGAGTGTATTCCGATATCATAAAAATCCATCTAATATTGAGGATAGCATATATGACTATTAAGAGATGCATGTAACATATACACATGCTTAAATGTTTAACGGTTTATTCTTAGGAAAATGTGTATGCAAGTGAAACTTACTCACATTTTAGAGGAAGAAAATGAAACGCAAACGAATGGAGAGTTTAGTTCTATTAATTGATGAAATAGAATTGGAATCATCAGATTTTATAATCAAATCATCAAAATCATTTATGGTTTAGGACTAAAAAGATTGAATTTTGCATTCAATATTCCATTCAAGAAAGATTATTTATTTGTGACAAAAAAAAAACAACAACTAATTCTCATAGTTTCTACACGTACTGATTTATATATTTTTATTTAGATATGACTTAATTTCATCTAACAAAATCAATCTATGTAGGCTTTAACTCTTGTGGGAGCACATATCTGAACATGAATCCACACATGCTGAAACTTTCTCTGCATGATCTAACCATAAAACAAAAACACAAAAAAAGTTGATAAGAATCCACATGATCAAATTAATTTAACGATAGAAAACTTCATCAAACATTCTTACTTTTTTCTTAGAGCCACATGATCAAACTGTATAGTTATATATGAAAATAACTTATATAAGAGGTAAGAGCTTAATTACCTTTATCTTCGATTGAGGATGAAATACAACGATCGGTAGCGCATCCGAGTGTGCAAAAATAATCAGTGGGAACAGTTTCTTTCAGATTTTCCTCAGGACGAGGATCCATACAGGTCTTGATACACGTTACAGGACATAATACTTTTTTAATCCCGTGCTCAGTTGTACCACACATTAGAATACAACCTGTGTAACAAGCTTTAAAAGGTATAGCCTCTGTGTCAGTCAGAAGGTTCCCCATCACCAACATCGTTACCACCACTATCATCATCGCCATTCTTTTGTTCTCCATTTTCTTTGAAGATACAAAGATCTTTTTTTTTCAGGAGAGAATATTAGAATAGTTGATCAAAGTGTTCTGTGAGTTATGAATGTTGGTTTGTTTATATAGAGATTGTGTAATTTTGTGTTTTAGTTAACATATAGATTATCAATAACAAATTAGTTGTGATGTTGATGTGATATTTGACATAGTAAGTAGCTAATCCAGTTCCACTCATTTAGAATCTAGAGATTTTGTTTTTTTTTACATGTTGAATCCTAGATATTACATTCTATGTTTATATATAGCACAAAACTGAGAATTATGCATTAACCTTAACACATCAATGAACCTGAATTATATGGTCATTTTGAATTCAGAGTATATGTTTTTTAGACTATACATTGATCAAATTTGAGAATTATTTGGCCAATTTTATATTTTAAAAAATACTATTTCGGTAGAAGCAAGCAACATCGAACATCTAAAAGTAGTAAATCAGTAAACCAATACAACTGAACTAAGAGAGATACGTAAGTAGATCGGAACCCTCAAAAAGTTGTGGATAATTCATTTTTTAGCATAAACTGTAGTACAACATCACAAAGACTGCCACAAAACCAGTCATAGACCGATGTAAACGATCGGCCTGAAAGCAAAACTGTCTCTCTCTATTGCTCTGAGGCGTCGGCTCGACGGTAGGGCATGTACCTGTGATCTTTTGTTGCATTCTTCTTCCTACGTTTGTCAAGAAACGCTGAAAGCTTCCCAGATTCCTGGATTACACAAGGAAAAAAAATAGGCAATTCAGCGATTTTTTTTGGATACAAACTCTTGAACATTGGAGTCAAAACTGGTTTACATACCTTGAGACTGTTGTACTTTTCGATGAGTGTTTGCTTCCGGATTTCCGCTGCATAAGAAGAGAAAACGATTCAGCAAAATGTCGGCAAATAAAAAAAAAACTCAAAACTGTTATGTTCAACACAAACCCAGGACTTTTGAAAGAAAGAAAAAAAAAAAAACAAGAACATACATTTTTTGAGATAGTAAGGCTTTTTCCCCTCCTTAGCGGCTTCTCGTTCTTTCTTTTTGTGTTCTGTTAGAATTGCTTTTCCTTTGTTATTTGTTGATGGCTCATATTTCATCCATTTCTCCTGAGGTATTATTATAACAGAGGCAAAGGCAAAGAAAACAGATGATCAGAGACTTGTAGCAGAAGTAGAGTGAAACACAACAGGAGAGCAAAAGAAAGGACCACTTACAACATAACTTAACCGGTCCTTCAATTGGTCGACCTCCTCTGGATTCTTTGTTTCCTTTAGCTTCTTTCTCAGTTCCTGTTTTACGAACCACGAAAAACAAAAACAAAATTAAAAAGCTATGCGACAAACCGGAAACTTGCAAATTCAGCATTTTAGCATCAATCAATACCACTCTTTCTGTAGGAAGTTTCTCTTCGAAAAAGAAATTGTATCGCTTCCTAAACCTACAGAAAAAGATACAAAATTTTATGTTGATTCAAAATAAGAACAATGAACGAAATCTAACTACTTCATGTTCACAAAGAGAAAAAAGATATAGATACCCCTCATGGTCAACAGTTCCACTCAATGAGTCAAAACGAGGATCGCGAACCACCTGAGTGCAAACCAAAGAGACTCTTAACAATTACACACACCCTCCCAAGATCAAACACTTGTGGAGAAGAAATAAGACAAGCATATCATTTAAAACTTTTTTCTCAATGCTCAAACTTAATATTTACCTTCTTTGGAATTTGAACCACCTCTCTATATCGACTCACGGGTCTTTTAGAACTTAACTCCATTGGTCTTTTTTCATCATCACAAACGAAACCAGGATTAGATCAACAAACAACCAAGACAACTGAAAGAACACAGGAAAAATCAATAAGAGGAACAATGTGTATTACCTGTTTTTGTTTGCACGAGCCTTTTTCTTCACTACTTGATTCGTTGTTGGTTTCAAGGGAGCTGCACGAGACCCATCAGCTCGCAATTTATGTATTTCCTCCAATGTTAACTCTTGTTCTGCTTCTTCTTCCTAATCCCCAATTAAAAAAAAAAAGACAGGTTTTTTTTTCATTTCAGAAACTGAATCCCTCTGCATAACAAGCAAAAATGTCTCAAATTTCATAAGAATATTGAAAGCTACTGACCTCATCAGAAGAAGACTCAGGCGAACTTGAGTCATCTTCTTCATCTTCTTCACTGTCTTCAAAAACTATCTTGCTCCCACTCGGTTCAAACTTACTAGCTCCCTTCATCACAACACGCGAAACCTCTATACAATACAGAGCATCTCATATTAGCATTCCAACAACAAACAAAAAAAATCGTAGCTATAATACACAGAAACATAATCAGCTTCAAGTGCCAATGTAATCAAAAATTTGGAAGTATGGCAAAATCGAAACCAAACCCTAACAGAGTAACAACACCAAAACGAAGAAAAAAACTTACTTGAACAGAGAATCTGTAGACGTATCGACGGCGAAAAACAGAGAACTCGAGAAAGTAAGAAGAACTAATGATACAACTGGGAATTGGGATTGTGAGATTGGAGAAAAGGAAATTAGGGTTTTGTTTGGATATAATCGAACCGAACCGAATTTTATGGGGTTTTGAGAAAGTGTACCGATCGGTTTATTATTACAGGTAAAAAAAATTGATGCTTTCGTCTCGTGTGAGCAAAGAAGCGAACAACCACACGACACGAACCACGATCCATAGTGTTGGTCTCTGAAGAAGCTTCCCCATCCCCTGCCGGAGCGACTCGGTCGTGACTCAGTCCGAGTTTAAACCGGGATTCGGTTCTTCGTTTCGACACCATGGAGTTGATTGACATGAATTCAATGGCTTCTTCGATCGGCGTATCGGTCGCCGTCCTCCGTTTCCTCCTCTGCTTCGTGGCCACGATCCCCGTCTCTTTCGCTTGGCGGATCGTCCCGAGTGGACTCGGTAAACACGTGTATTCCGCCTCTTCAGGTGTTTTACTCTCTTACCTATCCTTCGGCTTCTCCTCCAATCTTCACTTCCTCGTTCCGATGATGATCGGCTATGCTTCCATGGCGATTTGTCGACCCAAGTGCGGAATCATCACTTTCTTCCTGGGTTTCGCTTATCTCATTGGCTGGTACTTAAAGGAACTTAATTTTCCCCCTTTTGAAAATCTGAGCTTTTTTTTTATGCTCTGCCTCTGAATCAGTGAACGAAATCTCGTTCCTTTAGCATGATCCTGATTTAATTATGGTGAGGTTTTTATGTAGTCATGTGTTTTACATGAGTGGAGATGCGTGGAAAGAAGGAGGAATCGACGCTACAGGTAACTATTTGATCTCATCATCTTAATTCACTGATTAAATTGTTAGTGAAGTTCGAGTAGTCTCTTGTGTTACATTCTCGTAATGGCTGGAATTGAGTTTAGAAATCTTAAAACAAAACAAGAGAAAGATCTTTCCTTTGCTTTGTATTACCTTGTTCTTGTGAGTTTGTGATGAAAACAAATTGGTTAAAGTAGTGATTGTGATTTGCTTCTATGATTGTGTTAGGAGCGTTAATGGTGTTAACACTGAAAGTTATCTCGTGTGCTATAAATTACAACGATGGGATGTTGAAGGAGGAAGGTCTACGCGAAGCTCAGAAGAAGAACCGATTGATTGGGATGCCGTCTTTGATCGAATACTTTGGTTACTGCCTCTGTTGCGGTAGCCACTTTGCTGGTCCTGTTTATGAAATGAAAGATTATCTCGAATGGTCCGAAGGAAAAGGAGTAAGCTTTCTTCTTCTTCTTCTTCTTCTTGTCTACTCTCTCTGTCCTTTATCTTTTTATAGGCTAGTTTGTAAAACTGTAAACTTTTTGTGCTTTCTAGATTTGGGAAACTTCCGAGAAAAGAAAGCGGCCATCGCCATATGGAGCAACAGTGCGAGCTATATTGCAAGCTGCGATTTGCATGGCTCTGTATCTCTATCTAGTGCCTCAATATCCGTTAACCCGGTTTACTGAACCCGTATACCAAGAATGGGGTTTCTGGAGGAAATTTGGCTACCAATACATGGCGGGATTAACGGCTCGATGGAAGTATTACTTCATCTGGTCAATCTCAGAGGCTTCGATTATCATCTCTGGTTTGGGTTTCAGTGGTTGGACCGAAGATGCTTCACCAAAGCCGAAATGGGACCGTGCTAAGAACGTAGACATTCTCGGTGTCGAGCTTGCTAAGAGCGCGGTTCAGATTCCGCTTGTGTGGAACATACAAGTCAGCACCTGGCTCCGTCACTGTAAGTACATAATGAATTTGTCATCTGATAATTTAACCATCGTGAGAGACTATCCTCTTACTGAACATTGTTTTGAAAACACAGACGTGTATGAGAGACTTGTGAAGAACGGGAAGAAAGCTGGTTTCTTTCAGTTACTAGCTACACAAACCGTCAGTGCGGTTTGGCATGTGAGTTCCTTATACAAACTTTGCAAATCTTGTAAACTGGTTGTTTCCAATTGCTGTCAGTGATGGAGGAACTTGCATTTATATATAAAAATCTGATCTTTTTTCCCCTCATCTAATCTGATTTTCAGGGATTGTATCCTGGTTACATGATGTTCTTTGTTCAGTCAGCTCTGATGATCGCCGGCTCACGGGGTAAATTTCACTCTTTTGGCTAATGATGGCATCTCTCTTCTGGATAATCTAAAATCTGTTCTCTTTTGCAGTTATTTACCGGTGGCAACAAGCGATCACTCCGAGATTAGCAATGCTGAGAAAAATCATGGTGTTCATCAACTTCCTCTACACCGTTTTGGTTCTCAACTATTCAGCCGTTGGTTTCATGGTAATAACTTACTTTTTTTTCTTCTCTTCCGTTATCGATCACTCTTACCGACTTCGTTTAACCGGATTGATTGTTTGCTTGTCGCAATCTCTCAGGTGTTAAGCTTGCACGAAACACTCACTGCGTATGGGAGCGTGTATTACATTGGAACAATCATACCTGTTGTATTGATTCTCCTCAGCTACGTTGTTCCTGCGAAGCCCTCTCGTTCAAAACCGCGTAAGGAAGAATAAACAGTTCTCTTCTTCTCTTAACGGTAAGTTCCGTTCCCGCGCTTCTTCTTATTCTGTAACATTGAAAACAAACCAATCCGGTCCTTGTTTCTCTCTGATTTTTGGTACAGATTATTTTTTGTATTTGTGTTGCTTATAAGTCTCTTACTTTTTCATAGGGTTTTTTTTTAATTGATATGGGATCTTCAATTTTATCTGCAATAAGTATACGTTAACTGCAATTGTGAGAATTATTATTGTTTACGTTTGATGTTTTTTTTTCTATTTAAGTTGTAAGAGTATTCTACTTATTATTTCATCATGTACCCCACTAACAAATCCAATAGTTCGCAAAATATTTTTTTCTCAATTGGCGGCAGCTTTTTCCCAAAAAGACAGAAAAGAAGAAAAAAACAATATAAGAGAGTTAAAAAAAAAAAAGGTATACATTTATCTTTAGTTTGCGTTTAATTTTACAAAGAATAAATACAAGTAAAATCAAACACCGTCGTGAACAACAACCACTCTAAAAGATGTCCACTAGACTAGTAGCACCAAAATGTTACCGAGAGAATAAAATCGGAACATAAAGTTACGCCTTCTTCGTTGATTTTTTTCTTTTCTTTTCTTCTGAATATCAATAAATTTTAGGAAAAGAAAAAATGTTTCCTACAAACGCACTAGTTCAAGCAAAAAGACTTCTTTAATTTTACGAAAATAAAATTTCGAATATAAAAGCATTGGCTAAATATTTGGTCTCTCAAGAGCAAATTCTATTTTAACTTTCAGAATTTAGCTAAATTAATATATTTTGTTTAAATTAGTTAAAGAGAGTTGGTATAGATCCAAACTCCTTGTTATACTAGCGTAATTATTTCTACTTTGTCGGCAAAATGTATTTCTAATATGTTTTGGAACAAGTACTCAATTAGGATTACACTAAACTAATATTTTGGGTGGTTTATGTAAGAATAATAATGTTTTGTGTAAAGTACTAAAAATTAATAATGGAAGTTCCAAAAAAATTGATCAAACTTTGTATAATGCACTTTCCTAATATCTATTTAATAGTGTTGAAGATATAGGTCGACTTATTAACCAAAACAATAATATATATATATATATAAATACGAGAGACTTTAGTCCAATGTTCTCCACATGGATCAGCTGTCCAGTCACTCTTAGGTTCGATTCAGACTTAATTTACTAATTGTGAGTTTTAAAAAGTTAGTGAAACCCATAACGAAAAAAAAACCCAAAAGAATAATAGGACAAAAACAAAGATGGCATCTTAACAAAAATAAATCACAACTTCACTCCAAGTCTCCATTAATAGGAATAAGTGGTTCCTAATAATAGTGATAAGTGGTCAAGAACAAGTGGACTAAATAATAATGCGACCATGCATAAATGCGCTGCCCTTAGAATAATCATCAAATTTCGATTTATGTTTAAAATATTCAAATGGCCAAAGCAATTATTAATTGTAAGAAACTCGAACTTTTTTCTACAAAAAAAAAAAAAAATGTTTACTACTTCTTGGTGGTTATAGTGTGTGGTTCACAAACATGGTTGAAAACAGAAATTAACCATATTATATATGAAAATTCTCATGCCATATAGTCTTCAGCTCCTCGACCTCAGCCACAGATACAACGCCTTTACACTTTTTGTTATAATTTGGTTAATTTTATAGAATAGGAAAATAAAACAAAGTTTAAAAAAAAAGATTAGAACTCTTAGAAATGATTTTTTAGGAGTAACAAATGTTTACTCGTATGGCCAATACATTTATATACATTCTATTTAATATTACGGAAAAAAGGAAGCACAACATTATAAAAACAAAGGATTTATTAAATGACAGTTAAGATTAGTTTGTAATAGCAGTATTATATGTTATTAATCACGTTCAATTATCAATCAACCCCAATAATCAAATTTCTACAACAAAATAAAAGTATTCATGTTAAAAGAGAGTGTCTGTTGTATAATCGTAACAAACAGCCATTAATGGGAATTAATTAAGATTAAAAGAATGATTAATCATTGTGTGAGTGTGAGTAAACATGCCAAAAAGGGAAGGGTATCATTAAAAACACGTAGGGGGACAAATCTGCAGTGGACCACTATCACATCAAATCGAGTATAAAGATTTGTTCCAAACCAATCTAGTATAATATTGTACTATATAAATCAACAGCTGGTTGTAAAACAAAACAGACATCAAACTCATTTCATAACGAACATTTCGTGGTGATTAGTAATATCGATCCCCCAAACTTGGTCCTTAATTTTCAGCTTAGCAATATAGTTCAATCGATTCGCATCCATAAACTGTGTGATGTGGGACTTTAAAATTCTGAGGACTGAAGATTCACACTGATGGTTATTACATTTTTGGTAAAGAATAAAGATCTAAAATTCTGTAACGAATTGCCAATACACCTTTATTAACATTTTTCCATATACATTTTTGAAATTCGGAATCTTTTTTACCATAATTTTCTCTAGTGTTCAAATTTGCCAATGTTGTGTCGAATGTGTAAATCATCACTCTGATATAGAATTTTTGTTGGGTGCAAGTCCCTGAAATACAATTGAACGTAGTGATTTATAAAAAAACAACAATACAGATTTTTTTAAAAAACACATTTTGGAAAAGCTGTCTTTCATTCACTATGAACGTAAAACCTCAAATATACAAAAAAAAAAAACATTATACCGGTCGCAGTGCCTTGATAATATATACTATATATGTACAAGTTATATATTTTATCGTATCCAAAACTACACTCATGCAGTTTGGTAAATTGCAGGATTAGATTACTTGATTTCATACAATGTAACGGTTTCTTTACAATACAACAATATACTAACGAACAAAATTGTCGGACATATATGGAATCACAATTTGGTAGTGGATTAATAAACCACTAAGGCACTAACTAACACGAGCAGTGGAACGTTATGTCCTAAGAAACATATTCTACGCACACGATCGTCGAACCATGTGAAAATCTGAATCCAGGTCTTAGAATTTTTACTACAGCTGTAGAACCACAACTTCATTGGATTTTTGGGTTTTAGATATCTCGTATATGAATTTTGTAGGTGTTTATTTTAGCATTAAAAAACTGTAGGTGTTTTTTTTTTTGATAAAAAAAATTGTAGGTGTTTATGGAGAACCTTATAGATATATTGCTTCACAAAAACAAAAAAAAAAGCCTTATAGATATATTTGTGACTTTATAAAATATCTGTGGCTAGATCTTTCTATTTTTTTCCTGTCCTAGTAGATATTTTTTATTGCATGGTGATTAAAATACTAATCACAGACTCACAAATATTTTATTTAGGGGTCAAACATTTTTTTAGAACATTAAAGAAAGTTTAGGATTTAGGTTTAGGTTATAAAAAAAAGGATTTAGGTTAAGAAACCGAGCAGATAGTGACGCGTGGCAATGCCGCAAAAATGAAAGAAAACGAGTGCGGAAGAGACCAAGGCGAGTCAATTTCAGTAATTAATTACCAAATGTCTTTAAGAACTATAAACATGAAAATGTTTTCCTTACTAATGATTATTCTTTAAAACAAAAGGCAAATTTCTTTGGACTGACCATACCTATACCATTTCTAAAGAAAATCCATTAAATTGTCACAATAATATGATTTTAAAATATAATATTAAAAAGTTGTAAAGCTAATGCTCTATAGAACTTAGTGACGGATATGATTAAAGAAAATCCACATGGTCACCTCTCTAATTAACCTCTCTTTGTCCGTTTCAGGTAAAATTAGCGTTAATTTTTTTTGTCAAATCTTTTGCCCCATTTTTGGCGTTAAATTATGGATTAGCATTTTAATGCAATTAGTAGTATAATTCGTATTGTCAATCAGATTTAGTATTTAATATATAAATTGTATATAAGTTTATAGCTTAATTTGTATATGATGGTATTCCTCCTCTTTTATATTAAATGTCGTTTTATAGCTGTTTTCTATTTCACAATAAAAAAAAGTTTTTAATTTGATTTTTAGCATTAGATACATAAAACAACATAAATTAGAAAGTTAGAACATAACTACAAGAGTCACATTCTAAATTCCTGTGAAATATATTAAAAGTGAAAGTGATTCTACAACAAACGCAGTATATTTACAGATTAAAGACTTTCATTAAAACGTTAACTCAAGTATGAAAAAAAAAATATTAAAGGAACCCAAGAAAGAAAACGACAAAAAAGGCCAGGAAAGAAAACGACAAGAAAGAACCAAGTAAGAAAACACTGCTCATGAGTCATGTCCATACATATATGGCACAACCTTTATAACAAAAAACATATCCAAAAAAGGAAACTCGGGACATCAAAACTTTTTAAAAGGAACACTAGGCGAATATAATATATATCTCGTTGTGTAAACAAGCATCAATCAATCAATTGATACATATGATGCTATGAAAACATATCACTACAAGACGAATTCAGTGGAATATAGATCGCTGAATGGATTTCCGAATCATGTAAAATATATCTTTAGTTAGCAGCGAAATAGTGTATGTTGTGTATGTAGAAAACAGTGCTTTATGAATAGTGAGTTAAAACAAATAATTATGATTCTTATCAAGATCGAAGAAGAGAAGATATAATTCAACAAAGATCATTGTACTCGACACATTTGAATTGACAAACATGAACTGAAAATAAAAATACGGCGTTAAATTTGGGGAGAATCTCATATGTTGACGAAAACCCGTTTTTATATGTTTTGTCCAAAATAGTTTGCCCAAAAAAAAAAAAAAATTTGCCAGAAGAGATATATGTGTCGAAGACTAAGACTTTTGTGGTTAAGCAAGAAGAATCATGTTCATCGAGTGGCTGACTATTGTTCACGATCTCATCTTAATATATTGAACAAAAACAAACTCATTGACATGAACTATATATAACTAAGGTGTTCTTAATACATAGAGTCATACAAATTAAGACTAAAAAAGGAGTGATACAAAGACCAATAATAATCAAATACATGAAATCGCGAAATCAAAAGGAAATCACTAATTAACTCCTAGAAATCCCCAAACCCTAATTAATAATTCCACGATACAGGAACACAATTTTTTTCAAACATATGATCTGATATATCATATAAGTGACAAACAAACAAAGAGAAAACAGCAGAAGCAAGAAGATTACATGGAGCGAACACAAAACCGATCAATAGCCCCATAAGTCCTCATCTTTGGAATTCTCCGGGGAGTCATCCGGCGGCCGAGAATCCATCCAGGATGGCGGCGGCGCAACCATCATCCCTTCCGCCATATTAGCCAACAGATTAGGCATATTCAAGAGTTCTTCTTCGTCCATAAACTCTGTCCCACACCACGAAGAAGACGCCATATCGTCATATACGTGGCAATCACGAGCTCTTGACGACAAACTCTTTTTCTTTGCTTTCTCCTCCTCCTCCTCTTCCTCGCACCCCTTCATCGCAGCAGCCGCGGACGCAGCGCTTCGGATATCCGCCGCGGATGTTGATCCGGGAACCGGGTATGACCGGGCGGATCCCGGGAAGTTCAAAACGGCTTCTCTGCCTTTAAGAGCCATAGCAGCCACGTCGTAGGCAGCGGCAGCCATCTCCGCCGTGGGGTAAGTTCCGAGCCAGATTCGAGTAGTCTTTTTCGGCTCACGGATCTCCGAGACCCATTTTCCACTCCGGCACCGGATACCTCGGAACACTGAATCCTTCTTCTGGCTAGCTAAGCCGGTAGTAGCCATTAGTACTAGTAGTAGATGGAGAAGAGTTTTTCACACACGTGACTAAGCTAGATGGATTTATCACACGTGTGAGGTGGCAAATTATTTAAAGAAAATGAAGAAGTTTTGGGTTAAGAGGGCCATTTGGTAGGATTTATATGGTGACCATCAGCCACATATATATAGATGATAATTAAAACACTGTGCATATGTGTGTTATGTATATATTAATATGTATTATAAATTGAATTATCTAGGGTTTAGTAAGAGATTAGTGTTTAAATATAAAAGGGTAATTTCGCTAAGCTTTTGTCAACACTCAATGCACAAATGTTATTCTCTTTCACTTTCTCACTGGGGGTTGTCGAGAGTGTGTTGGCTTTTGTTGGACTTATTCTTGAAACAATAATTGAGAAAAAAAACTAGTTTGTATTCTGTATACATCGTGTTTAGTTACTATTTGATAGTTTATAATCAACGAAGTGTCTTAAATAACCAATCTGAAAAACTAAACTCCTAAAACCTAAAATTTTAACCTTTAAATCTAAACAAAATAAAATCTATATTTTTAAAAGGATTCAATCTATTTTTCCAATTTACATTGTTCTCACCAATTATATCATTATTTTTTTACTTTCATTGTTTATATTTATAATTGTAAGTGAATATTTATTTGGTTTCAACTTCCAACTAAAAAAGAAAACAAAAATAAGTCAAACAGTTGTACTGTATCAAACAAAAATGGATTCAGCTCTGAGACTAATAATTGAATTAATTAATAATATAACAGACGGATATTTTGATACCGAAAAGGAAGAGAAAAACAAAAAAAACTATATTTATCAACAATCCTGTGAAACATTGCCTGGACCGGTGCATTAAACGGTTCTAGAAGCATATTAAGCATCGTATTAGCATCATCATCTGAAGATTTAAAGGTTTCCACTACGTTCTTTCGTATGTGTTTGCCTCTTTTGAGTTTGATTTTCTGTACCATTTGGTAACAGATAGTTTCCCACGATATATCAAAGTAGTCCAATACAATTTTTTAAAAAATTATACTGTACACATAAGGGCCCGTTTTAGACCTAATTTTTGATAAAATAAAAAAAAAAATCCAAATAGTTATATTTTTAAATTTAAATCGGTGCTGAAAAAAATCAATGAGCTAGGCCGAATTTTTATACTTTTATAGTGTAAGTGTAAATTCTTATATTAAAAGGGCCAAATATAAATTTTTCCATAGAGCTCTTAATATTATTGGGCCGTGCTTGACTATGATTTCTCGGCCTTTTTGCTGGGTGTGAAGTGGGTGTAATGTGCAGACATTGGTGAGCTGTGAAAGGCGAACAATCAAATTAAAGCAGTACACAAACACTTGTTTACATAGCTTCTCCTCCATTCATATCGCTTATTTCTTCTTTGAACTCAAGTTGATGTAATGAGTTCAGCGCGTATTCACGAGTTCCGAAACTTGATGTACGGTAACATTTTTGACTCATTGTCGAATTCTCGTTTTCTGTGATATTCCTCTAATTTTGATATATAAAATGTACTATCTCTTCTATAAGACTATATAAGAGATGCAACATGGAAGTTTAGACATATTCACAACTGTATTAACTTGTTGTTTACTACTTAAAGAGTTTATTTATATCGTTAATGGAACTGTTGTAACCGCGCGCATCAAAACGATCTAGACTGCTTAATTGCATTGCCTATATATATAACGTTTATCGTTTGATATCTTATACTCCAGTGAAGTAATAATCCAGAAAACAAGTTTAATTTGTAAGATCGGTAGATTACTATCACACGGGATATACATATAAGAACAATCGGCTATAATCGCACATTAAAAGTGTTCACCTAAAATATAAGACAAAACTTAAGAGAGTGATGATGTTCAAAAAGAGAGAGAGAGAGAGATAGAGAAAGAAAGAAATAAACGATGAATGAAGGACACGCGCATGTGACACTCACGAGACAGCATGAAGCCATAATTGTGTATGGCCGACATGTCTTCCTGTCCGTAAGGCTTACACTTTAATTATGTCTATTGTTTATATATTTATTTCAATATTTCTTTGTGTATCCTCCTATCATTATCCATCATTCAACGTCGTCGTCACTCTCAATCGTCACTATCGTCTATTAATTCGCAACAAGTTTTGACTCACCTCTAATTTAATTAGAATACATTAGAACGCAAATTTTCCATACCATATGCTACTTTTTTTGAGTTAATATTAATTAAAAATCTGGAGGTTATATTTAATAAACAGAAAATAGAAAAGAAATCACATACTAGTTTAAGAAAAGTAGGTGAATGTTTTCAAGATTTCCAAGAGGGATGTGAGCTTGAAGTTGTTGGAAAGTTCTAAACCTAGTGGTGAGGTATGTCTCTTTGGTGGGTTGGAAGTTGGAAGTTGGAAGCCTGCGAAATCACCAATTTTAGTTTATATTAGGAAAAAAAATTAGTGAAACTATAAAATCGATTATTTTTGATAAAAGAAATTATATAAAAATATGATGTCATTATCATAAACTACCAATCAAAATTTAGCTATATTCAATATAATTTAAGAATGCCATCTTAAACTAATATAATTTATGTTCAATTTTTTGTAAAAATTATATTTAAAAATTAGATCACAGCTTAATGATTCTTTATATATATATATATATATATATATATAAGGGCTTTCATCGGGTTGATGATTCAAGGATCATCTTTATTAAAAAAAATGATTCAAGGATCAAACTTGATTAGTTATATAGATTTATTTTTACGTAGTGGTTTGATTATCTTGAAGTGTTTTGGTGGTAAATAAAAGGTGAAATGTGTTTTTAATTGGCAGTTTGGCACATGTTATTCGCAAATACTAACATAGTACTAAGAAGTAGTTCCCACGGAAATCCCACGTGTTACTCACAGCTAATTTACTTATTATGGAAAAGAGTCACGTGTTGCATATCCACAAAACAAATATAGAATCTTTAAACTTGTGGTCCAACCTAGGAGCTGGACCCAACTTCCAGATTAAAATAATATCTTATCTATTAAGTTAAACAAAGGGATCAAAATGGACCAAATGGTTCTGTTTGACCAAAGATTCCAAGAATGTTCCATGTTTCAGTTGTCTGTGTTTCAAAACCACTAAAATTCTTAAATCAAATGTTAGCCGTAGGCTCATATAGCAGCTATTTTTTGGCACGTAGTTATTTGATTGTGGATTTTAATGGATAATAATAAAAAAACAACAAAATAAGCCAGCTGAGTTGCAATACAGTTTCTATTGATTTTATTATAAAGTTCTTAAATATTTATACATTTCTCTCATATGTGTATTGCTTTTTCTCCGCCATTTTACTAACTACATTTTCACTGTTCTTTAATTACCAAATTCTTAGTAGTTGTTAATACTAATTACCACCGTGAGCCTATATATTGTACTGGGAAAATGTGTTAGATGTAAAGTTTCATTCAATCTTGCAAAACAACGATGGCCAGATACTTTAATTATATCGTCTTGTTAATCAAATTTATCAACTAATTACCAATTAAAGCCTGTAAATTATATAGAAAAACGTTACAGGTTTGTTACATTTACGTAGTTTCATTCAATTATGGAAAAACGACAGTTAAATCGCTTTTATCAGCTAAAGTTTAGTGGACACGTTTTCTTAGTTTTGAAAATCCAGCATGTGATCACCTGATGATACCAAAACAAACAACAATGGAGAGAATGAAGAATCTAATATTTGCGTGATTTCCAACAACTCTTTTCTGTTGTATATTATTTATATATGTTGGCTTACCCAGACAATCTGCATCTTCCAGAGTCTTTCAATTCAACAAAAAACGATAAGCTCAGGTCTCTCCCTTATTTGATCAATAAGACTGTAAATAAAGTAATAATAAACCATATCCAGTAATGCTCAAGACCTAATCGTGGAAGAAAAAAAACAAGACTTAATAGTAGAACATGTGGTGTCTCATGAACCCATTATCTGTAATCGTAGAACATTTGGTGTCTTCATGAACCCATTAATAAAGAGCAATTATTAGCTAGGGTGTGTGAAATACATGAAGCCACCAGTAAAAATGGCTGAAGATATATCTACTTATGTATATCGAAAATATACTTAGATTATATATATTGACGAATCACTATTCATTTTTAGAATCAACAAAAGAATTAGACCATCTCGAATGCAAGAACTTTTCATAAGTTCTTAATATTATTTTAATCATAAATTTTGTAATTTTTTAAGTTTAGAACTTCTTTAAAAAGAATTAAAATTGCATGCTCCAAAGGTACAACCTCAAGTGAAGTTCTTACAAACCTTAAACTTTTTATAGAAAAGAAAATTAAAATACTGGTATTTTTGGAATTAAACTTTGTTTTCTTTAGAATGGTATTTTAGGGTATTTCTAAAAACATTTATGACTGAACTGACACAACAAAGTTAAAATACAACTAGCACGTTTACATATCTTTCATTTTACAAAACTAAAAAAAAAATCAATTACTTATTCTCTTTACTATTGATTTTATATACTTCAATTTAAATGGGACCGCGATAGGTTTATAATGGGTTAAAGCTCACAGCTAGCTAATACAGACATTTCCCTTTTTAATGCTTACGTGGCATCAAGCTTAAGAATCAAATAACGGTGTGTTACGCGCGTAGATTTCGCATCCTGTGGGTCCCATTACCGTAGCCTATATATTCCCCCTCTTCCTCACTTGTCTGCTTCATAACTCCCAACCAAATTACAAAACAGAGCATAAGCTAGAAAAAAGACTTTTTATTCGAACAATCTTTAATCCCTTTTAACTAACCCTTACACTAAATCGAATCTACTTCTGTTTTCAGATACACATTGAGATAAAATCGATTGAAATACCCGTTCTTTCACGGTAAATTCAGTTTCCAGAAAGTTAAACCGGAGTTGCTTTTCCCGTTTCTAGTTTTCAATTTTACGAGTGAGAATTGTTCTTTTAGCAATGGATAACAACGATGAGATTATTCTGGCGGAGATGAGGCCGAAGAAGCGTGCGGGACGAAGAATTTTCAAGGAGACACGTCACCCAGTTTACAGAGGAATACGGCGGAGGAACGGCGACAAATGGGTCTGCGAAGTCCGAGAGCCGACGCACCAGCGCCGCATTTGGCTCGGTACTTACCCGACGGCGGAGATGGCAGCGCGTGCACACGACGTGGCAGCGTTTGCGCTGCGCGGGAGATCCGCGTGTTTGAATTTCGCCGACTCCGCTTGGCGGCTTCCAGCGCCGGAGTCAACCGATCCGGATGTCATAAGGCGAGCCGCGGCTGAAGCGGCGGAGATGTTCAGGCCGACGGAGTTTGGGAATGGAATTACGGTTTTGCCCTCTTACGCCGATGAGGTGGATTTGGGCTCTGGTTCTGGTTCGGGATCAGAGGAGAGGAATTTGTATGGATATGTGGAAGAAGAAGAAGTCTCGACGACGATGATGAGACTCGCGACGGAGCCGTTAATGTCGCCGCCGCGATCGTATACGGACCTGACTTCGAATGTTTACATGGAAGAAGAGATGTCTTATGAAGATATGTCACTCTGGAGTTACAGTTATTAAATGATGGAATAATTTTGTAGTAAGATATTTCTCTCTTGAGGATTTTTGGATACTCTTGCTGAGTTAGAAGGTTCCATGATGGAATAATTTTAAAAGATTTTTAAGATAATATTGGGCTTTATAAATCTCAATATATATAGCTGAGGCCCAATTAAGCCGGTGCTTATAGAAATGCATATAATGTATCCCCAAAGGTGCAATATATTTTCCTCGTAATTTTTTTTTTTAATAAAGAGCTAGTTGTAGAATATTTTCCTCGTAATTAAATCTAAGAATTTGACTAACTAGATATTGACACCGAATCATTAAGTTTTTCTTTGACTTAGGAATATATCTATTTTTGTTTCGACGACTTGGGATACAACTAATAAGCTTTCCGGTGAAATTTTGCAATCCCGATATGCCCTGCATGTCAACTTCATAATTAATAAATTTAGTAGGGCTTTCTTGTAACGAAATTCATGGTAGGTCTTTAAATAACATTTGATGTGAAGGTTTATCTAAGTTCTTTAATTTTTCTTATATTAGTTCCGGAGAACCATAAACGCTTAATTAGTCTGACGTCGACGAAATCTAAACTCGTAGTCTGACGTGGCATGAAGTTTCGGCGCGGGACTTGAGCGTGGACCACGTGGCTGATTATATGCTTTGCCAGCTAATCATTTGCTCACGAGAGCTCTCTCAGGTCTTCCACTAAACGAGATATTCGAGCAAGTGATTATGATCCAATATCCATCATAATGATAATTATTTTTTGTTAATATTATGAGTATAGGAACCGAGTATAAAATAAATTATATTACTGTATTGAGTAACTTGAGAAGTAAAATATATATTTTCTGTACTATAAAGTGAAGTCTATAAATTTGAAAGAAGAATACTGTAGATCTCGTTATTACTATTAGCATATTTATTTATATGTTTAGGAAAGTTTATATCGTGTGGATGTTAGCATTATGTTAATGTACATATATATGAGTATTGTATTTTGTGGGTGTTAGCATTAAGAAAAATATCCTAAATCTTAATATTCACTTATGTTCTTAGGAAAGTCAATTTACAGTATATGATTGTTATTATTATATTAATAATAGTACTATATACTGTATTTTGTGATTTTATATCAAACATAATCATTTAATATATATATATATATACACGCCAGTATAGTGTGGTTATTTGGCGATAAAATAAAAATCTGATAAAGATTTATTGTTTGTTTTTTGATAAAGCATATAAAATGTAATGATAAATACAAACGTAACCGAAAAATGGACCTCTCTGTTCCCAATAGTGAAATTTAATGCAATAAATTAAAGTCACAAAGTTCGTGAGCGTTAAGTTAGAGGAGAGCACAGAAGAAGAAGAAAAAAAAAACCAAAAGGAGAATTATTTTGTTCTTTCTTCAATTGATTTATACCTTTCTTCCTCTACTTGTCAATATCACTGACCCGTCCACTTTTATAAATCTCAAATTTTATAGAGAAAGGAAAGAAATCAAATTTGAATTTTCTTTTCGTAAATTTCCTGTGTTTTAGTCTTTTTTTTTCTTTCTCTTGATCATGAAGAACAGCGAAGAACAAATGAGGTCACTATTTGGCATTAGTCTTTCTGATAAACCCAGATGGCAACAGTTTCTTATCTGTTCTTCTGGTTTCTTCTTCGGCTACCTTGTTAATGGCGTCTGTGAGGTTTGATTTCGTTTTTTGCTTCTGTTTATTTTTTTTTTCCCGTAAAAGCATATCTCTAGGATCAGATAATTTTTCGATATTGACCGGATTTTTAATGAATTTTGTTGTGTTTTTTTTTCCCTGGGCTGGTTTTGTCTGGAAAATTCATGTTTTGCATGCGGTGTTTCTCTGCATTTTTCCCCGAGAAAATTCATGAAAATTTTGTAGAAATTTCAAGGTTTAGAGAAGAATTCGGTGTTCTTCTAAAAATATTTCATTAGAACAAAGACTTTTTACCCGGAAATAAAGGCGCTATAATTTGGCATACAAACCTATCTTAATTCCTTGTTCAAAAAAATAAATATTGATTCCGATAATCATACAATTAATACAATATATATATATATATAGTTTCTACAGATTTTTCGTTTTTGTTTCCTATTGAGATTCTGTATTTACTTAATTCCTAAACATTAACTCGAATCACAATTTGCAGGAATATGTGTAGTATAACCGGCTCAAATTTTTATCTTTATTTGACTAAAATTTCGGATTTTATATACTTTGTTTTTTTCTCTCAAATTTGCAGGAATATGTGTATAACCGGCTCAAATTCAGGTATTTTCAAATCCAAATTTTATAAAAATAAATAAATGTAAATTCGAATAATAGAATAACAGTAGTTGTGTGTGTGTGTATGTTGCAGTTATGGATGGTATTTCACGTTTGTCCAAGGACTCGTGTACATTGTAATGATCTACCTAAATGGCTTCACGACGAAGCAAATGGTGAATCCATGGAAGACTTACGTGAAGCTATCTGGTGTTCTCATGGGATCTCATGGTCTCACCAAAGGCTCCTTGGCTTATCTTAATTACCCTGCTCAAATCATGTTCAAATCCACTAAGGTATATACATTAGTAAAATTTAACTTAACCAAGTTATGGTATATATAGTCAATTAGTGTCATTAAGTTCATCTTTCTTTATGGTCCTAGACTTGCAACATCCTAGCTATGATAAAAGAAAGAAAATCTCACTTTCTTGATACATCTTGGTTTATCGGTTAGCAAACTAGGTGAAAAGAAATTCATGGGTGGATCAATGTTCTCGCAACATTTATAAATTTGATTTTCTTCATGATCTATCTCAAGGTTTTGCCGGTTATGGTAATGGGAGCATTTATACCGGGATTGAGAAGAAAATACCCGGTCTACGAGTACATATCGGCTATGCTACTTGTAATCGGTTTAATCTTATTCACATTAGCCGATGCACATACCTCCCCAAACTTCAGCATAATTGGGGTTATGATGATCTCTGGCGCTCTCATCATGGACGCCTTTCTCGGTAACTTGCAAGAAGCAATCTTCACTTTGAATCCCGACACAACACAAGTATAACAATCACAACCTCTCATTTTCAATTTTCAATCTATGTATCTCAAATAACGTTTTTGTTCTTCTCATGGATGGTAGATGGAGATGCTGTTCTGCTCGACGGTAGTTGGTTTACCGTTCTTGCTTGCACCAATGATTCTTACCGGAGAGCTTTTCACAGCTTGGACTTCATGTGCTCAAGTAAGCCTTGTCTAATCTAAATTTTTATAATATGTTATGAAATCAAATGTACTTTACGAAAGTTTTCACAAGTAGCTGTGTGTAATAACACGATTTATGAACCACTTTCAATACTTTAATAACTTATTTACCACTTGACGTAATTGACAAGAGATTATATACGAATTATCTATATAATGATCATTGACTGACTAATGTAATTGATTAACTAAGTTTTTTAATTGACTTTTGTTTTGGTAGCATCCATATGTGTATGGAGTGTTGGTGTTCGAAGCCATGGCTACATTTGTCGGCCAAGTCTCTGTTCTATCCCTCATTGCTCTCTTTGGTGCAGCCACGACCGCTATGGTAAAACTACTTTCATCTTGTTTTTTTTAACTGCATTATTATGGTTTAGGATCATATATCCAAACATCGGTTAAAGCTAAAATAAAAGTACTACTTTAATGTTTACGTAAATAAATATATTTTTGTTTGTTTGTTTGTTTGTGGGAACAGATAACGACGGCGAGAAAAGCGGTAACGCTGTTACTATCTTACTTGATATTCACGAAGCCTTTAACGGAACAGCACGGCACGGGATTGTTACTGATCTCTATGGGCATTATTCTCAAGATGGTTCCGGATCCGAGTTCAAACCCAAAACCGAAAGTTTCGGGTTCGGGTCAGATACCAGGGAAGCTGGAGCGGGTTAAGCTTGAGAAGGAAGGCGATGAAGAGAGTCGGCCTTTGGTCTAAATAATAAAACGACGATAGCAGAGATTTAAAATCAATTCTTGGTTCGCTTTCTCATCACGAATTTATCTTTAACATAGTATGTGTTGTTAGAAAGTTTAATTTCTCTTTGTAGTTTTAGATCGAAAATATTCGGCAATTCAATTTGAAACATTATCAATAAACACAAATGCAAAGAAACACGATTTCAGAATCATTCTAGATTGGGTCTTTTAATTTTGTTGACAATGTATTCTCGTGGAGTATTTAAACATATATTTCTTTGAAGAGACTTATCATCTATCAGCTAAGTTTATAACGTCATGGAATGTTGTTGACACAAACAGAAAATAGTGTATAAAGCTATTAAATTCAGGTTCCTTCAACATCTCGTATAGCGTCTGTAGTCCAACGGTTAGGATAATTGCCTTCCAAGCAATAGACCCGGGTTCGACTCCCGGCAGACGCAATTGTTTTGCTTAATGAATTAATCAAAATTTAGTAAACAGCTTTTCTATAAATAAAACCGGAACCCACACACTAAATCCGAGACACCTCCGGTTGTTTTTTACAGTTGAGGTCAGTTTCCGTGAAAGGTTTTTCATTACAAAGCAAAGACAACGCATGACCAAAAGCAGATGTGTGTACATACAATAAATATACTGATAAACAGTCCTCTTCTTCGTCTTCAGCGATTTGATGTTCTAGCAGACGAGCGACAGTCTGAGTGATGGGGCAGTGGGGATATGCGTGCAAGATGCCCATCTGCTTATCGACTCCGTCACTGCAATATCAACCACCAACTGGTCTAGCTCGCCTAGTCCTATGGTCCGGTTCCTTTTGCTGTGCAGACCTGACATTCTCGACCAGTTTCCTCTTTCCCTTCTTGTCTCTGACTTCCCTGCTGCTTCTGTTTGATTCTCCCCTGCTTCCTCGTTTCTCTCAACTTGTGAAGAAGAATCCAGTGAATGCAGTAACCTCTTTGGGCTTGAGTCTGTTAAACAATGGCATAAAGATGATTTGATCAGCTGTTTTCACAGTAGATTTTTCTGCTGAAAACACCGATTTAGAGGATGATACTAATGCAAAAGCTTTGATATGTAAATGAAGAAAGTTGAGATTTTGATTCGCGGGTTTGAATTTCACTGTCCTTGTCATATAAATTATCATCACGTCCCAACACATTCTAAGTAAAAAGGAAGAGAGAGGTACCTCGAAGTTTCCCATCCGTTTCAGTAATGTCAATGTTGCGTGGGATCGCTGGGCAAGGACTAAAAAAGGTAAAGCTTGGCATAGATGGAACTCCAGTTGATGAGAAGCCACCTGAGGTTGATTCCGGTTGTTTCCCATCGGAAGAAAACCCACCAAAACCGGACTTTGGCAGTGTGTTATCCGCAGGTAAAAAAGACGAGAAGGATGATCTACACTCGTTATCTGTTGTTTTCTCTAGCTGCCCCATGCTAAAGCTATAGTCTTGTTCCCGAGATATGCATTGTGTGGAGAAAGAACATCCACCATTCTCCAATCCTTCACAGCCAAACCCATCCTGCTCATATCGTTCTTGACTTGATTCAGGTAACTGCTCCATCCAAGAGTGAGCTGCAAACCAAAAAATTATCACTTTCAGCTGTAAAATTTACAAATCCATAGATAACACTAAAGCTATACGAGCAATTCATGGATTCCAAAGATAAGGTACCTAGAACATCATCAGCAGATAACCTCTGGGAAGGATCAACACATAGCATCCCGCGGATCAAATCCTTGGCGTATGGAGTAATATGGTCCCAAGGTTCTGCAGAAAATCTCAAATCTGCGGCCCTGACAGCATCAAAAATCTTGGACTTAGTCTTTCCCCAAAAGGGAGGCACTCCACTGAGAAGAATGTACAAAATAACCCCTGCACTCCATACATCAGCAGCTTGGTTATATCCCCCTGATAACACTTCCGGGGCTATATAAAACGGACTACCAACTGTTCCGTTCAGCTTTTCGCCTGCTCATACGAAAAACCAACAATATCTTAGAATCCACAGTGTCCATGAAAGTTTCTCGTTTTCATTTGCTTACAAAATATAAACAGTGGTATCTATCTTACCAGGCTTGATATAGGTTGCCAAACCAAAATCAGCCAACTTGATAGGAGACGAAGAAGACATCGTGGCCATGAGAATGTTCTCGGGTTTCAAATCTCTGTGAACAATACCGCTATCGTGACAAAACTTGACCACTTGCATCAAATGCTTGAACAGCACCCTGGCACGGACCTCCGAATACCTTCCATACTTCTCGAGCTTGTGAAAAAGCTCTCCTCCTGCGCATAGCTCCATCACAAGATGCACGGAATCCTCCTCCTCGTAAACCGCTTTGAGGTCCACAACATTAGGGTGTCCAGACAATCTAGCCATGATAGCAATCTCGAGTTTGATGCTTTTCATGTCGTCTTGTGTGACCAGTCTGTCTTTAGATATAGACTTGCAAGCGAGCCTCTCCCCTGTTAACTTATCAGAACATACTCTAATCACACCAAACTGACCCCAGCCTAACTGTTCCCCGAGCACGTACCGGTCTTTTAAGTTGGAAACGTTTACAGGGTTTAGAATGGTTTCGGTAAGGCTTGCAACTTTGTAGCAATTGCAGAACTCAAATAAAGGTGGGCTCGTATTCTCCTTATCAGCTATGTCCATACCCATATCAAAACGTTCACCGAGCAACAGAACCCTTCACAAAAAATCTAAACTTCTGCTTGCAATAAATATTAGTTACAATCTTTCTGGTATACACTACTCCTCTTCTCCTCAAGAAAAACGCTGAGAAACTCAATTAGGCACAACCCTGCAGACGAATCTTCTCTTCGGTGCAAACAAGCTCCCTACGCAAACTGCATTCTCCTTTGGATCCTCCGGTCTGTAAAATTTTAAGATCGAAAACTCAGATTCAAGCACTGATCAACAAAGTAAGAGCAACTAAAATTGGAAATGGTTCAGCTTTGGTGTAAAAACATTCCATTTGAGTTATACCCAATTTAGCTTGAGATAAGAAAGCAAAGAAAAACCCATAAGTTGGATTCGCTCCAGAGATCAGAGAACTAACTCACATCACAAAACTCAATCGAAACAAAAATAGAGGTTTTGAGCTCAAAATCCTACATAAGACACAAAAAAACCCTCGATTTGGGTCATGAAAATGCATCTCGATCTCGAATCAATCAACTAAACAGCCTTAGATTTAGCTAAAAACAACAAGGACGAAACTTTGCAGGAATCTAAATAAGAAGGGAGACCAGAAAGTTCGGCAACTCCTTCTACTTCAAAGGTAAAAAACCCAATCAAAATAACAAAAGATGAGATTTTTTTACTTAAGAGAAATTCATGAAGAGATTGAAAATTTCTGAAATTTCTGAAATTTCACCTTTGTTGCAAAGAGGAATCCGCTCGAAGAGAAAACAACAGCTATAGGTTGCAGCGAAGAGACCAGACCCAGTCCTCTCCTCTAGTCGCTCTCTCTCTCTCCTCCTCTTCTCTTTCAAAAAAATGCCGTGTCAACTTGTTACCGGGAGAACCAGTTTCACGTTTTCTTACTTCCCAATAAGTTTTTTAATTACAAATTCAGACCACTCATTTCTATCTAATTCTAATTACCACCTCATACTTTTTAATACAAGGTTTAGCCATTCGAGACTCGAGGAGCCATCAATTCCCTCTACAAGTCTGAATAGAATTAGATTATCCTAATTAAATGTAAAACTATCATTTGTGAATATTTTCGACTATAAAAATCGAATGCTAATTAAATGAGCAAAAAGTAGTCAACCCAGTTTTGAAAAACATCTGCAAAAGACATTATCATTTTCACACTATTCACTCTATTTTCTGAAGTTTTTCAAATATTTAGAATTGATTATGTGTTTCATCGAAACATGTAGCTGAATTTCGTATAAGGTGAAGTTGTAGAAACTTCACAAACGATTATTGGTTAAATGTCTCTTACAATTTAGCCATCGGTTAAAAAATAATGTTTTTGTATCAGAATTTTGTTAGTAGTAATGAAAGATTGTGTAAGATTATCCTAGTAAATGAAACTTTTTTAATGATTTGAGAAGAAGAGAAGGTAAAAAATGTAAATAAGAATTTAGAAACAGTGAATAAAAGTTGAAAACTATAGTCTTCCCTTTTAACTTATTGGACCTTTTGGATTTGTCTACAAGAGGAAAAATAAAGAGGAAACATATCCAACGGACGAAGAAGATGGGACCTACACATATAAGCTTTTTATAGTTCGTGACGATAATTAGCCAACATCCATTAACATTCTGCCACGTGGTAGTTAACCTACCGTACGAATCTAACGGGACCTAGCTGTCTTCGACTTTTTTTTTCTGTCTTTGCTACGCTGTCTGAGACTCAGAGTAACTAATTGAATTTACTTTTAATTGGGTAACTTAATCATCAGAGTTAGTTGATTTTGTCTATGCTTTTGAGAACCAAAGAGAACTGCTCCACCTGTATTTCATGTTAATTAGCTGTACAAGCATAGTGTACTCCACTATTTATTTTCCAATTATTGACTTTCTTCTTGTTTATATGTTGTTACAGACTTCTTGTCTTTCCACTTTAAAATTCCCATTCTAGCTAGAAAACAATTTTTGCAATTCATTTATGGTCTAAGAGGGAACATGATACCCGGAATCGAATATCGATGTAAGATCTTATATAGAATTAATGAGACTAGTTCTAATTCTATTTGAAATTTTAATCTCGTTTTATTTGATCTAACGTACAAAGAAATCAGATTTATAAATTTATTTTTGTTATATCTTCTCTAAATTTTCATATTTGATCACCATTGAATATTTGTATACTGTGACAAAAGAAAACAAAAACGATAGAGGGATTGTGTGATGGGCTGTTTTAGCCCGTTTACTTTGTTAATTGGAATCGATACGGGGCTAATAGTTTGGCCCATAGTCATTCATACATTGGGAAAAAAAACTGTCAAGAACCAGTGCAATCTGGAACCAGGCCTGTCGAACACACACAGAATATAGAGTTTTATTACTAAATATACATTGTATATAGTTCATGACATGACCTTATCATGTGCGACATGATGTATATCCAATTCTCTACGTTGATTGCTTTAGCATTGTAGTTTATCATTTCAAAAATTATCATTTTTAGAATATACTTGTATAAATACTAAATAGACACATAGTCATAGGCATATTGAAGGAAGATGCAAATCTACCTGAATCAGTAACAGACTCAGAAATTTCCAATCAGTTTTTTTTTTTTTTGTGTTTGAATTAGTGGCATCATACAAGTCAGTGTTCCTTTCTTCTTCTTTTTTTTTTATTATGTGGACTGTCCACTTAATTTTTCGTAATCGACAATATATACATTACGTGGGTTAATGATATAACACTTACAAATCAATATATGTTTTGATTGGATTATTCAATTTTTTTTCCAATAAGTTGATGACATCATATATTTCATTTGAAGTCAATAACTCAAGTTACCAACTGACCCATTTATCAATAGCAGTTCGGCTTTTATTCCAGTTCTTGTCTAATCATTTTTTTAAATACTAAAAATAGCATAGCAAGCTTATTAAGCTGAATTGATGATCATAGTGTACTAATTTTTATTTCATATAATTATAGCCATGTTCATTATTTCCACCTAACATCTTGGGCTTATTATGATCACAGAAGAAACAAAAAAAGTTGTTGCAATTAACTGTATCCAACTGTCTATTAATGGACGTTGGTCATTAAATATTCATTTTATATTTTAATTATTACAAATCTATATGTTCAGAATTCTTTATTCATGTCCAAGAGAGGCAGGTTAAGTGTGGCAATTTCTTTAGTGCATTCCCTATAAGTTTTATCGGCCCATTTACTCCATCTAATCTGCATTTTCTTTAAATTAATACTATTTAGTCATCGTTTTGGTTTTTGATCTGCTTCTTAGTTTGACACGTGTCCATGAAAGTAGACATAGAATCTTGGTGTTGCATTTCCTCAGAATTAGATGGACTCTTTATTGCCTCAGCCCTATATATAACAAAAAGGGTCCAAACATTAATTTCAAGCATATGTTATCACAAGCATTATAAAAGGAAACCATTATTATAAATATTATCATACATCTACATATCGACACATATATACAAAGTAGAGTTTGTTTAAAGTTCAATTATAAAATAATGATGGATAGATTTTGGTCGTTGAGATTGTTTGTTGCTATCTTTCTTTTCATCCATTCTCCAATTTGTTCTTGTGACAAAGGTAATTTACATACATATATATTCGTATACAATATTATACACATGTTAGTGTGAGGTTAAAGTTGTACTCCCTTTATCGCAGCTCCAAACTACTCCTTCATGCGCGACGCGACAGGGACTCCAACGACGTCGTACTACGATTACATCATCATCGGTGGTGGAACCGCCGGGTGCCCTCTAGCCGCAACGCTGTCTCAAAACGCTAGCGTTTTACTACTTGAACGCGGTGGTGCACCATACAACAACCCAAACATCACGAGACTCTCGGCTTTCGGAGCCGCTCTCTCTGATCTGTCCGAGGACTCACCGTCTCAGCGTTTCGTATCGGAGGACGGCGTCATTAACGCACGTGCCCGAGTTCTCGGCGGTGGAAGCGCTCTCAACGCCGGCTTCTACACACGTGCCGGAACCAAATACGTTAGGTCAGTGAGTGCATATGTATACACTACAGGCATGCACGTCTACATATACATTTTACGTATGATGAATTTTATTTGTTTAACTCCTCTAAGTATCTATAACTATATTATGCATATCACTAATTCATCACACACACAATTATGCATAACTACAAACGAATTAAAAAATTATATATATGAGTAAAATTTGCTAGGGCTCATATATATTTAGTACAGAAGTACTAGATATTTATTGTTGCTGTTGCGTTTGGTGCGGCGATGTTACAATAATTAATTAATACGAATTGAAATGTTGATAGGAACATGGGTTGGGACGGAGCGCTAGTGAATGAGTCGTACAGTTGGGTCGAAGCCAAAGTGGCGTTTCAGCCGCCGATGGGGCCGTGGCAAACCGCCGTGAAAGATGGCTTATTGGAGGTTGGTATCGTCCCTAACAATGGATTCACTTATGATCACATCAATGGCACCAAATTTGGTGGTACTATATTTGATCGAAACGGCTATAGACACACTGCCGCCGATTTGCTAGAGTACGCCGATCCCAAGGGTATTACCGTCCTTTTGCATGCCACCGTTCACCGGATCTTGTTTCGGACTCAAGGTACGTAGTTAGTATAGTAATGTACTAAGGCTAGAATAAATACATACAAATGTAGGTGGTGATAAATTAATTTCTAGTTTTTCTTTTAATGAAAAAGAAACTATACGACCTATTTTGCATGTCTTAATTTTAAAATTTGAAAAAGAAGTAAAATATAATACGTAATTCTAAGTTAACGATTATTTATAAGTAACTTTTTATAGATAAACTGAAAATAGAAAAACAATAACGTGGCAAATTAAATTTAGTTTTGCAAGTTGTTTTTATTGAAATGGGTTTAGCCTAGCATTTGTGAAAACATCAGGATCTATATTTTCACTATATATCTTTTTTAAATTCCCTTGATTCATCACAGTCTTTTATCAATTATGATGAGCTAACTATCAAATCTTCAATTAATTTACGTACACGTTTCAGGTACCACCAAGCCTATAGCCAACGGAGTTGTGTACCGAGACCGGACCGGCCAGGCCCACCGAGCTTACCTAAAGGAAGGCTCATTTAATGAGATCATAGTATCGGCCGGAACCCTAGGGAGTCCACAACTTTTAATGCTAAGCGGCATCGGACCATCGGCCCAATTACAGGCCCAAAACATCACGGTGGTGATGGACCAGCCTTATGTAGGTCAAGGCATGTACGACAACCCCATGAACGCCGTGTTCGTACCTTCTCCGATCCCCGTTGAGGTCTCACTCATCGAGGTTGTCGGAATTACCGGCGAAGGAACATACGTAGAGGCTGCTGGTGGCGAGAACTTTGGCGGTGGTGGTGGTAGTGGTTCATCCACTAGAGACTACTACGCAATGTTCTCTCCGAAAGCAACACTAGTAGAGTCAAAATCAATGCCCAAGTTATCATCAGCCCAACCTTTTCAAGGAGGCTTCATTTTAGAAAAAGTAATGGGCCCACTATCCACTGGTCATTTGGAGCTCCGGACCCGAAATCCGAATGATAACCCAGTTGTGACTTTCAACTATTTCCAACACCCGGACGACCTAAAACGATGCGTTCGAGGGATCCAGACCATAGAGAGAGTTGTGCAGTCTAAGGCGTTTGCGCGGTATAAGTATTGGGATATGTCTTTCGAGCATATGCTTAACCTTACGGCGAGTACTCCAGTCAATCTAAGGCCACGTCGCAGCGGTCCTGGAGCCTCGTTGCCTCCATCCGCCGAGGAATTCTGCCAACATACGGTTACAACAATTTGGCATTACCATGGAGGATGTGTTGTGGGTAGAGTGGTCGATGGTGATTATAAGGTTATTGGTATCGACCGGCTTAGAGTCATTGATATGTCGACCGTTGGTTATTGTCCCGGGACAAACCCTCAAGCGACGGTTATGATGCTTGGCAGGTGAAATCAATCATAAATAATTATTATCTTATACATGCATATACTTTTTTTGACTAACGGGTTATGGATTTTTCGGTGACTTGAATATTCGCATGCAGGTATATGGGTGTGAAGATCTTGAGAGAGAGGCTCTCCAAGAAGTAAAGTTTTGAATCGGATCAGGGATTTGTGAAATGTTGCCAAAAATGAAACGAATCAATATCTTATTGTTCAATGTTTTAAATAGCTGATTATATATTGTACTTGGTACTTATCGTTTTGCTTATTATTGGGCCAACTTGACATGCATAGACATGTTTACCGATAACCACGCTCTGTTCATATTCTATATCTAAGAAAATCACACTATATTAAGGTTTACGAAAAAATCATATTACTTGACCAGTACAAAACTAGAAACATACTGAAATTTTATCTTGATTCGAAATTTTTACCGTGAGTATACAATAATTATGAATTAATTATTACGTACCATAACCTTGATGTTGAAAAAAAAAACACTATGACCATGATTGATATGGTGGAGGATTTATTCCATGAGGTTATGCCATTAGCTATTCTCTCATTATGCTTTTTGATTACTTAAAAATGAACCAGAAAAAACTTTTTTAATTTAAAAGAAAGAATCGGAAAACTAATTGAATATCGAATAACTTTGTTGAATTAGAAAAGTGGGATTCACGTGTTTGTTATCACAAAATAGTTTACCAATAACAACCGAAGAAATTGATATTTATTTGCAACCAGGAGGTGTTTTGTTAACAATACAAAATTTGCAAGAAAAAAACAAATAAGAATTACAAAACACAGAGCACATTACAGATGGATTATAAGCCAAAGCATAAATCAACAGCAAGTACACATAATAAATAAACACAACACTTTGTAAACCCATAATAGCTCCTCTGTTCCAATTTTGGTTCAAGACCCTAGTCAATTTTTCAACCTTTGATCTCAGTTTTCTTGTTGGGTTCGAACACAAACTTGACAAGAGATTCCTTTATAGACAACATCTCCGGAAACTCTGTTTTCAACTTGGTGGCATCAAGCTCATTGTTGCTCCTCGGAGCTACAATCACTTTCGCCTGTTCTTCCAATGTGAAGTTCTTCCAAGTGAAGCTCGGATCAATGAACTCTCTGTACATCTCCAAGACCTCGTTGTGGCTCACCACCCCCGGATTGGTGAAGTTCCATACCCCTGTCAAGTTCCGTTTCGCCATCTCCACTGAGATAGGGAGGAGCTCGTCGAGGATTGTCATCGAGTTTGGGATGTCCACGACTTTCTCGTACCGAGCTATCTTCGTGACGAAGTTCCTCGGGTTCGTGAGATCGGATGAGATGGGCATCCTTACACGGAGTGTGCACACGTTTTCATAGTTCTTGAGCAGTTCCTCTACCTATCATATTAGCAAATCAAGAACCATGATTAGAGCCATGTTACTATCACAGAACTAATCTGTTACATTGAACTAATTATACATTTCATAAACTCTAATCCAAAACGGGACGAATCTGAAACCTTTTGTTAATTAAAGGGATGCAAGATGTAAAGTGAAGAAATTTCTCACCATAGCCTTGGTCTTGGAGTAGAACGATCCGGTGAAATTAGGGGTGTCCTCTTCCTTGAAACCGAGACCCGACCCGAGAGGATGACCCGAATCGTACTCGAATATACAACCCGTGGCGTAATTGATCAACACGAGGCCTCTCTCCTTGCAAACGTCGGCAAGAGTTAGGGTCCCGACGACGTTGGTACGGATGGTCTCGACCTTGTGTGATTCGCACCAGTCTACGTTCGGTCGTCCGGTGACTCCGGCGGCGTTGAACACATGGCTCGGCTTGACGGAATCGAAATCGGAAATGAGCGATCGGCGATCCTCTAACCGGCCCGAACCGTAGGTGTAAGGGATTCCCTGAGATTCGCAGAGCTTTCCGAGAATACCGCCGATCCAGCCAGTCCGGCCGTAGATTAGGAAGTTTAGAGACGCCGACGAGCCGTTTGCCTCCGCACCCATGATCTCTGCCGCCGTGCTCGGAGATTTCACCGGAGAAACAGAGAAGAAGATGAAGAAAGAAGAAGTGGTGAGACTGTGCATCTCTGACTTCAGTGGTGCTATTTTATCTTATTTTTGAAGGAGAAAACTTCAATTTTACCACCCCATTTTATTTATGTTCACAAGTTGGCCCAAAAGTTTAAAATTGTTATCTGGCACCCATCGAACAAGAGTAACACTGTAAGTTATAGGTGGTTCGGATGTTGTACAACAAAAATTATTGATGAATTAGAAATTGAGCGAATTGGTTTTGTATATATTGTTCAACTGAATTGAAGAGAAGGAACTAAATGTATTACAATTAGTCTGGATTTAGGACGAACAAAGTTACTGGGGTAAAATCCCTTGGATTTGAGGGTGTTTTAATTTGGATGCTGAACAAAAGGGACTATAGTGGCCAAGTTTTAAAGTTGAGGTAGAAAGTTGTAATTAAATTTAAATTATTATTTCAGACAGACAGAGGATCTGTCAAGGCAGTGGCGTGAGGAATTAATTAAGACGATGAGATTACCGCGTAATTGGTGATTGATTACTTATATTTAATACAAAAAGTAATTACGATATTTTTCTTCTGTAGAATACAACGTTTTTTATGTGTTCATTATTTTTCTTTCTTTTTTATAATTTAAACAAGCCACTTGGTCCTAATTTGGAACCTCGCCTCACTACGGCAAATTATATATTTATATCTACCTATAGAAAATAATTTCATCTCTAATCATGCATCCATCCACGTCACAACTTTCCCTTGACTAACCGATTAATCTACAAATAAATAAACTAATTGTATTATACGATAGTAATTCCTCGATGGCTTCTTACAAACCTCAAAAGACTATAGGATACACATAAGATAATCAACAATAATAATGGTGGTCTAGTTATTTTTATTATAACTGTGACTATGACTAGACAGTATAAGAGCGTGAGTAATTGGAGTGCCAGAGAGGTTTAACGAAATTAATCACGAACATTGCGCTTAGAATTGAAGGATGCGAGGTATTACTGAGATTTGTTTTCCCAATTCCTCCCCCGCTATTTGATGAACCAATTGTCGATTTTTAAAAAACTGAAGCCCCTTCACCAAAATTGCGTTGACGTCTTCTTGCATTATACATTTTCAAAACTCTTTATTTTGTACTATATACTTTTAATTTTCAAAAAACAGTTTGAGCTTGAGTAAACGCCTCCAAATCTAACTACTTTTTTTTTTTCTTTCTTGGTTTGCTTTCCACAAGTTCATGTCTCTCCATTAAGTGTTGATGAACCCATGAAAACAATAGAGAATCAGCTTTTGAAAAGAAGAGCAACCCTAAAAAAAAACTCCAATAGCTAGTTGATGTTATTTCTACCATGATACTTTATTTATTGAATATATATATACACTAATTTGAAAAACTAAAATATTATATCAAGTCTCTTCAAATGAAAAAAAGACAATTATATATTTAAAAGGGACAAAATCGATTTATTGGTTAAATAATTTCACACAAAAAAAAGACAAAAAAAACGAAAAAATTCACATGAGATAACAAAACGAAAGTCTCTTGATCAAGAAGTAGTGTTGACTTCAAGACTTGATTATGAAGAGTTATATCACAATTAGGTACATACAAACATTATACATACACGTAGATGTATAACATAAAGCCGGGCCATAATCCCACAAACATAAGGCCACTGAAACTTCTAAAAATCCAAAAAATAAAACAAAACAAAAAGAGAGAGAAGAAACCCCGTTTGAGTTTGCAAGGGAAAAAGCGTAATCTCAACGGAAGTTGGCGGTGCTCTTGTAAGTTATACCGGCGTTCCAGTTAGCCGGAGCAACGTTCCAGGCATAGATGGTTTCACCGGTGGTGTAAGAAGTGACCCGGAAAGAGAGAGATTGGCCGTATAGAGAGGAAAAGGCTTGGTAAGAGGCTCCCCAATTGTGGCTCATGCTTATCCAATTCGTTCGGCTACCTTTCACGGCCATGCTCTTGATGTCTCCGGCGCCGCCGACATTCATAACGAAAATGAGAAGCCAATAAGCATTGCCTTGGAATTGAAACCTCATACCTCCAACCCTTTTGCATGGGACTCTACATATATCAAATCACATAACATATAAATTAGTTACAGAATTTTAAGTGTCGTATATATATAGTAAGGTTACTACAGAAACGTGTCTCTTTCCAAATATCAATCAAACATAATCACTTAAACTTTTGTTGTTGTTGTTGTTGTGATTATAGAGTTTATAGTTTGTAAACGTTTTCACAGTTCTAGCCGAAATATTTGTATAAGAAAAGTCAGTCAACTCAATTAATATAAATATTCTAAAATGAGATATACCTGCGGTATGCGACAGGGATGATACCGGCCTTCCAATTAGCGAGTTTCATGAAAGCCGGTTTAGCCATATCGAAATGGGTTCTAGGAGGATTGCACCAACCACCGTTGTTGGAGTCTTGGTACCAGTTAGGAGGGCAAAGGTTGGTGGCTGTGACCACCGTTGATGGGTTTCCATAGTAACAATGCGGCGAATTCCTACACATTATTTGGAAACATTGTCCACACCCGTAACCGTCTTTGAACAGCGTCGTGCTTAGCGCCGCCGTGGCTACGCCGTAGCCGCTGTTAAACAGGTTTCCGTACCCACATGCACCGCCTGCATATATATAATATATACTTATTATGTCATTGATTGTATGTATTGTTAGGTATGTAGCTAATATTGTTATCGTCAGGCATGGTCTATATAACACATGCATGAACAATGATGGATTTATAGGAATATATAGTTTTCTTATGTACCCATGGTTTCACTAGCGGTCTCGTCGCCGTAGAAAGTGGCATGAGCGTATCTCCACGGGCTCGGCTTGTAATACCCGGCGACGAACTGACCCGAGATTGCGAAAAGTATGAAAACTATTGCAAAGCATTTGTTGAAGCTCCAAGAACATGTGATCGGACCCATATTTAGTTTCTTTTTCTTTTTTTGATGATTTTTTTAGGGTTTGTTGTTTTTTTTGTTTGTTGATGAAGTAAACGAATTAGAGACAGTCTTATATAGAGATGATTTTTAACGATGGTAGTGGTGGTAGCTACGTGAGGGTCATGATCCCTTTTTCCGTATTTTTATTGGGACTTTTGTCCGTACTGACTGGGATTTGTTTCATTTCATTGAATATTTGCAATAGAAGTATTAAATAAAAATTAGAAAAAACAAGTCAAATTGTTGTTTAAAAGAATTTTAGAATATATACTGTATAGTATACAAGTTGACGTGCAAGCAGGTTCTATAAGCGGCTCTTGTACCGACTTTATCCAGTCTCCTACGTGCGTATATACTAAACAATTATAATGAAATTCTTTTCAATGATTAGTTTTTGTTGGGGTCAATAATAGTTTTTACATTAGTGTTTTATATTGTCGTTCTAATGTTTTAATATATTAACAAGTATATTATGAACTTCGTTTGAAAGAAAAAAAGTATATCATGAATTTAGTAAGTAAATGCTTCGGGATGTTGGAAAAAAAAAATAGTAAGTAATGTTGTGGGTGCTTAATTCTTCTTCTTACGGCTGTCTTGAAAAATACATATTGACCTCTAAAGCTTTTGTGTGGTCAAGTAGACTTATTGGCTTGTTTTTTTCAATTTATAAAAATAAAACGGTGTATAATTTATGAGTGAAGCGTTAAATTTAAACAAATTCAAGAAAATTAATTTGTTATAATTCAAACGTTAAAGTTTAATTATTTTATTCAGGAAATACTAGAGAATTTTTTTCATGCATAGATTTTAAAGATTCGTAGTGAATTGTTGCGATTCAAATGCTCACAATCTTTCCTTTTTTATATTTTAACAAACATCCTTGTAGTTGTATAACAGGGTTAGTGGCAATGAGTTACTTACCATTATTACAACAATCCAAATTATTCAGAATATAACTGAATCAACTTTATTATCAGCCCTCTTGGCTAAAACCGGAAGTTCACACTCAATCGAGTTCAATGGGGAAGATCAAAGGCTGGTCCAAGAAGAACGCTTTCAAGTTAGACAGAGTAACCTCTGTGACATTATTCAAAGACTCTGCCGTCATTCCAGCAGAATGTGGAGACAAGACAACGTTTTCAAGACCAAACAGTTCTTCAGGCACTTCCGGTTCGTTGTCAAACACATCCAAACCCACTCCCCAGATCACTCCTTCGACCAGACAGTTCACCATCTCCTTCTCATCTATAAGCTCGCCTCTCCCTATGTTTATGATAACACCATTCTTCCCAAGCGTCTCCATCACCTCTCTGTTCACAATGTTGTGTGTTTCATCAGTCAGAGAGCAGGAGAGGATGAGGACATCGTTGTCGGCTGCTAAAGAGAGAATATCAGGATGGTAAAAGTATGGTACGTCTGGTTTCGGGCTTCTCGAGTCGTAAGAGATGATGCAGCCAAAGGGATCGAGTCTTTTGGCGACTAGAGAGCCTATGCTTCCCAATTCAACTATCCCCACTTTCTTTTTGTTTAACTGTATAGTTCAAGATCATAGCCATAAACATACTGTCAAAAATTGGAATAGTATAAAAAAAAATACAAGGAGAAATAATGTTGAAAACAAATGTTTTACTAATTAACTGACTTTGGGATGTAAATAAATATATCAAATTTCACATATAGTCCATCCATTTCGTTTAAAAAATTGTTTTGGGCGAATTGGCGGAGTACTCGTGGAATTTTTTTAAACCGATCAAACTTGACCGTACCCAAGGCAGGCCCATGGGGCAAGCAGGAGAAGACAAAGATTAGGGTATCAGAAATTTTAGGGGTATCATTTTTAAAAATATTCAATATTATAATTATTTATTAATATTTATACATATATATATATATAATTTTAAGTTAAAGTTTATTATGAATTATTTGTAATCTACAATGTCAAAAGAATATTGAATGGACTTTATTATCGATTTAAACAATTATGGTTGGAAAACTATATATTATATGTATTTAATGAATAATTTTACAAGCAAATGTAAAGAAGACTATTTTTCATATATATATATATATATTTATAAACTATTTATAAATTTATTATGCTTGTTTAAAATTGGATTTTTTTTAATAAATTTTTTAACTATAATTTTTTTATGTTAAATACAATATAGAAAAAAAATATTTTATATTTGAAAAAGACATCAAAATTCGTCGGATCGGCACTGACCGTACCACTCACAAACATGAACATAAGTCTCTCAACAAAATCTCTCAAAATGTGATTTTAAAACTATATTTAATATTGAAGAGATTTTGGTGTGAGTACTCTTTCAAAATTTTGTGATATTCACCTTGGTCTAGCTAGTTTTTTTGTTAACTTTTGTTAGGTGATAGACTAAGATGCTCTAACAAGTTACCAAAAAAATTACATAATAACTGGAGATCATAAATAAATAAGTTTGCATGCATATAGCACTCAGAAACAAAATATTCGAAACAAACCTTGAACCCAAATGGATAGTCCCAGAGTCTCGTCCACTGACCAGAGCGGATGTATCGATCTAGGGCAGAAATGCGGCGAAGGACGCTTATAAGCAAGACAACAGCAAGATCCGCCACGTCCTCCCCATACGCGTCGCCGGCGTTCGTGACCACGACACCGCGACGCCTGCACTCGTCGAAATCGACGTGATCGACGCCGACGCTAGCGCAAACCACTATCTCGAGAGAAGGGAGGTTTGAAATGAATTCAGCGGTTATCGGAAGCCTACCGACGCTGACGACGGCTCTGATGGAGGCGGCATGACTCGAGAGGAAGTCCGGGATCGGGTCCGGTGAGGTGTGTGTGTAGAGAAGGGTGAAAGGTTTGACTCAAAGGCTCATCTATAAATTCCATAGCCGGAGGCCTGTGGACGAGGACGACGGGAGAAACTAAAGACTCCCTCTCCATTTCAAAAACCTTACTAACATTTCTTGTAATCCACCGTAATTAATTTCTTTATATAAAGCTCAATTGTTGAATTGGTTAAGTAAATAAGTTTTGTCAAGTCGTTTTGATAGATTGTAGACTTATAGTATAGATACGTGACAGGCAGGATTTGAGGAGGTTCTATAGCTTTGGTCTTTTTTTATATATTTTGACATTTACCGGGTCTTATACTCACTTTGATACTTTATTCGTGTGTGTGCGTTGGTCTAGCCATAAATTACGTCCTAAAGTAACATTGTGACAAGTAAAAGAGATCATATATATAACTACCATCTCTAAAGGATCTTGGGTTGATCCATTTATTGGATTTGAGATGAATTCATAATTAAACCACTCTTAAGTTTTTTTTTTTCGTCACCCTGCTAAACAAAAGGAAAAGTTGCACATTTTTGTGTGCTAAAAGCTACACTTTTTCCCTTATGCTATGTAGATTTGATATGATCACTAAAATAAGAGAATTTAGTTTAATTACACATTAGCTTTTTGAATTAATTCTCTCTCTCTGTCTCCTCCTATAATATATAGGGGATTCCAATGATCAACAATACACTTTTTTTTTTTCTTAATCGTTCAATCATTAACAAATAACAATAGATATTTAGCAGCGCCTTTATATATTCCAATGATAATTAGCAGCGCCTTTGATCAAACCGGGCGATCCCTCAGTCCAACCGAACCGGGGAAATCAAAGGCTGGTTCGAGAAAAACGCTTTCAGGTTAGCCAGAGCAACCTCCGTGACATTGTCCAAAGACCCTGGCGTGGCCACAGCAGCATGCGGAGACAACACAACATTGTCCAAGCCAAACAACTCCTCAGGAACTTCCGGTTCGTTCCCAAACACATCTAAACCGGCACCACCGATCACTCCTTCGACCAGACACTTCACCATCTCCTTCTCATCAATCAGTCCTCCTCGTCCCACGTTGATTATCACCCCGCCCTTCCCAAGCGACTCCATCACTTCTCGGTTCACAATCTGGCGCGTTTGATCCGTCAGAGCGCAGCAGAGGACGAGGACGTCGTTGTTGGCCGCTAAGGAGAGAATGTCCGGGTAGTACCGGTATGGGATGCTCGGTTTATGACTTCTTGAGTTGTAAGAGATGATGCAGCGAAAGGGCTCGAGTCTTTTGGCGATTAGGGATCCGATGCTACCCAATCCAACTATCCCAACTCGCTTTCCGCTTACCTGCAACAAGACAGAGTTCAATAACCAGAAAGACCTTTCCTAACATAAAAAGATTCAATTTTTCTCCTCATCAAACTCAAACACGCTGTTTATGGCAGAAACTGACTGATGAATCATCCTTGGCTAACATCAACACACAAGGGAATTGTTTGGTTTTTCCGAAATGAATTGCAGAAGTTCAGTCATATTGTTCTCAGTCTAAACGAAACACAGAGAGATTATAAGGCTTATTATAATCCTTCGTGGTCCTAAATTCTCTTAACTATACATTTACTTCCACTACGAGAGACAGAGTTATCGTATCTAATCAAGTTTTAGCAACAGAGTCTCTGTACCCCACGATCTAAAGCTATCTCCAATCTGCAGAAGACACACCATCATCCATAAATCAACTTTTATTCCAAAATATTTAAAGCTTTGCATTTAAAGTCCCAATAAAGTATCTTATCATCACATCGAATCCTTGAAAAAGGGTTCTCCTACAGTGAGCTCAGAATCGAAATTGAAAGTTTCGATTTTTTTCGAACAAACCTTGGTCCCTAATTGGAAATCCCTCGATTTCGCCCAGTTACCGGACCGGACGAATCGATCGGCGGCCGGAATACGACGGAGGACGTTGATCAGCAAGCCGACGGCGCAATCCGCCACGTCTTCCGAGAACGCGTCGCCAGCGTTCGTGACGGCGATGCCGAGACGCTTGCACTCGGCGAGATCGACGTGATCGGTGCCGACGCTGGTGCAGACGAGTAGCTGGAGGGAAGGCAGGTGGGAGAGGAGCTCGGCGTCAATCGGAAGCCTGCCGATGTTGACGAAGGCTCTGATGGAGGAGGCGTGACGGGAGAGGAAGACCGGGAGTGGGTCCGGTGACGAGGCGTGAGTGTTGAGAATCTGGAAGTGACGACTCAGACGCTCGTCCAAATAATCCAACGACGGCGGCCGGTGAACGAGGATGAGCGGAGGAGCCGAAGATTCCGCCATTGAGACTTCTTCTAATCTGAGACGACTGTTGTTGAGTAGCAGTCGCTTGACTCTCTTTATAAGGACTCTCTGTTACTTGTAACCAACAAACTATTATTCGCTAATTACGGCATGCTAAATCATTGTCAGTATTCTAATTACATTTGTTAAAACTAGTTTTATATTGAGAAATTAATTAATAGGACATTTTAACAACTACGTTTATCCCTTGCGGATACAAAGAATGTGTGTGTATGGAATCAAAAACCTGTTTGCGTCAATAAACATTAAACACATTCTCTTTTATTGAACATACAAGAAGAAATTACGGAAAACAAAATTAACATCGATACTCATAATTAATAATAATCATCCCATTTTGATTATCTTTTCTTGAAGCTCCGAGAGGTTAACATCTATTCCTTTCTCGACCTACACAATTTTAAGAATACTTATTCCCTTTTTCTACATATATTATAGTTCAGTGAAAAATATATTATAAGTTTATTTACCTCAGAAACAATAATGTGTATGAATCTTTGATGTAGCCTAGTGGAGATGCAACTAACAACGTTAAGGCATTGTTCTTGAGCCAGGAGTTGAAGAATGTTTGAGAGACAAGATTCGTGTCTGAAACAGCAACTTGCTACGACCTCGATACCGAGCAAACAAGTCCTAACCTTAACATCGATGTGTGTGTCTCCAACACATGAACAATATGATGATGCTGATGATCTTATAGGACATTCTCCAGTTGAAGATGGATGAGTAATAGATCTCTTGATTCGATCTCTTTTCTCGCTGACCTCTTTGATCTTCTTTTGTAAGTCTTTGATGTAATTCACAGCTTCTTGAACGTGATCTGACGAAGACCGTTTACCCTATTTACGCAGTAGTTCATTACCGACTTATCGTAATTAGTTTAAAGCCCTACTCGATAAAAATTAGGATTTGTATGATAAATTTTAACTTTTGAAACCATAATCAAATCGAGAGGATTTGGGATAACATTATTAAAAATAAAGATTTGTTTATGGATCTACTTAATAAAAGACGATAATTAAAAATTTATAAAACGTTTTGTTTACCTTAATGTAGTGAAATGGCAATATATTTCTTAGATTCTGAAAAAGAGACGTGACTTCTTGCCTTCTTTGTCTCTCAATCTCTCTATGTTTCGCTCTCTTGTTCTTCGGCTCAACATTTTCTTTTGTGATTTCATCTGTCATGGTCGTCTCGCGAATTCTTTGTCTTCCATCGTTTTCTGTACCGGCACAATGAATGATGGGATTCGATGGATTAGGTTCTTGGAATGATATAAACGTCGAAGGAGATATCAAACACGAAAAATCCAGTTCATCTTCATAGGCAAAATTTACATTGAACAGTGAAGAAGATGCGAAATCCATGGGATGCCTTTTTTTTTTCTTTTTCTTGTTGGTGGTTGTGGGAACTTTTTTTTTGGTAATAAGAGAATCTTTGGGTGCTATGAGTTTTTTGTGAGCCATTTTATACTATCAAATATTTTTTGTTTTCCTGTTTTCGTGTGATTATTTTTTTCCTTCTTTTTTAATAAGACAGATGTGACGGCAGATTTGTAGCTTCAAAGAACATAATAACGTTATAATCCCCGAAAGATACGAGAGTACGTAGTCCTACACGAGTGAGTGGGTGATACTAATTAATACTTGTTTGTATCTTTTGTCAGAAGTGGGTGATACTAGATATAAGATTAAATTATTTCGGAAGGCGTTTATAAAAATTACTTGAGCTGTTCATTTAGCGGCTTGTACGTTTAAAATGTGCGTTATGCATATCCTTTCGTTTTATTCGACAGTAGATTCTTGAAAGAAAGAATTATAAAAGCTAAGCCAAACTGTTTCAACGTTAAAGAGAAAAATCGTACATTGCATTTGATAACAAAAATAAAAATGATATATGTTGATGAGCTAAACCAAGCACCCTAATCCGACTGATCAACATTTTTGTTCTTTTTATAGAGTAGTCGCTCGAAGAAACCAATATGATTTGTTTAAGATTTACATTTTTTTTGGATTAGATCCAAGAAATGGTGTGCATGTTATGTGATATATATATATATATAGATGTAAAATCATAATAAAATTAAAACTCTATAAGCCTATAACGTACGTTACATCCCCGACCAAATGTTTTTATTAAGTTTTGTGACAGTATAGGCAAGATATGAAACTATAGTAAATGAAAATCATGTGTATGTGTGCTGTGCAAAATATCATATTACATGTCCCAAATTAAACGAGGGCCACCGATCGAGGACGAGTGTAGTGTATAGGGACGTTAGTCAACAAAACGGAAATCAAATCTTCCAATCGATTTTTAATTCATAACATTTTCACGTTACGAACTTGTATATTGTTAAAAAAAAAAAAGCCTATGTAAGATACCAAAAGATGCCGAAAAATATTGTTTACTATGTGATCTTTAAAAAACTTTTAAAAAATTGTTTATTATATAAGCTTTCTTTTGGTCGCCCAATAGCATTTTAGTCTTAAAACCTATTGGCTATATTTTTATTGCGATATTGTTTTGTATAAAAAAAAAAAAAAGTTGGTATTATATGATTTTATGTCAATTTCATGCGAAAAGTGTAAATGGTTATTTTATATCAAATGGAGTAGTACTATGAAATAAAATAAATTTCGTTTCAAGACACGATGGCATGCATGGCAAGTGGCAACTAAACAAAAGTTTCGTAGCATGGATCACACCTGTTTAGGTGGGGATGTGGGTGAAACAAAAGTTTCCCTTGATTTATCATTAAAAGAATCCAACTAAAACTTCAAAAGTATTATCCATATGATTATGATGCTAATACTCGTTCAACATATGATGCTTTTTGCATCTTCGGATTTGAACCGTGATTTTTGTAAGATTTTGTTTTTAGACTGTATACACTTTTATAAGCAACAAACTAACAACAATTTAGTTTTTAAAAACAATTTTCTTCCTCACGATAGTTAATGTCGATATCTCGTTTACCCCAAATGTATCATAGCTAAGAATCAACTAATCCACTTGTACAAATTTGAAGGGTTAACATTAGAAGGTTCCTTAATCACAAGTTTTTCAACTACAATGGAGATTAAGAGGGATATAATATTCCAAATTATTCATATAGGGGGCAAAATTAGAGTCTAATTGCGAAGGATGGCGTGGACACTTGAAAGATATTAAATGATTTTTTTTTTTTTGCATTAATTGATGAATTTTAATGAATTAAAGGGTTAGATATTGGGGTCAGGATTAGGTCTGACATTTCCATCTTATAGAGATGCGGTCCATTTGATGATCTTCTTCCAGTTGTGTACGTATTGATTCATGAACATGACTCAACTGTCTCAACATGCTATCATTATGATAAACATCACCATTCAGCAAAAGGTCATGCCATGATCTGTATCTCTACATGAAAGAAACAAGTGACAATTGCTGAAGCTTCTTCTATTGTGTACCATCTTCGTTTCAACTTACAAACCGATAACCCAAATCTCATTTCCTAATGTAACCTCAAAACAAATACTATAAGTTAGAAGATAAAAAGGTTGTGCAACAAAAAAACTACTAATAAACAAGAAAACAACTTGAAAAATAATAAATTAGCTAATAGCTACTCAAATACAGTTGACTCAATACAGTGTTGCATCTGCCATTTGGGGGGGGGGAAACCAAGTCCTCTTATATTAAATTATATATTTTGTGGCAAATTTGTTTATTTATTTAATTATTTATTACTGTAACCAATCAGAACCGGAATTAAAAAAAAAAGGAAATGCAAATTAGAAATCTGGGAGGAAGGAATAGTGAGAGATGGCGATGGCGAGGAAGATCAGCAAGGAGGAAGTTGTAGAGAAGCTCAAGGACGACGGAGATTTCGACCGTCTCCGCCTCAAAATCATACGCCGCCTCAAGGAAAACGTAATCCCTCTTTCTCTTTCTCTCACGTCGTTGTAGTGCTCCTTTTGATTAGGGTTTATGGTCTCTCGATTCCCAATCACTTCGTCGTGGCTTCAGGACCGTAATAATGATAAAGTCGATTTCGTTTGTTGACGAACAGAAGATTGGATTTTGGAAAGGAATGTGATTTTGATTTGCGTCAATTGTATCCATCCTTGTAAACCAGCTGCTAATTTGACTTGAGAAAAGTCCTTTAATATAATAGCGATTCCCAACAATAGAAAAGTCCTGAACTTCGTCTTCAGGGAAATTCGTGTTACTGTATCATTTATCTAACAATAGCGATTGTTAAGTTTTTGCATTCAAGTTCATGTTAGCCAAATCAGATCCTAGAGGAAAAAGTTTGCTTTTTGATGTCTTTGATCATGGGATATAATCGTTGATTCTTCTGGCTTTTGTCAAGCATTATTTTTCTTCTTTTGCAATATTTGAAAGACTTAAGGAACTTGAATTTGGTTAGTGAAGCTGTTGGTGGTTGATGATCTATTACCCAGTAACTTTACAGAGTCCTTGAATCCACATCAATCCGTTGAATACGCATTTATCCTTTCCGCAACGTTGTCGAGTTTTGGATATACGTACATCTCGAGCTTTCTTCTTATGGACTGAATGTGTGTTTCCACTGCCTTCTGACTAATAAAGCGGTAACTTGATTGCAGGAGGAATTACGAAACAGCATGATATCAGTTGTAAAGGAGTCAACAGCTTTGAATCGACCCGGTGCTCAAAATATGAAAACCAGGCAACTCTCTGATGCCATATTTGAAGAAGTCGGGTAAGTTTACAAGATAGTCAGTGACTCTTGTTTGTTTGTAACTTGCTATGACAAAGAGCATACTGAAAAAGTTTGGACCTTTTGTTTTTGTCTTGTAGGAGCAAGATGTTGAGCCAGCTCTCAGATGGGTTGTGGGGGATAATAAGATCAGAGGACGGGATGAAGAATGAAATCAGAGAAACCGTGCAGTGCGTCTACGATACTTTATCACACCCTGGAGGCGTTCAAGACGGATCATCCACCAGAGAAGCGGAACATCATCATATCATCCCAACACCGGTTCCAAAAGGTGAAACCTCGTCTTGTCTCCCCCATTTAGACGCGAGTAAACATAAGCAAGCTCTGATTCATGTAGCTGTTGAAGGAAACAAAGCAGAGGCTTGTAGTAGCAGTAGCAACAGAGTTAATAGCATTGACAACAACAACAACAATGATGAAGAAGATCCTGAACTCCCTCCTGGTTTTGCCTAAAATTGTAATTATTAATTTTTTAGCTGTTTCTGCCACTTTGTATCCATAAAACTCCTCCAAAATATCATGTGATGTTTATTTCGTTTGGTATAATACACTATATAAATCACACATGGTATTCAGCAAATTGATCAATAGCATTTTCTCCACATTTTGTATGAAAATTTATATATGTTGATCTGGAAAAGCTTGTGATTTCATTCAACTCCATGATGCTTTTTTTCTTCTTCGTCACTTGTAAAATTAGTTTCGTGTCTTAACCGATTAACTCTGTTTTGTTTTAAGTTAAAAATGATAATCAAAAAGGTTGCGACTTTGTGAATGTGAAAGGAACAAAAGAGATAAAAGACGCATAAACTGAAGAACGAAAAGAATGGCATCAATTCTGAGGTCAGTGGCAACGACTACAGCCGTCGTAGCCGCCGCGTCTGCGATTCCCATCGCGATCGCGTTTTCATCTTCTTCTTCTTCTTCTCCTCCCTCTACCAACTCTAAATCCCAGTCTCTCAATTTCCCCTTCCTCTACCGATCGTCTCCACGTCGTTTGGGGATTTCTCGAAGCTTCGCTAACTCTCCCATGGCGACCGTTCCAACTTCTGACCGTAATCTCCGTCAGGTTTGGTCGAAATCTTTAGCCTTTTGAGTTACCCTATTTTTCCAATTACAGCTTTTTCCCTTTCCTAATTTGATGGTTAAGTAGCTGAATATTTTCGCTTACAATAAATTCGATCTGTAGGAGGATCTAGTCATGCCTCAGCTCCTTGTAAGCCTTTCTCTTTCCTATGACCCTCAATTTCTGATCAATTCGATACAACAATTTAGGATTCAGCTACTGGGAACTTACGTTGTGTGCCTTATTATGTTGTTGTTCCCAGACCGAGTTTATGGTTGATATGAAATGTGATGGTTGTGTTAGCGCCGTGAAGAACAAGTTAGAAACCATTGAAGGTAGTATGAGATTGTTATTGATCTAGTTGTTTACCCGGTTGTTGCGTGGGTATCATGTGTGTAATGGAAATTTAATATTTCAAGGGATTGAAAACGTGGAGGTGGATTTGACTAACCAAGTTGTGAGGATACTTGGATCTTCCCCTGTTAAGGCTATGTCTCAAGCCTTGGAGCAAACCGGTCGAAAAGCTCGTTTGATTGGACAAGGTGTTCCTCAAGGTTAGATTGATACCTCTTCTCGGACCATTCCTGTTTTTGAATTTAAAAGAAAAGTCTGATAATCAAAAGAAAGAAGGTGTCTCTTGTTAGCTCACAGAACCATGTAGGAGCCGTTAGATTACCATCTGAAACTCAGCAATTTGCACCCTCGAACCACTCATTAATGCACTGTCTTACAGTATGAATGTGGGGATAACTGATACAGTTTCATGGGTAGCCTCTTTTCTCATTCGTTGCTTTTACTTTGTGGCGTGTCGGCGGCAGATTTCTTAGTCTCAGCTGCTGTGGCAGAGTTCAAAGGCCCAGACATCTTCGGCGTGGTAAGGTTTGCTCAGGTTAGCATGGAGCTTGCAAGAATCGAGGCCAACTTCACCGGTTTGTCTCCCGGAACCCACAGTTGGACTATCAACGAGTATGGGGATCTCACAAACGGAGCAGCCAGCACCGGGAACTTGTACAACCCATTTCATGATCATACCGACACAGAGGTTTGTCGAACTCATTCTTAAAACATCAGATATCATCACAATACAGTACTCTAAAAAACTCAAAATCTTTCTTCTTTTGTCAGCCATTGGGCGACCTGGGAACACTAGAAGCAGACCAAAGCGGAGAGGCGTTTTACTCGGGGAAGAAAGAGAAGCTCAAGGTTGTGAATCTTATCGGACGAGCCGTGGTGGTTTACAAGACCGAGGATAAGAAGTCGGATCCGGGATTGACCGCTGCAGTGATCGCTAGAAGCGCAGGAGTTGGTGAAAACTACAAGAAGCTTTGTACTTGTGATGGTACTGTCATTTGGGAAGCTACAAACAGCGATTTCGTGACCAGTAAGGTATGATGACAATAATAAAATTGACAATACGCTACGCTTTGTATCAACTGTGACTTGTATTGGATCAACATTTGAGTGTCTTGAAATAAACACAAAGCTTTTTATTGGAGCAGACCAAAATTTGTGTAACGAATGCACTACGGGGACGGTTCAGAAACTAAGGTTTATCATAAAATTTTGGTATATATAATGTGTATATCAAAAAGTGTTCAATAGGTTTCGTGGTGTAGTTGGTTATCACGTCAGTCTAACACACTGAAGGTCTCCGGTTCGAACCCGGGCGAAGCCACTTTCGAGTGATTTATACATTTTAATATTTGACCAGATGTTTTAGATAATGTTTTGTTGTCAAGAAATTATGGCCCCATGCAAAAGCTTTAGTCCCACTACTTTTGGGCCCACTAGAGTTGGGTCGCACATGGAAACAAATGGTTCATACAACAGTCTGGCCCACTTGAATTATTCTTGTAAACGTAAGATGTGTTTTAAAATCATTAGAATTTTGTGCTATAAATAGTCTACTACTATATTATATAACCATCATATACTATTTTATTTTATTTTACACAAAATATAATAAGTTAGAAAATGACTTGACTTTCTAGTATTAAAACTTCAATTTAGTGAGAAAAAGAGAGTTATCATCAGACTTTAAACATTTTGTGTAATCTGTCTTGTTTTTTTGAACTTTTGCTTAATTTGTAATTTATCTTGTTTCTGGCTCATTACAAACTTTGTATGGTAAACTTCAATACATATTTATTTAGTTTAATTTCAGATCAAAGGATTAGTTGATGTTTTTTTAAAAAAAATTACCTAGTTGGTTTGTTACTATAAATATATACGTAGACATCCATCATTCTAAATTTCTTACTAAGCGACGCAACGTAATCATTTATCATCATTCATTCATTTTTTTTATTCATTCAATTTTGTTTTGACAATCTACAAAAGCAGACATTTCATTATTCGTGGAAAATGCTACGAGACAGATAGCTGGTCCTTCTAAGTAAAGATAGCTCCCTCCTATCACACACACTCGTATATATATTTATATCCACAAATGTATAGATTACTTAGCACATTTAGAGTTCTCTGTGAATACTTATGTTTTGTATTCTATATATATATAATAAATAACCATATAATTTGAGATCTTATCTAAAAACACTAGTGTGATAACGGGTGTGGACCGATGTGATAACGAGAAAATGATTTTATTGATCGATGCACGTCTTGAAATAGGACATGTAACCTCGATGATATATATCGTATAATACAAAACACGAATTTATTCATGATTTCCGTGTTTCATCTTGTCATATTTTTTCCTTTTCAACGTGGGCCAATTTCTTTTCTTTGTTTGTCAACGAACAATTTCTCGTTTTGTAATTGATTAAGGCATTAAATTATTCTCCACCATGTTAATTTTTGCCAACTCACATAAAGGATAATTTGGTAAAGTCCACGTGGTGCAAGTTGTTTTTTCCTTTTTCATTTGTTTTTGAAGGCAAAGTGATTAGTTGTAATAATCAACGTCACCTTACAAAAGTATTATTACCTTGGATATTAGCAGGATCGCATGCATAATCGGTTGGCAAAATGATAAGTGATGAACATATAAAGAATAATTTAACCAATAGAATGCAATCAAGTATATTTGCGAAGAATAATAATTCATTTTATTGGCCAAGTTCCCTTTTCTGGAATTATATACTTTTTTCTTTCTACCATAATTGGTATTGAAATTTTAGTACCTAGAAGATGAGTATGAGGCAGTGGCACATGCCATGATGCACACACATATACAATTTATAGATCAACGCGTGATTAATGCTGATGTGAAAGAAAAATCGCGTTATTATTTGCACAGATCTGATTTGATTTTGGTATACGTGACAACCTTTATTAAAATGTACTATTGTCAAATGTAAATGATTTATTATGTATCTTTTAAAATCTAAACATATACAAATATAAACACGTTGACCATTTTAAAAAAAAATTAGATAAGTGATTCGACCAGTTTTATGATTTAAACGTATAAAATATCATCAAATTTAAAAGAGAAAACGTATACCTAAAAAGTTTGAAAAATAAAAGACAAAAAAATCTAGACTTATAACTCCATAAAGAAAAAATATTATGTATGTATTGTATGATCTTCATTTTATCACTAAATTTAATTCCACAAGTTTCAACATTGATCTCTCTATACTGCACACTTGAGAGATGTACAAAAATCAAAACATATACTCCATGGAATCTTCGGATTAATATTTGTCGTAGTTGAATTGTTAAATAATCATAGGATTAATTATAAGACAGAAAGCATCTATTTGCTTCTCAGTAGCTGTATTGTAATAACTTTACATGTCCATCAATCAAGTTTTTGCTTGTGGATTATCCATTCTTTGAACGCCAGAATTAATTAGGGACAATAATTAAAAACAAAACTTGAAAGGAGAGGCATTGGACGGCTAATAAAATAATTAGTGTGCTTTAATTAGGCTGCGTCATAGAGGATTGTTTCCGTGAGGTGGACCTACTACCGACACTTCTGACTCTTGCTTGGACTCCGAACACAAGACTTCGAATCTTAAAATTATTTTTGTTAGATTTGTTTTTTTTTTCTTTTCTTTATTTTTAAAATAAAAAAATTCCCTCCAACTATCAGATCCAACGGCGTATATCACATAAAACCTTAACCGCTAAATCTGAATCTCCACCGTCCGATTCACATTCATCTTCCTTCTTCCTTCTTCCTTCTTCTATTTTCGTCCTTCGTATCACTCTCAGATCTCAAAAACCCAAACAAGGATAAAAAAACTCTCTCTCTCTCTCTCTATCAGAAGAAAGAGAGGAAACTTTCTATTACCATTTTGGCCCTAACAAAAAAATGGTAGAAGCTCAATCATGGACGACGCGGCGGATGAGCAATCCGAGATTCGACGCCGCCGCAACCGCCGCACCAGTCGTAGTCGACATCCCCGGAACACCCCCTCACTCATCCGCTTCCTCCACCGGAAAAGCCTTCTTCCTCTCCTCACCCAACGTATCTCCGGCCGTTCTCACGGCGGCGATAATCGCCGCCTGGTTCGGTTCGAACATTGGAGTCCTCCTCCTGAACAAATACCTCCTCTTCTACTACGGTTTCCGCTACCCAATATTCTTAACCATGACGCACATGCTATCCTGCGCCGCCTACAGCTCCGCCGTAATCAACATCGCCGGAATCGTGCCGCGTCAGCACATCCTCTCGCGCCGTCAGTTTTTTAAGATCCTCTCTCTCTCAGCGATATTTTGCCTCTCCGTCGTGTGCGGAAACACTTCGCTCCGTTACATCCCAGTTTCTTTCAATCAGGCAATCGGAGCAACCACGCCTTTCTTCACCGCCGTCTTCTCTTTCCTCATCACCTGCAAAACTGAGTCCACCGAAGTTTACTTAGCTCTCCTTCCCGTCGTCTCCGGCATCGTCCTCGCCTCTAACTCCGAACCTTCTTTTCACCTCTTCGGTTTCCTCATTTGCGTCGCTTCCACCGCCGGTAGAGCTCTCAAATCCGTCGTCCAGGTATTGGTTTTATCGATAAACCGGCTTAGAATGTATTGAGACCGAAATTGCGTTTCGAATTTCATTCGGTTTGCTTCCAAATTCGGTTTTTATTACACAACACATCTCGCTTAAAATCTGAAAGAAATCCAGAGGAGTTTAACCGGATCTTACTTTAACCGGAACGGATTTGAGTGTGAAACTGGTTTGTAATCGGATTGGTTTGGTTTAATCGAAATGCTGTGTAAATGCAGGGGATTATTCTGACGTCGGAATCGGAGAAGCTACATTCGATGAATCTACTGCTCTACATGGCTCCAATGGCGGCTTGTATATTACTACCATTCACACTCTACATTGAAGGAAACGTATTAAGAGTCCTAATCGAGAAGGCGAGGACGGATCCATTGATCATCTTCTTGCTCGCCGGGAATGCGACGGTGGCATATTTAGTAAATTTGACGAATTTCTTGGTGACAAAGCACACAAGTGCTCTCACTTTACAGGTTTTGGGAAACGGAAAAGCCGCGGTGGCCGCCGGAGTCTCTGTTCTTATATTTAGGAATCCGGTGACGGTGATGGGAATTGCCGGATTCGGCGTTACGATTATGGGTGTGGTTCTCTACAGCGAAGCTAGGAAGAGATCCAAATTGCTCAACCAGAAGTGAGAGTGAGAAAAGAGAATTTAAACCGGTGAAGTAATTTTTAATTTTTACGTTTTATTATTTTTCGGTTTAGTTTCTTCTTGATTCTTTTGAAATTCTGCTATTGTTTTGAACCGGTTTGGTTCGGTTCGAGAGGGGGAAAATCAATTTAATTGTAAATGGTTGAGATTGATTGGGGTAAACTATAAAATGGAAAAAGGGATTATATAATATAACAAAAGTGAAAAAAGTAGGGGGCAGAATTAAAAAGAAATAAGATTGTATCTTTCTTTTCGTTTCTTCTCTTGTACTGTTACGTTTCTTATCTTTGTCTTACCAAAAAATCGAAACATAGAGAAGAAAAAAGTTAAAAAGTAATAAATTTCTTTCTTCCGTTAGGCGGAATCGCATTGTCATACTCATATGGTTGGTTAAAATTGCACATTATTTCACTTTGTTTATTTTTGGCAACTTGCCCTTCCTTTTTTCTTTTTTGGCAACTTGCTCATTATTGTTTCACTTTTAACATTCTAGTACTATTTAACATTTTGTATTCTTGTAATAATCTGGAAATCACCATTTCGATCTAACAATGATTAAGCAGCTTCTTTGCTTAAGAGTTTGTACTCTGTTACAAACAGTTCAATTTTATTTGGATTTTTAATTATATATGTAATGTAAGTCACGAATTTTCTAACTATATATTCTTATTCTTTTTTTTTTTTGTCATCTGAAATTTATATTAAACCATTCGAACAGATACATTTGAAGGATACAAGTGAAAGATACATCATTGATAATCTAAAAAACAACTCATATATTCTTATTCTCTACACATATATGAAATTTTGTTGTTTACTATAATTGACGAGTCAGGCTCTACTCAGCTGAAGTAAAACGTAACGTCCAATATATCATCTGTATTATTAAATAGGTTTGATAAGATGTTGATGTTTTAGCTAATGTATGTAGGTTAAGTTTATCATTACCCTTACTTGTCGTGGTGTGCTCGAGTATAGGTAACTCTTTTAAGGTGAGTAAGACTACTAAATAATTTAGGCTTCTATATAATTAATAGTACTATTACAGATGACAGTACTAACGTGTTGTTGTTTCATTCTCATATAAGCATATATATAAATCTAACGTGTTGGTTGGAAAACTCAATTATTTTCTTCAAGAGTTTGTTTAAACTTCATTTTTTAGCAAAAAAGTGTAAAAAGAAATGAAAATAAGATGGGAGAGAGAGAGAGGGGTATAGTGACAGCTTATGTGAGTTTGTCATTTTGTCTTTTGGTCCACTCCATGCGAGGCTAATAAACTGATTTATTATAACTTTTGTAGTATTATTTTGTGTCTCACTGATTAAAAAAAAAAAAATTGTTTAGATAAAGGGAAAAGTAAAGCCAACAAGGGACCGAATTCATGAAAAAAATCTAGTAAAGAAGAAACATATATGCTATTCTTATTTTTTACATACAATTAGTTGCTCCACTTTTTGTAGTATTCTTTTTCCAAAATGTATACCAACTTTACGTTGTAGTATGTGATTGTAAATATGAATCTAAACAACGTGTTACGCGTATCATTCAATAATTTTCAGTTTTCACAATATCTTTATCCAAGTTCAAACCGAGCTGAATGTCACGTGAGCGGTAAATAAAAGACAGTAATTTTTAAGGTTAATAATATAAGATCAACGAGATGATCTTATAAATAGTTGGGTGAATGGGTGGAAGCAAGCAGCTGGACTGAAGTCTCTTTCTACTTGCTTAAAAGATGATCGAAATGGATGGCTGCGGGATCAATCCTGCTGGACTCAAGTCTCTTTCAGGCTGGATCAGTGGATGAAATGGAATAGAAGGATGGATCGAAGAACGCCACTCAAGGGTGTGAAAGCCCCTGTGATGAGTTCACAAACCTAGTCTCAAGGCATCGCACACAAGAGACATAGATTCAAATGTTTACTAAGTGAAGAATTCCATCTTGTTTAGATAAACAAAAACAAAGCCAAAGCTTTAAAGAAAAATCTCTTTTAATTTCCAAAAATTTCAATATCTTTTTACAATGAGAACAATGAGCTTTTATAGCTCTTACAAAAGATCTTTACAAATAAATACACTTAAATGAAATTATTTACATTTAAACAAAAAGAGAAAAATAAGCTAAATCAAATAATGGTCTTATTGCCACCAATTTTGCTTTGGACTTGAATGAAAATCCTTTGATTTTATAAATCATGAAAAATAGATTCTAATAATAATTCACATATTGAAGACCCTTGATTTAATGGTTTTTGATATTGTATCAGTTAATAGTGAAACTATTTTTGGTTTGGGTTTTGAAGTCCATTAATAAAGCCCATTTTGGCATGGGTTTTTGAACCTTTTCATTTTAGATTTAGATCCTACTATAATTTATGGTTTCAACCATTCATTGAGTAGAATCTTGTAGATTGTCAAGATTATTACCACTTAGCTAATTATAGTAATCTTGTTAGATACGTCACTAGGCGAAGAACGCTTCGACCAACTGATAATACTGCCAGTCAAACCACTTACCAATCTCTTGACATCAAAACCCATTTGATCTAACCGATTTCTTGACAATTTATATAAAACCCAAAGAATAATTGCTCAATGCTCAAAGTCTTTACTTAACCAAATGCTAGGTTGGTTACGGCAACGAACTGGGTTTGAATACATCTACTTAACCACCTCAAAATGAGCAAACAGAGATAGAATCAACTAAACCGGACAGGTCCCAACTTAACCGACTCAAATTTTGTTTCGATGACAAAAGAGCAAATAAGCAAAAAGGCATTTTGACTTTGTTTTGCATTTGAGTCATGTGACTAATGGAACGGCTTTTTCGTTGTTTTCACTTATTTTCCAAGTTGTTCGGATCGAAACACTTTCACGAGAAACCTCAGAAACTTTCCGGGAAAGTATATTGGTTCACATACACCATAAATCACACCATTCACCAAGCTTTCTCGTGATTTCTTCTCCTTAACCACAAACTTTTGCTTTTAAACTTAGTCCATTGCATCTCTCTATATACATCAACATGTATGCTCGCACAAGAGAGAAGAAATATCTTCTCCTCTGTTATCAAATATCGAATATCTTGTATCAATGGAACAAAAACAATCAACTTCTCGTTCCAATTTTGCCGACATCAATGAAGTTGGACCAGAAGAAGATGCAGAGCAAGAACCGCAACAGCAAGAGAACAACAAGAGATTTTCCGGTAATAACAGAGGACCAAACCGAGGGAGACAGAGACCATACCGAGGTTTCAGCAGACAGGTGTCTCTAGAGACGGGTTTCTCGGTGCTCAACAGAGAATCTAGAGGAAGAGATGACAAAAAGAGTTTACCGAGGAGTGGTCGTAGCTTTGCCGGCTTTGAAACAGGCGGAAACATCAACGGTGGAGATGTTCGGAAAGCGGATTTCAGTATCTTTAGGACAAAATCGACGCTCAGCAAACAAAACTCTCTTTTGCCTTCTGTAATAAGGGAGAGAGACGTTGAGAATTCCTTAAGAGCTGAAGATGGTGAGACCAAAGATGAATCTATATATGCAAATGTTTCTGCAGGAAGATACTTTGCTGCTCTTAGAGGACCTGAGTTAGATGAAGTCAAGGTAACACAACTTCTTCTTCTTCTTCTTTCATATTCTCTCTTTCAGGTCACAGCTTAGGTGAGTTCCAATTTGTATATCTCTTTCAGGACAATGAAGATATTCTGCTTCCAAAAGAGGAACAATGGCCGTTCCTTCTAAGGTTCCCAATCGGATGCTTCGGTATCTGTTTAGGACTTAGCAGTCAAGCTGTCTTGTGGCTTGCACTAGCGAAAAGCCCCGCTACAGATTTCTTACACATCACGCCATTGATCAACTTAATTGTATGGCTCCTGTCACTAGTAGCCTTGGTCTCTGTCTCCTTCACTTACATACTCAAATGCATCTTCTACTTCGAAGCTGTGAAAAGAGAGTATTTTCATCCGGTTCGAGTCAACTTCTTCTTCGCTCCTTGGGTGGTCTGCATGTTTCTAGCCATCAGCGTACCTCCCGTGCTCTCATCAAACAAAAAATCCCTCCATCCCGCGATTTGGTGCGTTTTCATGGCACCTTATTTCTTCCTCGAGCTGAAGATCTACGGGCAGTGGCTCTCGGGAGGTAGAAGACGACTCTGCAAAGTCGCGAACCCGTCTTCTCATCTTTCCATTGTAGGAAACTTCGTCGGAGCCATCTTAGCTTCGAAAGTTGGATGGAACGAAGTAGCCAAGTTTCTGTGGGCAGTAGGCTTTGCACATTACTTAGTTGTGTTTGTAACACTTTATCAAAGACTTCCCACAAGTGAAGCTCTGCCTAAAGAGCTTCACCCTGTCTACTCTATGTTCATAGCTGCACCATCAGCAGCAAGTATTGCTTGGAACACAATCTATGGCCAATTCGACGGATGCTCAAGAACTTGCTTCTTCATTGCACTCTTCCTATATATCTCCCTTGTAGTACGGATCAATTTCTTCACCGGGTTTAAGTAAGTTCATCTCAGGTTTATACAAATTTTTATTCGGTTTTTAAGATTGTTATTGATGCAAACTTATTAGCCTACGGTGCTGTGCAGGTTCTCAGTGGCGTGGTGGTCATATACTTTTCCGATGACGACAGCATCAGTAGCAACGATAAAGTATGCAGAGGCAGTACCTGGTTACCCTAGCAGAGCTCTAGCACTCACTCTTTCCTTCATTTCCTCGGCTATGGTCTGCGTTTTGTTTGTCTCCACTCTTCTCCACGCCTTTGTCTGGCGAACTTTGTTCCCTAACGATCTTGCAATCGCCATTACAAAGAAGAGACTTACTAAGGAGAAGAAACCTTTCAAGAGAGCCTATGACTTGAAGCGATGGAGCAAGCAGGCTCTGGCGAAGAAAATATCTGCAGAAAAAGATTTTGAAGCAGAGGACGAATCGCATCACTGATGAAAAAGCCATGGAATACAAAAAAAGGATATGTCTGATTGAAATAGTAGTCAAGAAAAAAAACATTTAGATACAGAGACACACAAGTAGGTGAGCAAACTTATTGTATGTATCTCGAGAAGCATGTTTAATAATAATATTACATTCGAGCACTCAAAATCACATTTCACACTCCAAAGCTAGCTGAAGAAGAGATCACACAAAATGGAAATTCACGGTGTGACACAGGTTAAACAGGCAAAGAAATGGTCCTCTGGTTTGCTAAGTTGGTCTGTGGCCGGAGATCCCATGAAGCAGAATGTTGTGTTTCCTCAGGTTTAATAAAAGGCAGAGCGATCTCATTGATCATTAGTTCTCCACAGAACGGGCATTCGCTGGCAATAGCATCATCTAGCTCTGATCGAAGCTGCATCACGGTAAGGAAATATGTCAAGCCATTGATGTCGAGAAAAGAAAAAAAAAAACCGAAAAATGAAACAAAATGTCCCTACCTTGTCTGCAGTAGTTGTGCTAGTTATGGGTTCATCAGATCGATTACCATTTATATCCCTCCGGGTTTCGCTACCAAGCAACGTCAGCTGCTTCTGCAGATCAAGTATATGCTCGGCCTAGACAGATTTCAATCCAAAAATGAGATCACAATTTTTAACAAATTAATAAAAATTAAGATACTAGTAAAGTAAATCTTTCTCATGATGGTTTCATCATGGTTCTAGACTTACTTGCTCTTCGTGTGCACAGCTTGTGACGTGTGTGATCAGGCACTGTGCATGGAAAGAGTGCCCACAAGGAAAGACATAGAAAGGAGCCAGTGGTCCAGCTGAAGAATATCCCTGGGCCATTCTGAAATCCCCGCTCATCATCAAGATCTTACGTTTACAAACCTGGAAATACATTGAAAATGGTAAGGTGTGTTGATGGTTTTGGTGCTTCCAAAAAACTTGATTTTTTAGATACAGGCTATATGATCATACCCCGCATTCCTCGTCGCGGTCGATCACAGCATATCTTTGAGTTAGGGCACTAATATCATTTCTAATGTTATCTGCACCACGTGTGGCATCATTCATCTCCTCTTTCAGTTGTTCTATTTGCTTGTTGTAGTCCTCGAGAGATGAGCAAATAGCTTCCTGCATAAGGGCAATGAAGAAACATAACGAGAGAGCAGAAGCGACTTGTTTGTGGGTCTGGAAAAGAGGAGAAGTTGACTAACCTTGAAGTCATCAATTAAGGCAAAGTCTGGAAAGAATGGCAAAATATCTTCAATCTTTAAAAGGCCATCAGTTTCCTTGAGAAAGGCAATAGCTTTCCTTATGTTTTCCCTTTTAGCTCCCTTTTCCTGCTTGACGACATGCTTTGCAACCATCAGCCACAGCTTCTTTCTCAAGTCTTCATCATCTTCAACCTTGTCAGCCTCAGCCATAGCAAGTTCTGGGTCAATCTGTAAAACAGAAACCGTTTTCAAACACTACCATAAGAAAAACTGAGACAAGTTGGAATCATACATGTGCCGGATTCAGTATCTTTCAGTAGCAGTTTTGTTTCAGAATTTCATAATCTAAAGATCACGCATAGAAGATTGAAGTGAATTATACTTGGTTTTTTATATAAGGAATCATTACCTGAAGAGCAAGGGCTACTGCCTCTTCATGCATAGACATCATGCTGTATATATGGACACAGGCACGAGTTCTCTTTTCCTTGAGACACAGGCGCAACGCATATTTGGGATCGTAGAAAAATTCAGGACCGTTATCTCGTCCTTTCCCAAATTTGCATTGCAGGAAACGAAGGAGGGCACTGTCATCTTCCTAATTGGATAATCACAAAGACAACAATTGTGTATCACTTTAGTAACTTCTGTCATAATCATACAGGTGGAAAAGGGACAATAACCGTCAATGTTGCTTTTCGGACTACATACAGGCTTTCTAAGGTTTTAGGGACCAATCAAAGAAAAATTATCAAAAGGAACCAACCAAACCTGCTTGGCATATAATGAGAGAAGTAAATTGTGAATTCCTGGATCCTCGTTATGCAAACGGTGGACGCAAAACTCAAGATATTTTATGACTTCATGTGTCTCGTTCCTGCATTTTGATTTGAGGAGTTATTGGCAAGATTAATAACACAACGTGAATGGAAATTTGACTGAAAAGTGAGCTATTACTTTGCATGAGGTTCGCTTGAGTAGCGCATCATTGCAGTAATTAGTCTCCTTGGATTAAGATTTTTATTGGCCATCCATGCTTCCACGGTTTCATACGCGTCAAGCATTATAAGCTCTGGCGCAAATTTATACTGCAATGTGTAAGAAAATATTATAGTTTCAGAACGAAAAATAGATTTGGAGACTAAATTTTTTTTTAAGATCCTGGTGTTACTTCTTACACACCTGAAGCTCAACTGAAACTGAAGATTTCTGGAGCACCTCCAAAGCCTTCTTTGCTTCCCCTTGCTATTGGATAATAACAAACTCAGTAGATTGAACAAGCCTGAGTAAGATCTCGTATCTATATGGATCAATTAGGAATAAAAAATTATCACCCCCTTCACCTGAATATAATGGTGAATTACGATTTCATACTGCTCCTTCAGGTTTGCAAAATATACCAATTCTTCAACCCGACCATAGCTGCAAGAAACGAAAAAAAAAAGAGATAAAAAAAGAGGAAAGGCGGAGTTTCATAATACAAGCAAGATATTCTAGGAGATGTGCTTAGAACAGTCTTAAAAGAGAATAGCCTACTCCAGAAAAGGAAACTTGTGAAAATTACCTCTCCAGAAGTTTCATTGTGGTTGCCTCATCCAATACATCCTTGCAGTCGCTCATGAAAGCACGGAATTCTTGAATGACTGAGTGATACTCTGAGTTACGATTTTCTATAGCAGTGTCATCTTCCAAAAGCAGCCTATTTATCTATATCCGCATTTAAGAACCAAAAAAACAGGGATATAAGATAGATAGACTCAGAAAGGAACAGAAATCAAAAATCAACAAGAGGAACTATGACACCACATCAAAGGAAGTATATAACATCTACTGAAAATAAGAAACCCCAAATTATGTGTTTACTGAGAAGTGAGAACAGAAAATAAGTGATGCATAGAATCAAAAGTTAAACCTTGTCCAGATACAGCTCAGTTGCCCATGTTGATATCATTGTGATTTGGCATTTATCATCCTTTGAAAGAGTATCAAGCTTCCGCAACAGGAATGTTCTCAAAGCTTCCTGCAATCACATAAGGAATAAAAGGCAGTGAATATTCAAGCCCACATGTGAAACACATTTTTCTCTTCTGAACAGCACACACGGAAATAGTGATGTGATGTTTTGTGATGAGATTTCTTTATAGTATATAATTTATAACTAGCAAAGATACAAATGAAAATGTTTACCGGTTCGTTTATACTAATAAACTTCAAAGTGACCTCCTCAAACGATATTACATAATTGATCTGCATAGAAAACATTCAACCACGTCAAAATGAATTATATCATGTCAGAACAAAGTAAAACAAAGGATTTAGAAATTACTTTGGCATAGAATGATGCTGCTCGTAGATATTCCTTGCTGGCGAATGCAGCTTCTGCCTACAAGAGAAGGTGCCCAATTCATACATTATCAACACCAGAGAGATTCTTTCGGCAAACTGTCTACAGACAGGTGACAGCAATATCTCTTAACTTAATCAACGGTAACAAACATCAAAAATCACCTGAACCAAATAAACTTGGTCTCTCTGGAGAGGGTCACGACAGTTTGCTAAAGCTGCAGCATAAACTTTCAAGTCTAGGTAAACCTTCCACATATCTCTGCCTTCGTCAATCACAGAAACCTATAGATGATACCCAAAGCCCAAAATTGAGAAGAGAAAGTACAAGATATCAGATAAATTTATTCAACTAGTTAATTAAGATCACATTATAAATGAGTACAACCCAAACACCAAAACACACCTGGAAGATCGAATTCTGATCATAAGCATAGAAAAGGCCAGCAGAGGCATCGCTGCAGAGTCCAATAATGCCCCTCGAAGCGGAATCTGCCGTTATATCAAATTGGAGCTCTTCGATGATTTGTTCACTTATCCGATTCACAACCTATCCCCACATTTGAAGAATGCAGAAATCAGAAAGTAAAACATTAATGAAAAAAAACACATATGTAGCCAGATCAAACTGCAACGAGGAAAGTATCAACCCCATGTGTCCAAAACGTACCTTAACCTTATTCCCAATAAGCAGTAAGAAATGAAACTCTGAGAGTGCCATTGAACCAGGCTTGACTACTTCAGTGCCATCACTCAGTTTTGAGTAGTCCAACAGCGCCTTGCTTTCCACAAAATTCTCATCACCATTTGGATAACTACCAAACAAGTTTCAATAAAATTACTGAATGAAATAACCCCCAAAAAGAAGAAGAAGGCAACAGATATAAAGATCCCCTCATTATATTCAGAGGAACATTGGTACTGTCATTCTACCTGTGCTGAGCTCCAAAATTTAGGCCACCATGATAAATTCCTGTTCCTGAAAGCCATGCAAAATGCACTGCTCTTCGTTGCTTTATAAAGAAATGCAGTTCACTGAAAGAAGACAAACATTACATATTTAGAGAGCAGGGTTACGCTTTGTGAGCCTAAAAAGTAATTCAAGCACTTGCCTGTTTGGTATTTCACCAGGAAGTTCCATAAAATGAACTGCACGTTCTTTATAACTAGCAAAGACAGACTGGAAGTAAACGCATAGTAATTAGAAACTGAAAGAAAGAAAAGCCAATTCACAATTTCTGAAGATCATAGATATGGAAGAAAGCAGGATCTGAAAAGATTGGATCCAATTCTATGATGCGATAATTGAAAGGAAGAACAATCAGGTTTCACCTTTGAAGCCAACCATAGGGAATAAGCTGATCAACTAGTCTATAAGTATCCAATTCAATAATATCATGAACCTTACACTTAATAGCCTAATGCTACCATTTCATTTCATGATAATAAACTAATTTCATGAAATTACATGTTCTCTAATAGATCGTAAGATGGAAGACAGATGTCATCGCATAGCAGAAGAGAGTTTAACTTACTTCTAATGTTCCAATCCCGGTGAACGAATAGAGTCGAGTGGGAGTTACAGCCATCACATAGTACCTCATTCCACTGCTTATGCTGGCTGCTTCCATCTACACATTTGTTTCAACGTTCCAATAAAACACTGATTTGAACAATTATTCAACTTAAGGAAACATGATTTGATCGAATGGATATCTAATTGACAAATCTTGTCAAACTCATTGAATCGAAGAGAAGAACCACCACACCAATGCAATTTAATAGCTATATAAACCAGCAATCCTGTAACATATTGGCCATGATAGCTTCAAGTTAATATAAAACGGTAGTACCTGCAAAGCCATGAAGGCCTCGGGAAGTTCGTCTAGCTCAAATAAAAACTTGATGTACTTCTCTCTCTTGTCCTTCTCATCCACAGCCATCTCAAATAGCTGCCCGTCCTGAGTGCCCAGGATGATCTCCTTAGTAGAAACTTAATTCAGGGAACGACAAAACAATATCAATTATCCATGTGAAAAATAAAGAAAAGAGAAGAAGAGACACTCATACAACAGCGACGCACAACCTTCTGTTATCTGTTGTCTGTTCCAAGCGACGGCGTTAACCAGTAAACCTTTCAAGCGGCTCAACACACGCGGCTTAGGCCACTTGGCATGAGTGTAAAAAGTTTCAGCTCCTCCAACACCAGTCACTGTAGCAATGCAATGGCTACCACCAGGATCAACAAAAACCTTGTGAATCGATTGCTCCCCAGTTCGACCAGCAGAGAGATCAATATCTATAATCCAAAGAAAACCAAAGATTTGTCATTTGTTACATTCCTAAATTGTAAAATGTATCACTGAAATTAAAAAAAAAAACAACTAAGGATGAAAATGATGTATACCATAAGAATTCCCAACTCCGAAATCATGCCGGATAATCCATCCTTTACTTGTTCCCAGAACGATCACATCGTTTCCAGCAGCCATACATGTGATCATGCCACGATTCTTAGTGGCATATCTCTCCAGGAGATCAACTGAGAATACTTGCCTTCCTTGATCCATCTCTTCCACTCTTAATCAAAACTTCAAAAAAAGTATTATCCAGATTTTGAGCTCTTGACCATCAAATCTACCTCGGAAAACAAAATTCACAGTTGAGAGAGATTAATTCTGGTTCTGAAATACATCGGGACATAATCGAATGAAATGTTGAAACGGAAGATTTCAAAAACTTCCCATCACCAAAAAGAAAAAGAAAAAACACTCTGGAATTTGCCTTTTCGTTAGGTATCTCCAACTTTAGATAAGAGGGTTTCTGCAATGCTTACAACAATCGGAATCGTTACAACCGTCGACGATCAGATCGGCGAGCAGGAGAAGACGTCGGTCTCAGATGGATTCTGAAACTGAAGGCGAGCCGTGCGATGCAAAACGACACCGTCTTTCGACTTCCGACGTATGTTATTCTCTCTCTCTATAGCGCTCACACATCAAGGCCGACTCAGTACAACAACGAAAACGACAGCGTTTTTAGGATTAGAAGGTATATTTCTAAAACGCAGTGTTTAGCTGAGGCCTATTAGACCAATTAACCACGACAATATACAGTATGAATGGACTGTTGGTTTAATGTACGAAGGTCCGGTACATCTCTTTGAGTTCAACATTCGCTTCAAGGAAAACCATGCATGACTTATATCGCTGGACTAGATACTACTACTTGGTTATGATTTAGGTTATTTGAGTTTTGCCTTAAACAGCACTACATACTAGACAGGATTTCTAATGTTTGACATTCCTAGTAGCCGTTGGATTATTAGGTCATTCACTTGATACTATTTTGTGTTTTTTTTATTTATCTAATTTCAATTCATAAGTATAGATTAAAAAAAAACACAAATGAAAGATCCAGCTTTGTAAATCTTCAACATTAGTAAGATCATTGTAACACCAAGATCTTGTTCTCATTGTATCTAACCGGAATGCTTTAGATTCGGTTTCAGTAACCTGTCTAAGAAAGTTGTGGTGCTTGCTTATTATGAACCGTATCAGAAAAGTTTCTGAAACATGTAAAATCTCATGATTGAAAAAGTCAAATCTTTTTAATCTCCCAGAGGAAGAAATAGATATATGATAACAATTTCATTGAACAAACGTTAATCTAAACCGGAGAATCCCAAAAATCACCAAACGAATATTAAACCTTTCCCCTCTAAACCCACTTTCTAAACTCTAAACACTACACTGCACATTTTCTATGCAATCTTTACTCAAAACGGCAAAAAAAAATAAAAAGAATCTTCATCATGATGATCCAAATCCATTTCTGATGGATTCAAGAACCTGCACAACCTCAGTCATACTCGGCCTCTTCAATGGATTCTCCGACGTGCAAAGCAGTCCTAACTTCATCACTTGAATCAGCTCATTCTCTTCAAACTCTCTCAACCTTCTGTCAAAACAATCAGAAGCCGAGCCACTCTCCAACGAATCCCTCACGTAATCTCTCAAGATCAAGACTTGGTTTTCCGACGGAGACTCCACCGGTTTTCTACCCGTAACCAGCTCAAGAAGAACCACGCCGTAGCTGTACACATCGCATTTCTCACTCGCTCTCAAGCTCTGCTGAGCTAGCTCTGGAGCAATGTACCCAACCGCGTTGTGGAACTTTTTGGTCAGACCGAAACTGTCCAGAACCGGAAGAAACTTTTCTAAACCGTAATCCGATAGCTTTGCCTCGTACTTTTCGTCTAGAAGAATGTTGCTGGACTTTACATTGAGATGAAGAACCGCCGGTTTACAGTCATCGTGCAGGAAAGAGATCGCTTTCGCGGTTCCTAAAGCAATCTGAAACCTTCTGTGCCAATTCAAATCGGTATTCCCATGGCTTGAGCTGGTTCCAGGGTAGATTCTCAGGTGTAGGTTATCGTAGAGGCTACCGTTGGGGACAAACTCGGAGAGAATCAACTGCATCGTTGAGGAGAAGTAGTAACCTTGGAAAGTGGACAGATTCGGGTGTTGCAAACCTCCAAGCCTTCCGATTTCTTGCTCAAACTCTTCTTGGTTCCTGATTCTTCCTAAAGTCTCGAGCTTTTTCACTGCAATGGAAACCCCTCCTTCGAAAGATGCTCTGTAGACCGATCCAATCGACCCCATGCCGATTATGTTCTCCTTGTCGAGCAAAGCTTTTGTGCCTGCTTCCCAATCTTCATACTTTGAAGGCAAGTTCTTGCTGAAAAGAACAAGCTTTCCGATTATCACACCGCTTGAGTTTATTGAAGAAGCCAGAGGAGTGGTTTCGACTGTGACTATCTCTTCGTCTTTTCTTCTTTTACGAGCTCTTAGGTTCAAAGCAAGAACTAGGCAGACACCGAAGAGGATCACAGCAGCGGCTATTATGACTATGATAACCGAGATGCTTAGTGCTTTAGAGTTTCTAGGTTTCGCTGTTGCTCCACGTGAACTGCAGGGAGTTGCAAGAGGAACACCGCAGAGGAAAGGGTTGTTTGAAAATGCAGAAGATCCAAAAGCTTGCATCTTTGGAACAAGAGGGATAACGCCGGAGAGATTGTTGTAGGAGAGATTGAAATGCGTTAGTGAGTTCAAATTCCCGAGAGAAGACGGGACTGGCCCTGAAAGCAAGTTCTGCGAAAGATCAAGAAACTGGATTCTGGATAGGCTTCCAAGCTCAGGTGGAATACTTCCGTTGAGACGGTTTCCATGCAGATCAAGAATCTCTAGGTTTGTCAAGTTTAACAGCTTCTTAGGGATCTCTCCTTCTAAATCATTCCCTGAAACATCTCTGCAAACACAACAAGCAAAACATTTTTAACAGCAACGTGAGATCCAAATACACCAACTGATAAAATTAGCTGAAACATCAGAGGAACGGATTATAAAACTCACAGTTCAAGAAGCACTCTGCAATTGGATATATCCTCTGGAACTTCACCAATGAGATTGAGATTACGCAGATTCAAGACCTGTAGAAACTCCAAACTTCCAATCTCTCTCGGTACCTCTCCATCTATAGAATTATCGCCTAATCTAATAACCGAGAGCCTCTCCATCTTCCCGATACCTCCCGGGAAACTCCCATTCAGCTTGTTAGACTCCAAGTCCAAAAGCTTGAGACTTTTGCAACCCATTAAACCGGCAGGGATCTTACCGGTTAGCTCATTCGACGAAGCATCCAAAAACTCCAAACTTTCGCCACAATCAACAACATCTTCAATCTCTCCACCAAACCGGTTCCAAGAGACATTGACATAAGCTATGTTCTCGAATCTGATAACCTCGAAAGGCGCGAACCCGCGGAACGAATTGCTTCCCAAATCGACATGGCTCAATCTCTGACATTTCGGTATCTCCCCAGAGACATCGCCGGACAACAGATTGTTTCTCACTGAGATATACTCAAGCACCGGAATATCGCAGATCCTAGACGGCAACACTCCGTTGAGACTATTGTAAGAGAAATCAAATCCTTGGAGGTTGTTACAGTTCACGATTGAATCAGGGATTGATCCGGAGAGATAGTTATGAGACAATGAGACGAACTTGGCCTTGTAGCAGAACTTGAACAGAGAAGCAGGAATCTCTCCGGCGAAACCATTTTTAGACAAGTCGAGAAACCTTAAGCTAGACAGTTCACCGATAAACTCCGGGATCGGACCAGAAAACGCATTGGAACTAACATTAATCGTCCACAAAGTTTGTAACTTTGAGTAATCAACCGGTAGATTACCTGTAAACCTGTTGCCAAACAAGGTCAGGACTCGGATGAACCTTAGACCGGACAACCTCGGAGATAAAGTTCCGGCGAGACTTGTGTTCCACAGGACGATTTTGTCCACGAACCCTTGTGGATTACAAGCGACTCCATTAAAGCTATTGCAGAGGTCGCCGTCGGAGACCCAAGAGGCCAAGCTGTTGTACGGATCGTCGCTGATACTGTCTTTGAACCGAAGCAGAATCTCTCGCTCACTGATTGTAGCAGAGTAACTTGGAGATACTGAAATGTAGACAAAATTTACCAAAACCAGCAAAAGATGTGCCCTTTTCATATTCCGCTGAAAAACGGATCTACCCAGTTGACATTTTTCGGTTCTCGGATCCGAACCCGAACCCGAAATTGAACCCGGTTCGTGAATCTCTACAAGGAGCTCGAATTTGGGGTTCGTCCTCGAAAATGAAGAACACCAGAATCAATAACAAGTAGCTGCATTTACGAACTGAAACCAAACGTTCTTCGAATTTCCGAAACCCGATAAACGAAACGGTTGATTTTTCTTGGGATTGAGCTCAAGCTAAGAACTTTTCAACTGCTTTTGCATTTATTTTGGTCATCCTTAACGGCTAGAAAAATTTACCGACCAAAGTCAAAACTCTCGAGAAACCGACAAAAGAAGAATCAGAGAGTCGAGAACAACCCAGAGATCAACGAACAGAGAATAAATAAGATTTGGGGTTTTGCAAGCAAGCTTTCGAACCAAAGGCACACAAGAAAAATAAGAAATTTGCTCAGCTCATCTTTTCCATTACAGAGAAGATAGTGTGTATGTGTGTGCCTTGGCTGGAAAGTAAGGTGGTGAACGAATTAACTTCTTTCTCTGTCTCTCTCTCTGGCTTCCACCAAACGAAGAAGAAGCACGTGCCTGCTTTGTTCATCGCCTATATGCGCATACATATATGTGTATGTATGGAAGGAGAGTGTCCTGCTTGTCTGTACTTCTACCAAAGCATTTATTCTCTCCTTCACCAACCAAAATGCCATTAAACAATAAGGAAATTAGTAAATAAAATTCCCGATTTTTCAAGGAGAAAAAAACAAGAAATTATGGTCCCATCTCAATTGCTAGTAACAAACCTATTGAATGTGTGAACAGATCATTTGTACATTTAATATTCGTTTTCAATGATCAGAATAGTAGTATAAAATAAATTGAATGAGCAATTAGTTATGTAGTAATCGACAATTCGACATGGCTTCTTATTATTCAGAGTAGTAGTAGGTTTCATCATGATATGCTTGGGTTTATGACTTAAACATCCATAAGTTGAGGTCTAAATCAAACTTTTGGAAACTTATGGATTTTAAAAAAGGGAAGAGAAGTGACAGAGACAGTTGAGTGAACAAAAGGACGTTTTCTGTGGTTTCATTCTCTCTCTTTTACTGAGTTTGTTTAATCATTTTGTTCCTTTTTCCCCCTTTGTTCTTAATTATTTATTTTATTTCCTCAGAACTCATCTGATGCAGAGAAATCATGATGCATAAAGAACATACAATCCTCAAGATGGACATTATAAAATTAATATGTCCATTGTACAGTTCTCAGAGTAATAATTTAGCCTTTGTAACCATTATCATTAATGTCGTCTTACTTCAATTTCCAATCATGCTTTCTGTCGGAAATCTAATACCAGTTGACCGTTGTTCTTCCAATTTTATAAAGTATACCACAACAAAACTCTGATGTAACCCAGTTTTAACCATTTGACCAAAAAGTGAAAGCCCACTGGATCATTGATAAGGAGAAAAAAAGAAGAAGAATGATCTAATAGAGAGATATACATTAGAATTCAAAAATTCAGTTGATATATACAAGAAAACAAAAAGCAGAACTATTCATTTTCAAATGAATATTTAAAAACAAAACAAAATAATTATATAATATAATCAGTTCCAAGATCGTGTTAGATGGTGATATTTGGTGGTACCGGTTGGCTCTTTAAGCGTTTAGAATTCTTCTTAAGTAGTGGACTTTATGATGTCTCTACTTCCTCTGATTGCATCGCGCTCAGCTTCTTCTTCGCGTAGATTGTGCAAACTATAGTCGCACTCGCAGTTATACAGAAGCCAAGAACATTCACTACTATCTCCACAGCCGAAAGACTGTGTCTCTCGTCTGATGCAACTGCCAGTGTTCTCAGCATTATTCCCCTGCAAATATACCGAAAAAACTCAACAGTCTGAGATTCTGCACAACGTCTTAACATAGACACAGTGGTAGAGAGATTAAAAGAGAGAGAGGCATATACGTGTAGATTGAGACAAAGATCTCAGGAACCATTCCAACAAGAGAGCCTAAGATGTAAGGACCATAGTGAACTCCAGTCGCTAATGCGCAGTAGTTGTAAATCATGTAAGGGAATGGCGACACGCGGATCAGCGTGACTGCTTGAAACTGATGAAACCAGGTTCCTTCGCCGGCGGCTCTAAGTATGGCTGCTTTTTTCGGGTAATTCTTCAACCATTCCTGCAGTAAAGACCAAAGTGTTCATCTAAAAGGTAGAAGCTTTAACAAGTATGCAAACCAAAGAGCGCATAAGATATAGTGGGGGTGATCCTTACTTGCATCTTGTGGAGGAAGAGATGTCCGATTAAGAAAGGAAGAGTAACACCGATCGATGCAGCTGACAAAATCAATAGAAACCCATTTCCATAGCCAAATGTAAGACCGGCCATCCACATGGAAGGAGAAGAAGGAAGAAGAATGCTTGGGAACAATGCCACTGAGGCAAAGAGGAGAAGACCAAGCACCGGGATGCTGAATGTGCTTCTCACCCAATTTATAAACGGAATCAGCTCCTGAAACACGATCCGTAGACACAGCAACATCAATGAGGATAAACTTCAATTTTCACTATTAGGCTATCACTGATCTCAAGAATTGCGTCACTGACAATGATTAACCAGTTAAATATAGAACCTTCTAAACACATACAAAATGCTGCAAATCTATATACGTAATGCATATTTATGTCACAATTTTACATTCAAACTTAAAGCTAGTGAGATGCGATGGAACAGAACCATTAAACAATGTTTCTACTTTCTAGCATCACAGACACAGGAAACATGTAAAACTACTTTGGAACAAAACGATCAGACATGATAGTTGAATATTACAAGGCTATATAAGGTTATCTTTCAAGGCTATAAAACCAGACAGAACTAATGATAGAGATAAAGGCAAACCACAGACGATTCTTATTTTCCAGATTTGAGCGAAAAATCTTCAACCTATAGTGGCTGAGCTCACAAATCATCTGGTGTTCATACGTTTCCATAACACCAATTTGGTTTTGAATGCTTACACCTAAAACATGCTCAATCTAAATACACAAGAACCCTAATTTTCAAAAATCAAAACCCAGGAAAAAAAAAAGTAGCCTAATAATCAGAATCGTTATGCATAATGTAACCAAAAAGCATCAGATCTTCGACCAAAATTAAAAAAACTAACCTTTTCGATCAAAAATGGACCAATCCATTTAATAATTACAAAGGCCAATACACCCAAACAAGCGACCAGGGAGATCAACTTCACCCAGAACCAGACAGATGTCGCCGACCCTATCGAACATCCTGATGATTCTGCCGGAGATCCTTCTTCTTCTTCCGATCCTCGTAATTTCACATAATCTCCATTCTCGGGATCCTCGATTCTCAAATTCAGCTCAGGCACCGTCTTATCGACGCCATCGCTGTACGTCATAGATCGACCGAAGATGGAAAGATTTTCAAAAAAAAAGAAGAAAAATCACCCAGGCCTCAAAAAATCTCAAAAGTTTCCGTCAGATTCGTTTTGCACCCCTGTTTTTCCTTCGGTTTCCCGAGAAAAGTTAAAGAGTAACGAGAGAATGAGACCGTTAGATCAAATAGAGAGATTGGAGGTTTAGAAGAGAGAATCTGAATTATTCGCTTATCTTTTTATTCCAGACTTTACAAAAATAATTTCCCAATAATTAGTGGTTTACTTCAAAATTATATAAAACCAAGTGTTGTCTTCGGACACGCGGAGACGTGTGATTTGTTACCAGCTGTTACTCATCGAAGCGCCGATATTTAGTCACTTGCTTTATTTTCGCTTTGTCGTCACGATAAGTCCATGTAAATTTATATATACGTGTGTTTTTAATTAGGTTCTAGTTTTTTTTGTTTCTTTGATAATTATCTGATCAAAACCTGCGGCACAAATCTTATGGTATTTAATTTTATATTTGTAGGGCTAGGTTACATCATAAAAGATGAAAAGTAGCAACGTTAACATTTATTGAAAATTCTACTCGTATTGCAATTTTATTTAACATACTTTAAGAAATAAGAAGAATGAGAGAAATTAGTTGATTGAAAGCAACACATATACAGAAGAGGGAATGAGATAAACAACTCAAACAAGAGACTGAAAAGCAACCGAAATTAATACTTCGAAGCAAATTCAAATTCGTATAATAATTTAGACATATCGATAATTGGATATATCATCGCATTTCAATCAAAAAAAAAAGAAAAAAAGTGATTGTACTAAACGCATCACTTCCCTTCTTTTTTTATCCTGTTACGTCATTGTCAACCAGCGAAGCTCTTCCTACAAACCAAACCCGGTTCACACAAACCGATTATCTACTCAAAACTAAACCAACTTTATCGTAATCCACAAAGTCACAAACACCAAAAAAGGCGACGACCCCACCTACTATTTCAACTTTATCTTACAGAGCAAAGGTTCTGATCACTGTGTACCGTTCGATTATAAAGACAATGACGTTATTACCCTCTATCGTTTTCATCGAACGATTGTAAGAAGATGCATAAAATTTTCCGAGAGCCTTACCGCATAGGAATAAATCATTCGACTCACAAGAATTACAAAAAAACAAAGCGTAAAGTACCAAAAAGTCTCTCTTTGGTTAGGTTTGGTTTCTGTTCCGTCAAATCTTTCTCTGGCGAAACCACAGAGGTTTCGGTTTCGGTCTCGGTCTCCGATCAAATCACAAGTTCTGTCGGAATTTTTCAGTGATAAATACCGTGAGGGATTATCTACACGAGAACAGTCGCCGGAAACGAAAGCAGGGAGTTAGGTAAATAATATCTTACTTATTGGTTTCGTTCTATTCGAACTTTTTAGCTGCGTTCTTCATATGATTCCTTAATCTATCTAGAACCGGTACGATTTAAGTTTTGACGGTGGAGATTAAACAACTCGGAGACTTGTATTGCTGCAGCTCTTTTTTTTTTTTATGCCGTGAGGGTAAAATAATGTTCTCGGTTACAGGCTGACCTGGCACTGACAACTGACAAAATGACGCATTTACTCCTCAACTTAACAAAGAGTCTCATGGGTAGTTTCGTCATAATTGAGATAATTATTTATTTTAGTTTTTAATTAAAAGGCGAGATTAAATATTTAGCACTCGCGTGAGTAACAAGCCAGAATCTCTCCATTTTCTAATTGTGTCGATATGTTAATTTTCCTATATTTCCTCCACGATCCATCGAAGAGACACACAAATATAAACCCTAGCCGTAATTGAAATAACATCTTTTGTTGCATCTTGCATCTGTTCTTCTTCGATTCAAGGTTTGTGTGTGTGTCTGTTTTGCAGTAAGCATTGGGTTTTAGAATTGTGAGATTTTCGATTATGGGTTCAGAGCAAAACGACAGCACTAGCTTCTCTCCCTCAGAGCCTAAGCTCTGCGTCAATGGCTGTGGCTTCTTCGGGACTCCATCGAACATGAACCTCTGCTCCAAGTGCTACAGAGACATCCGCTCCACGGAGGAGCAAGCCGCCTCGGCTATAGCCGCCGTCGAGAAATCGCTAAACCCTAATAAACCTCAAATCCAACCGCAACAGAGCCGAGAAATCGCTCCCGGCGTCGAATCCGAGTCATCCTCGTCAACGAGCGGTGGCGTTCCGTCAGCAGCTTCCGTAGATCCGCCCAAGTCGACGGGGACAACGAGGTGCTTGAGCTGTAACAAGAAAGTGGGCGTGACGGGGTTCAAGTGCAGGTGTGGGAGCACTTTCTGTGGAGCTCATAGGTATCCAGAGAGCCATGACTGCGAGTTCGATTTCAAAGGAGCGGCGAGAGAAGCCATTGCTAAGGCGAATCCCGTGGTGAAGGCTGATAAAGTGGAGAAGATATGAATTGGTAAACTTCGGTGCTCTCTTTTGAAAGTCTCGAGGTGTTGGTGTTTCGGCTCTTTTCTGCTCTTGTTTATGGTTTGATTTGCTCTAGGGTTTCTTAGGAAAGTTTAGGTTTCCGCTATGTAGTTTTCATCACTTGAACAGTGGGTTTATTATGTTCTGTAATAAAAAATTGTTGGTCAATTCAGAAAGTTGTCTTCTTAATATTGGTGAACTTAATTTTTTTTTTCCCGGCGAAAGTTGAATCATATTAAGTTGTAGAATTATCCTTGTTTATTTATAGGGAACTTATGAACAAGTTGGGGTTTGTATGTAGCTCATTGTGGATAGAGTGTATCTTGATCGTTCTGAAACTGAAGATGTCGTTGAGGGAGTTTATCTGTTTTGAACCATGAAAGGTGTAGGGATGGCTTAATTTGATGTAGGTGATAGTCTCCTGGATTTTGCTCACTTATTGTTAGCTGGAGAATGTGGTGGTTTTGTATATAGCTCATGGTATAGATAAAGTGAAGCTGCCAAAGTAAAACATATGTATTGAACCATGGAAGATTCGGAGATGCTTTGATATCTTTAGGTGACAGTGACCAGTGATGGAATGAAATCATTGATTTAGCCTGGCACTATGCTTGATGTAGACTTTGCTATTTGCAGGATAGCTTGATAACCTTCTGAAACTTCAAAGGCTTGAGGTGTTATCGATGAGTAGGCATTATAGTCTGGTTTGAATCCACTTTCCCTGAGAATGATGCTCGTAAGATTATTTCCCTTGGTGTGTATGATCTGTATCTCTTTGTGGGTATGTTAAGAAATTCTAAATTCGAGTCTTAATGTGAGTATTTGGGTTTGATGTTGCGTTTCTGGTGAACCCACAAAGCTATTTTGGTTATTTAGACTCTTTGAAGAGGTTGAGCTTAATTGGTAACCCATAGTCTTTGCAAGATGCCAAGATGGTTAAGAGGAAGCTGTATGTTTAAAGATTAATGCATTTTGGTTGAAACGAACGTTATGGCTAATACTAAAACTATCGGTTGGATGATGCTTCTTATATTGAGAACAAGCAACTGAATTTGTAAAACTGGTCAAAATAGAAATCAAAATTTTAAAATTTATAGACAGCTGATCTTTTATTCAAAATTTGACTGATCAAAACAAGATTTGAGTTATTAGAAAACCACAAATTAAAAATTTGATATCAGAACTTTAGATTGATTAGCCTACCAGTTGAGACGGAACATCAAAAGATATAAACTTAGGTCTATGACATTCGGTATGGTAAACTGTTCCTTTCACCATCACTTCTTGATGGTTACGTTAGAATCATGGGTCCATTTTTCCGAATCTGATCAAACAATTTACAAAAAGCAAAAGATAGGAAAGTAACGCACTCTAGTTTTATGTATAGAAACCTAACAAATAAACATGTGTAGGTAGACTTTTATTTTTCAACTTTGAAGCATGTTTTGTACCTCTTTAATTAATGCTTTATATTGGTTTTTCTGATATTGAAAAAAAAAAATAGTGTTGTGACATTGCAACCTTTGCGAAAGCATTTTCAGCCAATATGGTCTTGCATCAGTTGTATAAGCTTTTGCAAATTATAATTCTACCCCAAAAACTATTTAAAAGTTTCTGTAGAGTTGATATCAGACTGGGATATTTTCTGTTTGCGGTTTGCATTAGTTTTACATGTCCAGTACATCATTGTCCACCAGTATGGTCCATAATAACAATTAAAAAATCTTAAATCCAAAGGAGAAAATACAAAAGTGACTTTCATTTTTAAAGGAAAAAAAAAACTCTTTTCTGCGTGAAGAGAACTAACCTCAGTAAGTCTCGTTGAGGAAGGTCCCTCCATAAGTACATATATTGTCTGAGTGCTTTGAATAATTTCCTTCTTTATGCATCAAACGCTACGGTCTATAAAGTACCGAAGTGACATTAAAAAAACATTTATGTATTAGGTGTCCAGAGATCTTCAAATTCCCTGAATACGTTCAATAAATAAACGAGAAAGGGAATTATTATAACTATAATAGGAGTTACAAATTTATTAAGACTAATGTGATCATAACTCAATCCAATTATGAGATTTTGATTCATTCCACTTTCTATATGTGCTCTACCTAAATTTTGAATGGAAAACTTTTTTTTTTTCTTGTGGGAGATTTGACAAATTCACTTTTCTATGGGGACCCTTTGAATCCCTTTATTGTTGGTATTGCCTTTTTGTTTTTCCTTTTTTTCAGTCCAAAACCTTTTGTTCCTTTTGATCTTTCTCTAGTTATGCTTTTCAAAGAATTCAAATTTTAATATTTTAAAACTCGAAAAATTTGGTCCTACTAACCAACCAATACCAATATAAATAATAGATCATACATTTTGAATCCATTATAACATCTCTGTAGTCTTTGTATAAATGTGATTTGACAAAAAAAATTAAATTCATAACAATATACACATACACGAGGTGACATCTCTCGTGAAGCCTGCTCGAATTATAGTAATAGTCTTTGCATTAATAATGATTCACGCGGAACATCAACGAACGTATAGTACACAACCGGGTAAATTACGGACAAGTGAAAGGGTATTTATGTAAAACCATAAAGTATTTTTATTGATGTGGGACCCACTGATTGTTAAGTTTTAACTGTGTAACGCTGCACACGATTCCCTCCACTTCACACTACCACAGCAAACCTCTCTCTCTCTCTCTCTTCTGTAATTTTTTTGCAATTTTCCCGAGAAATTAAACTCCGAGAAAGGAAAAAAAAATAGGAATTTTCTCGGGAACCAAATTGAGGGGAAAACGGGAGAAGAAAGAAGCTTCTCTGTGTTTTTGAATAGACTCCAAGGGAATTTGTTTGGTCGTGTTTTGTTTTTATGCGGTTGGAGAGGAAATGTCGACAAGTACAGTAAATTACAGAAACGGGACTCAGAGAAGCTCTCTCAGGACTCAGTCCTCTGGTTCTACTTCCGGTGGACAGAAACCTCCCGTCAAATCGAAGACGGTGCTTAGAAAGAGCAGTCCCGCCGCACTCGGCGGCGGCGGCTCTGTGTCAGGTTCCAAGGCTGGAAACACTGGCGACGCCGGTGGTAAAATTTCCTCTGTTCATCTTTTTTTTTTACCTAGAAATGTCACTGTTTTCGTTCCTTTCCACAATTTGTCGAATCGATGTTGGATAAGCTAGATTCGTAATCAGAATGATGAAATTGTAATTTCTATTAATGGTGGTTTTTGTGTTGCATGATGGTTTTAGTTCCAGGGAGGGTTCGAGTAGCTGTTAGATTAAGGCCACGCCATGGCGAGGAACTGATCGCCGATGCTGATTTTGCTGATTGTGTTGAGTTACAGCCTGAGGTACTGTGATTTATATATATATATACTAAGTCTGTTTTTTGAAATGTTGGAGATATAAATCAGTTTTGTGTTTGGTTCGTTAGGTAAAGAGGTTGAAACTAAGGAAAAACAATTGGGACACGGACACGTTTGAGTTCGATGAAGTGCTCACCGAGTATGCTTCGCAGAAGCGAGTTTATGAAGTTGTGGCGAAACCTGTTGTGGAGGTAATACAGAGAATTTTGATTATCCTCTTGTTTATCGTCAACATCCAGAGATTTGGCTGTTTTTTTTTTTTGAAACATTTTTACATATATTTCGTGTTGTGGTAGGGTGTTTTGGATGGTTACAATGGGACGATCATGGCGTATGGTCAGACCGGTACCGGTAAGACATATACACTTGGGCAGCTCGGGGAAGAAGACGTGGCTGATCGTGGTATAATGGTTCGTGCTATGGAAGACATTTTAGCCGAAGTGTCCTTGGAGACGGATTCTATATCTGTCTCATATTTGCAGGTGGTTAATATTTTTTTTTTTTTTTGGGATTTTCTGTAAGTTTCATATGGGTTCTTCTCTCGGAAAGTCTGGTTAATGTAATTGTTTGCTGGATACAAAAATGCAGCTTTATATGGAGACTGTACAAGACCTTCTTGATCCTGCCAATGATAACATTGCCATTGTTGAAGACCCGAAGACTGGAGATGTTTCTCTTCCAGGTGCCACCTTGGTCGAGATTAGTGATCAGCATAGCTTTCTTGAACTACTGCAACTCGGAGAAGCTCACCGGTTTGCTGCTAACACCAAACTGAACACCGAGTCGTCCCGTAGTCATGCCATCTTAATGGTGATCATTTCTTAGTTCCTGATTTTGGTATAAAAGAAAAAAACTTGCATTATTCATGGTCAGATAAATTGCAGGTAAATGTCAGGCGGTCTTTGAAAACAAGAGATGGTTTGTCAAGTGAAAGCAATGGAAACTCCCACATGACTACTAAATCTCTCAAGCCTCCTGTTGTCCGCAAAGGAAAGTTAGTTGTGGTGGATCTTGCTGGGTCAGAACGTATTAATAAATCAGGAAGTGAGGGACATACACTAGAGGAAGCCAAATCTATCAATCTCTCCCTGAGCGCACTGGGGAAATGCATCAATGCACTTGCTGAAAATAGCTCTCATGTTCCGTTCCGTGACTCAAAGCTAACTAGATTGCTTAGAGATTCTTTTGGAGGCAAGTTTTGTCTCTGATTTTTGACCGCAGTTGTCATGGTTTTTCGATTTTAAGTATGCTGACTTGCTTGAGATGTGGCCTATGATCTCAACAGGCACTGCAAGGACCTCCTTAGTTATTACAATCGGCCCATCGCCACGACATCGAGGGGAGACAACAAGCACTATAATGTTTGGGCAGAGGGTATGGCCAATAGGAGCTTTGGACTTCTTCTTTTTTTTTGGCTTGCTACTTTGAATCCTTGATTTGTTTCTTTTGATGGATACGTTACATTTAAAATTTTGGGTTATTGATAGGCTATGAAAGTGGAAAATATGGTGAAGTTAAAGGAAGAATTTGATTACAAAAGCTTGTCAAAAAGGCTTGAGTTACAGCTAGACAATCTAATCGAAGAAAATGAAAGGCAGCAGAAAGCATTCGTTGATGAAATCGA